AAAGCAAAATGAGCACGTTATGAATCAAGGCTTAAGAAAATAAACAAATAATTCAGTGTAACAACTAATGAATTAATTAATTCAGTGCATTCAATTCATACTTAGTTATACTATAGTTATACAGGTTTTAATTGTGAAATATATAAATATGCAAATTGGTCTGTTACTTTTAGTAACTTAATACGGTCGTAGGGAAAGTATGGCAGATCAAATTACACAGCAAGAAGTGACGTCCACAAGAGTGATACCATACCACGGAAGAAGACTTACATTGATATTTAAAAAAAAATGACATGACACTAATGACGGCAGCCACCTCAATGACGAAGATAATCCCATTTTGGGCATCTCTGTGATGTTGGTCCTCTGTGATGGGTGTCTTTATCTATGTGTTGGTCTATGAGTTGATGACACAAACCAGTCCAACCAGAATTTTGGAGTCACAGGTTCCATCATAGCATGTGTAACTGTTCCAAGTATCTGTGATTTTTTGTCACATGTTATTTTGGCCCATGATAAATATTGATTTGTACCTGAAACCGGGCTCATAGACACAGACTACTACTATACTATAGATGAAGACAAGGCTGAAGTTAAGCACCAGCTAACCGTTAGATGGAAGCTAAACGAATTTAGCTGTGCACTGATAAACCGGACCTTAGAACACTCATAAGTTTCGAATTAACCCACATTTTTCGGTTGTTCGATCAGCCACAAATTATGACTGAAAGGTTTCAGAGAAATTTTTCATTTTTTTCTTAGGTTTACTTTTGAAGATGTTTTCCAAGTTCAATATGTGGAAGGCAAATTTAATAATGGGGGCTCAAGAAAGTTATCGCTCAAAATTCAGATTTACAGAAAATTTTATTTTTAATACGCCGGGGCTAATATACAGTATTTCAATACTTATATATAAGGGCAATAAAGTGTAAACATTTTTTGCCTAGCTTCTATTTTCGTCCTAATCAAATGCTATTTTATTTCAGAAGCTCTGCTATTGGTCGAAAAGGAACACTATTTGCCTTTATCTATGCTGTGACTCACAGGCCGTCACATTAAAGAAAATATCGGAGACGGCTGTTACTGTTGTTCCCGATATTTTCTGTGGTGCATGTATTCGAAAAATTATAAGGTCGCGCGTTCCACTCCCATACATACAAAACTTCATGGGAATAAAATATCTCCTTCCACTAAAACTCAGGCGAATTGACAACGCCTTGGGGAATCAAGAGGCAGGTAATTTCCTGGTTGAAATATCGAAATCAATGTTGTACTGACTGGTACTGGCACTAACATCGTAGGCGAGCCCTGTTATTTGGAATATCGATAACAGGTACCGACAGTTCCATATCGATATCTGTGACAAGTATTTCGTGTCATCCACAGATTATCATCATGTTCAGCCTTGTTCTATGGATTAACGTGAAGAAGTTAAATTTTGTACAGATTTTCTGTTTTTAAGTGATTGCTCAATTTAGGGAATGTCGCCACATTGTTTTTAACCCAATTTTGACGAGAATGAGGAGCAACACTTGAAAAAGCTGTGAAAAATTCTACAATCATCCGACAAAAAACACGGTAAGGTTCTGTTTATTTTGTATCAGACGCTCTAATTTTATTTCTAAATATTTGCATGTGATACACTGTTCAGTGACATAGGAGGTTTTGTCGACAGATATACTGTGAAAATACCACAAAACGTTCGAGCAAAATGTTCAATTATTCGAGAAACAGGTAACTAGATTGTTGTAATAATTGTAAATCTCCCAACGCCTTAAACACGTTAAAACAATGTTAGGTTACACAATGTGATTAAGTGCAGATAACTAGTAAGTAGATCGAGCAATCTATTATCTATTAATAAATCCTGTACGTTGTTTGCATCCAATCGCATTACAGTCATGTGGAGATGTTTCTTATTATTGATTTATTGTTGTTTGTAAACATTTGGAAAGGCCTTACTTACTGTTTGCATTCGATCTGCCCCAATGGAATGGAAATCTGGAGTATTTGCAAATTATTTACATTTGTATTGACTTTCTCGACGGTTTTCCCCTTTTTTACGTAGTGAACGTTTTTTTTGACAAGTTTCCCTGACAAACTATCAATAACAGTGTCAGCTTCAATTGTTTTGCTTATTATAAAAGCATGGCGTGCTTAGGTAGCATAGCTGCATTGTGTCAAATACGCAGGGTATCATTTTTATTGCTAGTCAGATTTATCGCAGTTTTTTATGTTTTATCAAAGAGTTGGCTATGCATGTTTCAATGACACACCCTGTGTATGTTTTGTATTTTCCCATGTACGAGAGCCAAAGGGAGAATCCATCAAAAAGGCGTTAAACCCGAACAAGGGCTTTGTCAACAACGGGACTCCACACTTTAACAGTTCTGCGTGAAAAGGACCTGAATATTGATATGATCAAGAAATTGAAATAGATCGCAGTTATGGTTCAACCTCTTTCAGCGGGTTGAAGTTGAAAACCACAGGGCTGAATGATATTTTAAAGAGCGCGACTCCGGAAGCGTGTTTCACCACTTAGTCGTTTCCTGAGGACTTCTTAACTTGTACATGTATTTTTTCTGATCAGACAGTTGTTCATAAACTTGTAATTTCAAAGCTGAATGCTCCTATAGGTAAAAGTCCGGTCCGGTAAACATTTTAAGACTTGAACATGATCGGAATTGCCCAGCATTTATTACACAGTCAAGTTCTTCAGTTTATCACAATCCATTTATTGTTTGACTTTATACCACCAATGATCTGCAGAGCTACGGGATTTCGTCCACCGCAAAAGAACAACATGGAGGCGCCCAAGACCTCAGACATCATCATCATCGCCGGAAATTCGCATCCTGAACTGGCCAATTTAATAGCGAAACGACTTGGCGTCTCAATCGGCCAATGCGCGATTTATCACCGAAGCAATCGCGAAACGATGTTCCAAATCGGCGACTCCGTCAGAGGCAAGGACATTTTCATCATCCAAACCGGAACAAAGTGGGTTAAAATGCAAACATTCAATCTGAATTAATTAAATGCCGAATCCTCTTTCAGAGATGTAAATAACAACATAATGGAAATGCTAATTATGGCGTACGCTCTCAAAACGTCCTCGGCCAATTCAATAGTCGGAGTCATTCCGTACTTGCCCTACAGCAAACAGTGCAAGATGCGCAAACGGGGCGCAGTTGTAACCAAACTGGTGGCCCAAATGATGGTAAAATCGGGCATGAATCACATCATCACCATGGACCTGCACCAGAAGGAAATCCAGGGATTCTTCGATTGTCCAGTGGACAATTTAAGAGCCAGCCCGTTCTTGTTGCAGTACGTGCAAGAAAGTGTAGGCTGAATGCATTTCTAGTTTGAAACGGATCGGGAATCATGCAAAAAATGCTTTCAGATTCCGGACTATAGGAATGCAGTGATTGTGGCGAGAAATCCTGGATCGGCCAAAAAGGCCACTTCATATGCTGAACGGCTTCGTTTGGGCATCGCTGTAATCCATGGGGAGCAAAAGGAATCGGATGCTGATGAGGTGAAGAGCGCCAGCCAAAACCTACTTTACTCTTGAATCAAATACATTTGCATTCAATTCGCAGGTTGATGGGCGCTATTCCCCACCAACTGTGCCCCGATCGCGAACCATGGACGCAGGAGTAGGCGTTCCCATCCATATCGCCAAAGAAAAGCCTCCAATCAACGTGGTGGGCGATGTTGGAGGGAGAATTGCTATTATGGTGGTGGGTTGCGAATGTTATTATTGCCTACTGGTTGGCGCAATGGGAAATACTAATTGGAGACGCAAAATTCCTTTTTTTTCTACCTTACTTTCAGGACGATATGATTGATGATGTGCAGTCCTTTGTCGCAGCTGCGGAAGTTTTAAAAGAGCGCGGCGCATATAAAATTTACGCTCTAGCCACACACGGACTGCTCTCATCTGACGCTCCAAGACTTATTGAAGACTCGCCCATTGATGAGGTAAACTATTCAAATAAAAAAGCACATCAGCCCTTAAATTTGCCTTTCAGGTGGTTGTAACCAACACTATTCCGCATGAGCTGCAAAAAATGCAATGCCACAAAATCAAAACGGTGGACATATCAATCCTGCTGGCCGAAGCCATCCGAAGGATCCACAATAAAGAGTCCATGTCGTATCTATTCAGAAATGTGACTCTTGAGGATTAACAAACGGCGGCTCGCAGTGCCGAGATCGGCTGCCTTTAGATCACGTATTTCAGATTAATGCATTTTCGTGTATAGGAAGCTTCATTTTATTTTTACTTATGTGGAACCCTAGCTAATGCCGTTATATATTATACAGTGTGGTCCAAACTTGTTTCACTACTTTTTTGTCCCACGGCATTTTCATTTAACCATAGCGGTTAGAAGGCAAAACACCCAATTTTAGGGTTTAATTTGAAGCACACAGAGTGCAGTAGTTTGCTAATTTAACAGACATCGTAACTGTAATAATAAAGAAGTCAGGAAAAGTGCACACTTCATTAGAAGCACTAATAAAGGTGAGGCTAAAAAACGCGAAAACTTCTACAAAGGTTACGATGTCGGTTAAAACAGTAAACTAGTGACTTTCGACAGCAAAAACCGCCACTAGTTCGCTAATTTAACAGAGTTCGAAACTACAACAAAAAAAGTTACCAATAGTGCATCCTTCATTTGAAACACTAATAAAGGTGAGGGCAAAAAACGCGAAAACTTCTACGAAAGTGGCCATGTCGGCTAAAATAGTAAACTATTTCGGCAGCCAAAAACGCCAGTAGTTTGCTAATTTAACTGACATTGTAACTGTAAAAGTAAAAAGTCAGCAATAGCGCATCATTCATTTGAAGCACTTGTGAGGAAACTCGGAAACTTATACGAAAATTACGATGTCGGTTAGAATAGTAAACTAGTGATTTTTTCGGCAGCAAAAACTTCCACTAGTGTGCTAATTTAACCGACATCGAAACAACGATAAAAAAGTGAGGGTAAAAAAGTAACCATCTACATTAAGACAACCTTTATTACTGAATGCATACTGGTCATTTGGGTTACAAGTACAGAGCGTAAACAACAGAATGTTGTTCAAAAGCACTTACATAATCTAACTTAAACCTAGGTGCCCATCTGCACTGTATTTCCGCTTATTGTTGGGAAACAAAATTGGACTCGTGCAATTATATCAGACTACTTGGATACATAGGTTGACTATTTAGAATGATTATAGTTAGTACAGTGCAGCCGGGTAGTTGTTTATAACTTCCTTTTAACTATTTATACAGATTTGAAAATATTTTTCTACAACATTCAATTGAGTTTACATAGGGTAGTGTATTACTTGAGAAGTGTTAATTAATTTTATCTGATTTGATTTTGTTAATTGTTACTACTTGATATCATATCACCGTGACTTTTGGCCTGGTCCCTGAGTTTACCCTCCTAATGACAGTGTCGGCAACTTAGATATCGTCGTTTCTATCAGAGATTCTTTAATCGTTTTTTAAATGTGTTCAGATCAGACTTATCCAAGCGTTAGCTACACAAACCTTGCGTATAAAAGTAAGGGAGTAATCCACGTTCAAACATCTCTACAGTAACTGACTGGCCAACTCATATCTCTAATTATATATATTTAACAACTGCTTTGTTCTCGTCTCTAAAAATGTCTTTTACAAAATTCAAAAAGACAGCCTATAGGTCCAGTACGTAACGGCAGCCGCTCGCCATTTTCGTCACTCTACGTCAATGTTAGTGATGTTTTTAGGTAAAGTAGATAACGGTAGAAGAATTATTGTTATTTTTAAATTGTCAGCAATATCACATATTTGAGTCTGTCAAACAGGAAAGTTCATATTGCCTTATTCGATTTTCATATTTTTTTAAACCAACTTATGTTTTAACACAACCATACTAAATAAAATATTCACGCCACGTCGATTTACCGGAGGCGAACCATCGTATCTAAGTAATAACATAAGGAACTTGAAAGGATTTGGAAGATACTATAGGGGGGCGTTTATAATGCTTACACCAATCAACAAAACGAGATATAACAAAAACACGATATATATAAACAATAAGAGAATGATATGATCGATAACTGGAATATTTTCAGTTGGACATCAAAAATGGACTAGATTTGATAGGAGGGAACTTGTTTTAGGCCATTTGTTGCAAGAATAATTACGTCATCCTAACATCAAATCGAAACAAGCAAGTCATGTGATGCTATATGAATGCAGACACGTGGATAATTGTTTACATTTTACGCCAGCAATTTTTTTCCAGTCGCATCTTCGGCCAGCTGAACGCGACCGATTTTTTATACATATTTAACAAAAAATCACTACAAAGTTGCCATTTTTTTTAACCAATCCCCATGTTGCCCAGAGTCTACGCACAAACCTATTACTAATTAATGAATTCCAGTTGATTCTGTGACTTAAACTAGAGAAACATGGCTCAATTGCATTTAAAAAAAAAAACAACAAGTGCGTAGTCCTAAACAAAATGATTTGAGTTCCGTCAAATTCGATTTCAATTTCTTTAAAAAGCCCGACTAGTCAAGTTACAATGGAACAATTCATCTTGATACTTTCTTAAACGAAATCATTGACAATTTGCTGCTGTTATCCGATCGACAATGGTTAAATTTCATTGGGTTATTCCTTAGGTAGAATTTCGAGTGTTATATACCGAAAGTACACGCTAAAGCGTTTAAAAATAACTATAAATATCAATATTATCACAAAAATTGTACTTATATCACACAGAAAACGAAATCACAAGACACCGTGCGTAAAATGTAAACAAGCTGGGCAACGTGGATGTTGAATAAATACGGATTTGATAATTATAGATCAACAGTAACATAATTACTAAAATCAGTATACAGCAAACCAAGATTCAATAATTGGAATATTGAAAACAATACATCGACAGCATTTGTTCTTAGAGCTATCCCATCTACCATGGCGAAGAGAAACTTGCATTTTTTTTTTCATTTTTTGGATTTTTAATACTTAAATATGTAGTAACACATTTTCTATACTAAGAATTAAGTAGTTTACACGATAATATACTATGAAATTATAACAATTGTACAAGAATTCATCAGCCAATATATACACATATTGCATTTTAAGTTATTATACACAGCAAGTAAGCGTATGCGATCATAGTTGTGTCTATAATCGCCATGAGCAAAAGGTTTCTAAGCAAAATTTTGGCACGATTCATAATTAACCGATGTGTTGTCTTTTAATCAGTATGCAATAATATGACAGAAAATACCTCTAAAGCCTTACTATTTAAAAATGTGTGTAGTATCCTTTGACAAGTATTATAAAAGCGGTTGTTAAAAGCACCCTTTCTTTAGATGGACCTAGTGTTCTCTCTTACTTTACCTGTGCAAAAGTCTTATTAAATCTGATTGTTAAAAAATAGTTATATAGGAGAATTTGAACGGAAACTAACTATATAGTAGTATAGAAGTTGTTTTTTAATCACCTGGTATCCCTCTACAGTCTTTCTAACCATTTAAATACCTTAAGCTACGAACCTTATCCTATAAATAAACTAGACAGAGAGCGCACTTTTGTTTGTCATTTTAAGGCATTTGTTATTTTGATTGATCAACAAAAGGAATAACGGATTTTTGATGTTGCTTAACTAAAGTGGCCCGGAGCCGATTTCAAATTTTTGGAATATTGTGACGAGGAACAGAAGTTCGCAAAACGAATCGAAACGTTAACAAACACACAAAACGAGATTCAAGGAATGTTAATTTCAGTAATTCACTTAGCATTAGTGTTCTATAAGAATGATAATAATTCTACACCTGAGATTGAGGGCCTAACGTTCATTTTGCTACCCCACTCACAACTAGTCTAATTTGAATTTGCGTACCAATTCAGAAAAAATACCTCTGCGTTAGTAGAACGGCAAAACGTTATTGTACAATTAACCTACACGATAAAACTCTTTGATAATATTACAACATACATTATCTTTTTACAGTTGGCAGTACCTTGCTAGCATGAAATCATCGCAAAATCGCGAGATCAACAAAATTACATTTCAACACACTTCGAATCTACGCAGGTACGGATTAGTCTAAAAAATATTTTTATACTAGAAAATATCAATGTTCTGTCAACCATACCTGCACAAGTTCTTTAATCAAATAAATCTTCCAAAATCACACCGTTACTTAGTTCTACATTTTTTCTATTTTCATCAGCAATTTTTATACAATAGTGGGGCTAACCGTAGCCGATTTATTTAAATATACAATCAATTCGCCTAAATATGTTAAAACCCTGTCAAAAAGTCAGGCCCAAATTTTTCAATTGCACATATTAATAGGCACTTGAGTTTGTGCTGTTCACTGCACAACCGGAAAACCAGCAACGTTTAGAGGCGGTTGCTGATTCTCCAGACACTATAAATAACATACTGGTATTTAAATAGTAAAATAATCAGCACGTGGAATAAAAAGCACTAAACTATGACTATCACAACCATGGTTGGAAGAATTTGGCGAAATTCGAAAAAAAAATTTCAGCATTTACATTTATATGACACAAAGGGTCTTTGGTATAAAGTGACAAGAGTTGAAAGAGTTGAGTAATGGTGACGGCAAGATAAATTGTGCAAAGAGACCGAATACTTTTTTCTTTAAGAGGAGAAGAGCTATGGGATTTTCGGCGGATACTAACTCCATTACGGTAACGAAAGCGTATGATGTGACCGACTCATTAATAATAATACTTGAAGACGAAGTATTGCACAGCTTTGAAGATTATGCAACTTCCTGGAGTTTACATTATAATACTAGTTTTACTGACTAAATGCTGCCACTAGATAAGTAACAATTTTATTAAGTATGCCTACAGCTACCTTAAAACTACCCATTAACCATTTCGAATATTTTTTGCAAGTTTCTCTTGATAGACAGAACGCTTGGTCGTGAATGATGGTGAAAATATACGATTTTATGCGAGAAAGGAACAATCATACACATAAACTTACATGTACGATTACATTTCTTAAGTCAATTCAGGGAGTGTGCACAACGAACAAACAGCTGGACATATTGGCAAGCTTATTGTCCGTTGTGAAACAATTACAAAATAGAGTTATATAAAAAACGGTGCTTTAACACGTGTATTAGTGTTTTTTTAAAGCTCATCAGTAAATGTAGATATTCATTTTCGGGATAAAACTGAGACCAAGCAGGTCACGATTTAGTTACATTTAAGTATTATACACGTTATAACAAAGTCAAGAGGCACATCGATTGGTATTATCAAGTGTTACATGATGAACATTGCGCGATTTACTTTCTCTCTAAAAGCGAAAAGCTTCTACGAGTTTAGTTTCAACGATGTTGGCTTTCTACAGCTTACCAACTGATCTTAGAAAAACTGTAATTTCTCCTAAAAGTCATATACACTTTAAAAAGTAAATGTATTATTGCCGATTCATAAAAATAATTCTATACTATATCTATAAGTCAGGGTTTCAATTTTTGGCAGACTTTAATGTGACCTTGTCAAAGTTGCAATAAGACAGATCCGGAACCGAGTTTAACTTGAGTAGATCATCACTTAATCTTCCATGAGACAAATTGAATGTAGGACACAACCACGATATTACTAATGTTACATTAATTGTCTGTTATAATTTTGATATGGCCTTTTACCTCGTACGCAAGTAAACTATGTACCATCTAATAGGTGGAACTATCAAAAGATTAAATGATGTTCATGGTATTATCGCAGTAGGTTTCAATGATATGAGTTAAAACAAAACACAAACAATTCGAATTGCTCACACAACTTTGGCATTTTTAAGTCTTGACTCCTAACTGATTGTTAATTTCCCATTTTTCACGCGAATAAGCGCCTCAAACAATTATGTGTGAGTAATAAACTCAATAATTCTAAAATATGTAATTTTCGGTTTTAAGTCTTTATAAGAAAAGCGTCCACTTCACTTCGAATGCTCCTACATTTAAAAAATACTTAGGTCAGGTCAAGTAAACAAGTCTTATTAACTACCGAACACCAAGAATTTACTACTACGGTTAAGGTAAATTACTTTGCCATATTTCTATTTCCACTATTACATGGTGTAATTATTATATAATATATTCTTTAGTTCATATATATGTAATATATAGTATTTAGTGGCAATGATTAAATATATAATATATATACTTGAAAACACAAGTGGCACTTTGATCACAAATACTGTCAACCTAAGTGAAATACTACGAGTTTAAACATTTATTTAGATAATCAGATTTTATTTATTTTTTCTTTTTTTCGACAATTTTGAAGTTACGTATCGTGTGCATTTCCTGCTTGTACCTAGAACAGAAGTTTCGTTGCTGTTTGCGTATTGCAAATAGTCAGGTAACAGTCAGGTTGGTGGTATTTCAAAATTGCTAAGTTTGGGATCGTTTCACGTGTTTCATACAGCCACGAATCATGTAATCGTGCATCGTCTACACTACCTATTATGATATTGAAGCTGAGCTTATATATATTTTTTATTTTTAATTATTTTTATAAATAAACAACATTACAGTCTAAAAATTCAAAGGTACACAAATATCAGACAATAGGAAACTAATGCGTATAAATTTACCACTTGACGGCTACTTGCCACCAATCAATAAATTAACATCTCAGAAATTTAATGCACACTCGATAATATATACATTATATTAGTAAGTAAATCACAATACTTCATTGGCAGTTGTTCAGACACTTCCTCCTTAATACGAATTACTGCGAATTGAATGACTAGAGATGGAAAATTCAAATGAAATCGAAAAAATACTAAGTAACTTAACAATAAACTTTTGAATTTAATTTTTTTATCCCGATCGATAAAAACTGAAATATAAAGCATCCAGATGTAAGCCAATTATTTCTGCAAAAGCATATAGTTTTTCATATGCATATCCGTTTCATTTGCTACATTTGATGAACCAGTTCTAATTTCTAAGTCTGGTTCGACAAAATTTGAGTAAAAATTGTGACTCTGTTTCTTTGGTGCCAAATAACTAATAACATAACATATACATGACGATATATACCCGATATATATAAAGGAAATTTAGTCTGAAAACATTGAAAATTGGTAGTCTCCAACTGTTAGGTGATGAAGTCATGAAAACAGCGTAATCCAAATATGTATTTCGAATTCTTGATTGAGTCAATTTTAAACCTGTCAGTGTTTCCCAATGTTAAGCAGTCAATGTGTAAATAAATCATAATATAAGGACTATTTTTAAACCATAACACCACCAAATACGCAAATGTTGCGTAAGAATTTTTTTACATTTTTAAATTGCACCGCAGTAACTCGTATTTTTCGCTGAATACATTGCGAACGAAGGTCTACAAATAACTGTCAAACTGTTTCACATATTATAAAATCACTGGTGGGGCATAAGTCTACGAAATACCTACAACTAAATAAATTTCTTTTTATAGGTAAAAACTAATTTAGTACCAGGTTTTTGGTGGTTTTCTTTCTTTTCTGAAACAGTTGTTGAAGGCAGACCGTTTATAAATGGAAGTTATTGAATAATAGATGGAGTGATTGCCGTTTTTTGCTTGTAGAATACTCGCAGACGATTAGGTAAACCAAAGAATGTGAGATGGTAAATATTCCGTAAACAACCACTTAAAGGCCGCGGTATTGAGATGGGGTTCAATTGTCATAGCCAAGTAATTGCTTTTATGTTTTTTTATATGACGTGGAATTGGAATTAAGTTACGTCTTGGAGTCTAATTGTGAAAATATGACCGATAACACCTAGGCGTTTACTTAAACATAGTAGTGAACTATAAAAGATCTATGTTCGGAGCGTATATGTTTCTATCTGGATAGATCAGCGCGTATATAGTGTATGATTCAGAGTTGTGGTTGTCCAATTATATAAGAACACACAATATATCCCTACTACCAAGTTTCTTAATACTAAGTAATATCGTAATTCCTAAACGCTAATACATAGATACTAAAATTGGCAATAAGATACTAAATATTCTCTATTGGAACTTATGAGAAAGGTCTATTTTTTCCAGTAGGCTTAAGTAAAGCGTCTTTTAATGTTTAAAGCAGAAACAGCCTGCTAGAAAGAACAGCCCGTATTTTTGCACCATTTGTCGAAGAAGCGCCCATTTCTTAGATTAAATTCCATTGAAAAATAAAACCTAGCTTTTCAACGACAGCCCTAATTTAATAAAAATACACGTTTTGATAAATTCATTATACAATTGTTCCATTATTTTTGCCCGATATGACTTGAATATTTTAATCTATAAAACAGACGCTTAGCTTTCTTCAGAAGCTACTAAACAAACAATAGCTTTTGAAACAAAAATTTTTTTTTTCGTTTTTTATTTTTATTTTTAAAAATTAAAAAGCCACTTAAGAGTCACAGCACAGTTATGTACTTTTTTAAACTGCTACTTCATTCAAAATGTTTCTTTTGCAAATACCACGGTCGGAAGTTTCTTTTCTTGCATCTGAGAGTATATACGTTTAAATTGCTTAGAACATAAAATTCGATTTTTAATTAGACGCAGTCGAAAAAAAGCTTCGGCCATAGCAGGTTATTCTCAAGGGTCTTTGAACATTACGAAACCAAACTTAAATGCATTATAATGTAAACAATAAATTGAAGATTTGTCGACTTCAGTCTTTTTGCCACTAGAGTTGGTTTGGTAACTTCCGCAAATGGAAAGAAGAGACATACGCGACTAGAAAAATATCTCAGAATAAAGCACAGTAAGGGGTACGTGTGAGTGGCAAAATCAGCTGCCGTTTCGGTATTTGGGACACTGATTGATTCTGAACAATCTCTTGTAAGTTATATTTTGTATTCCGAAAAGCTTCACGTTGAAGGCAGCAACAATTCAGACTTGTTTAAAATTGAGCATTCTTTTTTTTATTCTAAAACTAATTAATTTCCATTTGCAAACTGATACAATTAATGTTCAAAGAGCCCGAAAGTTTAGAAATCTTGCATACCGTTCTTTCATACTGTTAGCTATAAAGTTGAATCTCGATATTGTATGAACACCACAATAACACATGTTTGTTAATTCTTAATGTGATTAAAACAATCACAGTATACAGACTAAAAATGTAACGATATTCAAAGTCTACGGCTAACACATCCATTAAACACAGAAATACATTTATTATATGATTTAAGGATATAATAAACTTTATTAATTAGAACGATATTTGGGTATTAACTTGTTAAAGAATTTTATTACTTAATTTATTTAAGAATACTTTCAATTAGCGTGCAGTCTAAAAACTGATTGTGTGGTGTTTTATTTTGGGAGTAATTCAACCCAAAAATATTTATTTAACAGCTTACGTAACCATGTATAATTTGTAAGTGTAATTTGATATATCAGGAATAGGAGATCACAGGTTCTGCGGGGATTTGAGAGTCCACGAAAACATTTCTGACAGTGACCACTCGCATGCCACTATACCACCGTCTGGTCGAAGATAAGTGATTTTTCTAGATACCAATCAAGGCGACACAATATAGGATAGAACTATTTAGAATTTTTATTGAATGATTGACTAGGCCTCGTGCAATGAAACGGTTTCCGAAAGAGTACTCAACCTCGACCAAACCCAACAACCTCCCTTTAGTTCTTGAATAACAGAGCGGGGCTCAATGCTACGATTTCAATTTATAATTCGCGTCTTTTTTTCTTTCGTGTTTTCAATATAGCAAGTATAAAAAGCTCAGTCTTTACCCCATTTTTCCCGACTCCTAACCGTAATTAATCTTGATGGCAATTTTTTATACGAGAATTGATCGCTCCCACTGCTAGCGTGCTTGCAACGGAATCAATTACAAATATTTTCCAAGAACTACAAGGGCATTGGCCACCTTTCGCTCTAAAGTAACTCTTGTTACATATATCCCCAGCATAATTTTTCCATCGCCCTATTTAACCAAAACGAAAATAGGATAGGATACATGCCACGAAAAGATTACTACACCGGGTTCCTTACCATATACAAATAACTTAGGTACGTTTCAAATTAGGATTAAACCATATTTAAAAACAACGCTAATATTAAAGAGTGTTAATATATAGGAAAATATCTAAATATGAGAAAGTCTATGCTAAGAGCTCGAAATATATAAAATGTAATTATTATGAGTTTGGTCACGTATTTAAATATATATATATTTCATTATATATTATATTAATATTAAACCTTGCTTAATTGGGACTAGTTTAGGTTACATTCCATATGCGTCACTTGGTGCGTTCAAAGTTGAGCTCGGTACCACTAAAATGTAAAACGCATCGCAGTCGGATATTAAGTCACTAATCTTCTTGACACAGTGGTTTACTATTCCGTTATAAAGCTAATTAGTTTCATTTATTATTTTCAACAGGCCACGCTACTGGTTAAAACGGACACTACCAGTAAGGCTTTAAAAATAAAAAAATGGCAACTCGAAAATAAATAAAAAGAATGCAAAATAATAATATAGCTTCCCAATTTTGCGCACTTTAAAGGCAAATCGTGTACATTTGGTAAATCCACCTCCCCTAAATTTAACCTTATTGTAAATAAAAAAACAAGTATATTCTAGAACAATGACTACGTCGATCACTGAATAATAATCAGAGATAAAAATACAACGTCTAAACGGAGTTTGCGATTAAATTATACAATAAATATCAATCAATCAGTAAATTATTAGTTAATTTTAATTCGTACAGGTAAAACGAAAAAAATGTAACAAAACGCGATAAAACTTAATAACTCAACTGATTGATAATTATTCAATATCTTTCGTTCTCTTCTTGACTTAAATTCATGTGTCTCGTTTGATTTACATGGACTCACCTCCTAACAAGTCATTCGGTAAGAACGAGTTAAGGCTGGAGGGGGTGGCTCTAGCTGGGTCACTAGAATCCAGAGGTGTATTTGCCCATAAACTTGATGGGTTATTAGGCCATCCTGTGCTCCAGGTGTCTCCACCTAATCAGAAAGTGCAATATTCTAAACAAGATGCGCAATGTTTTCAATAACAATTCACACAATTCAAATAATAACCCCACGGATAAATTCAACTATACAGCAAAAGTTTGCTGTATCTCTATTCCTTGCTTTGCTATTCAGATAAGTAACGCGAAACATACCTGGTTTGGATGAGGAGTTACGCCAACCTCCGGATGAACTCTGTTGATTAGCAATACTTTGTAATAAGGTGCTTGCATCCCAGTCTGTGGGATTTTCTGCTAAAATTGTCGTGTTGCCGAGAACGCAATTGTTCAACGCAGTTTGAGCCTATGAGAAAACATGAAACTTGAAAAACAAGTCCCCATATCAAAGCACGTACATGTTCAATAAAATTTCAATCATTCAATAAAATCGAATCAGTTACTCTCATAAATTGGATCCGTTGTTTATAATCATGTCGAAAAGGTTAATTAATTACTAGTTTCTAAACACAAAATGATGATGTCTGAAAATTGCTGATGATTAAACAAAAATAAGACTTCTATCATTCATACCTTAGTAGCTTCTTCACGAGAAGAATATTTGGCAAGTGCAAAACCTTGGTGAAGGTGGAGGTGGAAACTTAGCAATGGGCCATGTTGCATGCAAAGCGTTCTTAGAGTTGATCCATCGATCTAAAATGGTCATAAAAGACAAATTTTTTAAAATCTATTCACCACTTAATTTGGTACATTCTTAAAGGACTGAACCAATTTATTTACATATAAATTTCTTTTTAAGTTATTGCCATATAGAAATAAACAATTTTTTTAAATAATTATAAGGAAAAAAGACAGTAACAGTTTTCTCAAAATAACAAAGTTTTCTGAATGTATAATGAAACCAATACTTTTAGTAGTCGGTCTGCTGTGAAAAAACGTATATCAATAATGTTAAAACTGCCTGGAGAACATAAGATTAGAGAGTTGATCAAGTTTTCAATAGTTTTCTCTAATGTAGTCGCTTTTTTCGTTAATTTCGACAACTTGAAAAGAACGAAAATGCATGTCACAAGTATCAGTGTAAAATGTGTGAAAAGCTCATAGTAATTGACATGAATTTCAATCAATAAAAAAACAAATTTTGTTTGAACTCAACCAGATTAAGCATATGTAGGTAATGTTTACTTGCAAAAACAAAAATGATGATTAAACCACACTAAAACGAATGAAGAGGAGAAATACAAATATTCAAAAATAAGACACAAATCGATATTTTCTTAAGGTGATGATTAAAATTAAACACACGTGAACAGTTAAAACATGCAATAACAATTTTATTGGTTATAGTTATGTTAAAAATTATTTGGTTTTTATTTAAAAAAATATTAGTGCCCTCATACTTCCATGTAATGATTAATTTAAAAAAAGTATTTAACACACAAATTTAGTATTTGGAAAAGTAAACTGATTAAAGTTTGAAAATTTTATACTGATACAAAGAACAAAATCATTGAAAACTGAAAAACCAAAATAAATTCGTCTATCTAAATTTTTACCTGGGCAGTCAGATTTCTAAGTAACAACCATTGAGATGGGCCCACATTTCCACCCCAATTACCCGAATTGCGTTGAACAGGGTTGGATGCACCGCCCCATGGGGCGGAACCACCGGACAATTGACCAGCCCAGCCGTTAGTGAGAGATCCACCACCGCCACTCTTGGACGATAAGCCGGGTGGAGGTCCACGCGACTTTGGAGCTCCCCATAATTCAGCAGTAACGGCAGTAGTAGGATTCAGATCGCCCAAACCGCCTTTGGATTGAAGCTTGTTCTGGGGACTGACAAACGATACCACATAGTAACGATTCGCACACTACATTTCAAAAATTAAGTAATCGGTGTAGAAATTTTATCTAAACACAATTTGCCCTTTAACTTTTCAGATCAAGGAAATTCAGCAGATCAGGAAAAGTTTCATGAGATAAACCGCAATCGAGGTCAAAGTTTTGGACGGCTGGTTGGATCAACTCCTGTCTACGTAGCCAGGAGTTGACTTTATAATATCATCGACAACTTACCCAGTAAAAGTACTCGAGGTAGACGGAGGATTGAAAGACCAAGTGGATGAACTAAGAGATTGCATTGCGTCAGTGGCTGGAGGACTTTTGCTAGTCCCAAAAAGCTCATTGTCCTTGACATTTATGGTTGCAATCGACAAAGGTGACCGCACTACTGAACCAGGAGTAATGCTCGGATCATCTTCGATCGACTTCTGGTTCCCCTAGAATACGAACAGATGCAATGATGTGCATGTATTGCAAAATGTTAAATGCTTTCATGTGCTAGACAAAGCAAAAAAAAAAAATATTAGAAGAGTAATAATACCTTCCACGGCTTTCCAGGTTCAAATTCAGGTACTAAATCAGTCAAAGATGGTTGAGGAGGAACTGCAGTCCACTGTGCGTCTTTGATATCGTTTCCACTATCAACGCCGCCAGAGTCTGGCCAACCAGTGTCACCAGATCGTCCACTTGACCAAGGCCTGAAACAGCTTGAATTAATTTCATAACGGCAAAGTAAAATCCCGTACTTCTTACCCATCAGGCTGAGTTAATCCCAGAGGTGCCATATTAGGTGAGGTAGCTACTGGCTTGGATGAAGAACCTGGTGCTCTGCTAAATTCACTGCTCTCATCCTTGTCTTTGTTAATCCACTGGTTCAGACGTGACTGCTGCTGATTCTACAAGATGTACAAAAAGTTGTATTAAACCACTGCCGCGAAATTTTTAATGGCTAGCAGATTATTCAACTTACCGGGTCTTTGTTCAAAGTAAGATCGGAGAAATTGCTTTGCAAAGCGTTGATTGATTCATGCATTGGGTTGGACTTAAAATCATATCCGATACCCTGTTGTTGTTGCTGTTGTTGCTTGACATAGTGGGCTTGTTGAGCTTGAATTTGGTTCTGAAAAAAAGGTAAACATTGCCAAAATTCGATCGATAACAAGTTCACGAAGCTAAAAAAAATCTTCGTAAGTTTATCATTACCTGAATGTTTATGATTTGTTGCTTGGTCTTGGTGATAAGAACCGAATACTGCATATGAGTTGGATTGGACAGGTTAACTTTTGATGATTGTGCAGCTAACTGATGATGACTGTTCAACTGTTGAAGAGCTTTTATTTGCTGCAGCAGTTGATTTAACAGAACCAGCGTTTGAGGAGCCAGAGGCTGATTTAAGATCTACAACAAAAAAACATGACTGTATTGCGACTAACAACAATCGCTGTACTTTTTAACTACAGGACGGTTTTTACCGCACATTATAGAAAAATAACCTATTTGATCTGTACCTGGTGGTTAAGATATCCAGCTTGAACCGCCATTTGGATTTGTTGAACGAGCATCCGCAACTGTTGAGTAGATGGTTGACCTTGAGGTTGCAGAGGACGACCTCCTGAAGGACCAACGAAACCTTGACCGCCAACACCGCCACCGCCTTGTTGGGTCAACATTTTTTGTACGACAGCAGGAGAAATATTATTGATCAGGGAGCTGAAAGACCACACAGTTTATTTAAAATACTCTCTTGTGATGAAAAACCGCTCTTACCTATTTGCTTGACCTGCTCCTCCCATGCTATTTAGTAAACCAGGACCAGCCCCTGGTGGAAATCCAGCCGATGCTAATGGATTACCACCGGGACCACCAATTCCTGGATATCCGCCACCTCGTTGAGCACCCGGGAATTGATTGTGTTCGAAATGATCATCGTGTCGCCCGCCTGAGCCCCAACCGTCATTTCCCCGGGCCCGTATAGGACTAAGGAACTCTAATGCGTCATCCACATTCATATCGCGCGCGCGAAGTGCGTTCTCGACCTCTTCTTTCTAAAATCGCGAAGAAATCACAATTAAATGGCACTAAAATCAACGACTAATCACGTGCCTTGTAACCCATGTCAACAAGCATTCGAAACGGTTTTGAATTCCACACTTGTTCTTTGGTAAGTTGGGGTTTATTTTGTGGCTTGTGACCCCATTCAAGTTCGGCAGCATCCCAAAGTCCGCCTGGACCTTTCTGCTTAGCCCAGGCTGCTGCTGAATCGTCCCAGCCTCCTGCTGGGCCTGCGACATCTTCCCATCCATTGCGCCCAACGCCAGCGCCACCGCCGCCTCCACCCCAAACACCGTCAGGTTTACGGCCAGGCGCCATTCCTGGTGGACCGCCTCTACCTCCGCCCATGGCACCAGTGCCTGTGGGAATATCTTTCCAATGAGACCCTATCAAATAAGCAGTAAGCATAAGTATATCGTACCGAACGGCAATGGTTTAATTTCTTTAAAAAATATACAATTATTCAGCGGACAATATCTGAATACCTCAACTAACCGATGATAGTCAGCAATTGACAAAAAGAATTCCCCAATGATAGCCCTTTTAAAGCACTTGAATCACCCTATGTAGAAAATGTATTGAGCTGATTGTTCCTATATGTACAGTATTCCCCAGTGGCGTGCCTTCTGGGTAATAAACGGCAAACTCGATAAGCTTGATGAAATGCTCACCTTGCTGTGGGTTTCCCCACAAAGATGTCCCGTCGTCGTAATTGGACATTGCACGTCTCTGGGTTGGGGGCGACGGTTCCTCCCAGCCTGCGGTATTTCCGGGCCCGACAGGCATTTTGTTGGGATGGTGCATTCCTCCGGGACCTGCATGTGGAGCGCTTTGGCTCCAAAATTCCGCACCGGCTCCATTCAATCGTCCAGTGATTCCTTTAAACAACAAAATAATCTATTGTAGATATAAATGCGACACAATCAAGAATATTGCTTTTCTATTGCATTGCAGCTGCATTAATCAAGCAATTGGAATTAGTTCAATTTCAACGTCAAACATACATTTCAATCAAAATAATAAATTGTATGTGCAAGATGCTGATGATATTGTGGACCATGACACATCTAATAGCTGGCATACGAACGAAAATAGTTGTCACTGAGGTAAACACACATGTTCGCTGTTAAAAATAGAAGTAGAAGATTCAACAAATTTTTAAATCTATGGTACTTAAGTAGATTTACCTACATACTATTTTTAAACTGCCGCTCTAAATCAACTGGTAGTGTTCAGTTAACGACAGGACGCAATTACAAAACTGTACATTGTAATATTAATTGTGTAGTCCGTTTCATGTGCCATATCGCACCGCTAAACAGTGATTGAGAAATTGTCTTTTCTTTAGTTTGACGCTGTTAAAACGCAAATAAAACATACCTCTTGGATCACCTCGCATATCACCGCCAGTCATTTGTCGCATTTCACGAGGATCTAACTGTCTGGGATCGAGTCCTGAAGCTGCAGCAGCTGCACGCAAATCTGATCGCATGCTGTCCATTGCAGCGACACTTGCAGCTGAAACCGAGGCTCTTGGATCAGGAGCAGACCGAGGATCTGCCCACCCAGAACTATTTCCTCCATTTGAACCTGCGGCGCGCTTATTTGAGTCTAAGAGCGTGGTAGATGAAAGAAATACAGTGCTATTATTGGGAAGACACAACGTAAACGACAGAGATTTGAAGTGAACTAATTGGAATAAAATTTTGAAACATTTGGAAGACGTTGGTTTGACCAAAGTTGCCACCAATGATGAAATCAATAATTATATTTCAAAGGCTGTTTGATAAACCAGTTAAAATATAAGTACGGTATTTCTTTCATTTGTGATCAAGCAGGTATTTAAAGCCAAGGGCACACCAAAATTAGTAATGCCTTTCAAGTAAATAATCCAAAGACCAAACCACCAAAGCTTTCAGATAGTATTCGATTTAGCGCACACGAAAACCCATGCTACAAACTAAGTGAAGTGTTAGCTTACCGCCCCACATAGCGTTTGAATTGTTATTTCCCCATTGCTGTTGGTTGTTGGGCACTCCGGTCCAAACATTGGAGCTGTCCGCAGTATCGTCATCCTCTCCCCAAGTTCCTCCGATATTCGTGGAAGGAGTGTGACCCCAAGGTGTCTTCTGCTGGGGTTGAGGAGGTGGCTGGCCGCCATTTCGTAGATTGGCTTCCCAAAGTTCCGTTCCATTGTTAATAGCAGGTTTCCAAGGTGGAGGGCCGGTTCCATCTATTTTCATTGTCGGTTCCGGACTAGCTGGAATGTCCCACTGTGTGTCCTGGTTAACATGCTGCTAAATTCAGAGAACAGTTTTACTTAGTTTCACCCGAAACGATCGCGCTTGATATTTTACTTATTTCTCCGATATTTGACTGGAATAAATTGCAATAAGTACTTACGCTACCCCAGCCGTCCGTGCTGAATATCGCTTCACGCATATTGTTCAGTTGCTCGAGTTGTAGTTTAGTGGAGTTAGTGGCATTCGATTGAGGATTGTTCTGTGCATTGTTATTAGTCGGGGGGGCGCCAGTAGCCGGAGGGCCGTTGGCACCAGGTTTGGCTCCAGGCTGAACCCAACCAGCGCTATTCGATTGCGTTGTTGGGGGCTGTTGGCCGCCAGCATTCGCTTTATTGGCTGCAAATGTTAACGGAACCCGTTAAGTCAATTGATTCAACAGCATATACTTTTCTTTAATGGCAATGGAAAAAAGCATTGTTTAACCACATGCACGAAAACCCCTATCGATTTTCAGGTCTAAAAGAGGTGATTAAAAAGACGCTCCATTCTTAGAAAAAGTCTTGTATTGGATGCACTGAAAAGGCAACGCTTATATGTGCGAATACCGGGTGTTTCATCAATACACCCGCAAACTTTTAGGGATGGTTGATTTAGATGCATAGGGCCAAAAACGACACGTTCTTTTCTATTTATTTGTCAAAAGCATTCACACTTTGTTGCTGAACCAGCACTAGACCGTAATCAGTTACATGTAGCTACTGTTATACAGGATGTTTCAATTCAAATGAACAGTGTCCACTTTCTATAAAACTTCTCGGGAATCTCTTTAAACCAGGGTAAGCTAAAACATGTTAAATAAAATGGTTCATTGACAGATCGAATGCCTTCTATCTGCCTTATATTTGTAGCAAATTTAGGGCGGGCAGTAAACAGGTAAACGGGTTGGCGGTAGCATTTTGTCTCAATTCCGACCACCTCCTCTAATTGTAAAAATGTATAGTCAACTTAGCCTTTTACAACTGTTGAATACATAAAATGAAACAGTTTACCGTCACTTTGTGAGGAAGCTGGTGTGCGATTAGCATTGTTATTCCAATACTGGGTGCCGGTGTTGTTCGGATTCGTGGCGTTCGCTACACCCCAGCCGCTTGAATTATTCACTAAAGAAAGAAAAATACACCATGTTGACTTAGGATTGAAGCCGAAAATTTGTTTAGTAAACAAAAATGCTAATTGCCACCAACCTATTTCGATTAGTACTTTCAATAAGAAACAGAGATCGTAAATGTCATCTTTTATCACAGTGAAGAATTAAAACTAATTCGCCACCACATGAGCTTGCAGTTGTGCAAGCACTCACCGTTATTGTTATTGCCCTGTTGAGATGGAGGGGTGCCCCATCCAGAGGTACCGGTGCTTAGAGAACTTTCACCGCCTCCTTTAAGTCTCAATGGGGTGTATCCTTGTGGTAAGTGATCGTACAATGTGAGCGGTGTCATATCCCTGAAGAATACAATCGTGTATTTTAATACTGTGTTTAGATTTCTATTCAATGGGAGTTATAATAGAGAAGTTTGAAGATGTGTAAAGGAAACCTACTGGTCACAAAAATCAGTTCGTTCTTCGTCCATATCGTTGTTATCACCATGAAGAGTAGTTACTGTCGGAGTCTTCAAAGCGTCGAGTACTTCGAGGTCATCAGACTTTTGGTTGGGAATGTCTCGTCCGAGGGGCAAAGCACCAAACTTACGACTATCTACCTTATCATTATCTACATTATTATTATTATTAGTTAAATTATTGTGGGTGACCGTTTCACGGTCATTACGTTGTATTTTTGGTACGGTAACAGAGTTCAGAAGACAGTTATCGGTCACAGATTGCAGCTTAAGATTAGGGGTTGAGGCCTCGCGATTTGGCGCCGCGGGGCCTCCACCAGAGCCAAATATCACAGCTTGAGCGGCGGATTTCCCACTAGGGAAATGCACGCCTAATGGACGGACCGGGAGGTTGACTCGACCCCCCCGAAACGCCCATACGATTTCGTCTTGTACTGGTAGGGGTGCGCTGCCCCGCATGGCTGACTCTTGAGGCACTTGGTAGGTAGGAAATATATTAGACTTCGGCTCGGAGGGGGTGGGGGCGCGCATCGTCACTAGTGCTCCATTGTCAGTCAGGTCAGCCACAATTCTGAAATGGACAAAAAGTACTGGTATTAGTATTAGGTGCAGCAGCATGTAAAACCCGTGTTTTATAAGGAAGCTTGTGAGGGTTTCGTAAACGTCAATTTTCAACTCATCAGAGCGGATTTTCCCATGTCTGATACCTACAGAAAACATTCAACTCAATTTCTTTCACAGAAACTTAAAACGAGGAAAAGCTTAACCGTTTTCCAATCTTGTGGGAAATTGTGTTTCAGACGCGCTTTTGGCGCCGTTGCTGAAAGCTGCCGACTAATTTCCAGAAAACCATTATTTAACCAGTTCACATTGGAAAGATCCTCTCAAAACCACCGAGCGATATTTTTTTCAATTCTTGACAACAGCACAAAAATGTATTTTGGAACATGCTCATCAAACATACTAAAAAAAATCATCCACCCACATAAACTCGCTTAACCGTCAGTCAAGATTTTTTCTTATAGAGTTATAACAATGACGGTGAAAACAAACAACGTCGTGGCACGGTTGCCAAAATGCCACACATATAACAGCCAAAAACAACTCCAATATTGATTAAAACCATTATATTTATAAGCGATATTTGATGCGGGCATGATAAGTATAGAAAAAATTATTATAACATCGCTTATATGAATTTCACGTATTCGCTATCCAAACCGTGATAAGATAACATTTGGTGTTGTTTACTTTTACTTTAACCACGAATTGTGAATTGATATAATGCAGCCATTTAAGGAGAAAAACGGAAATAAACTGGCCTTAAAATCGGCAATAACTACATTACGAGACGGAAAATGGCGTTTCAATTACAAGAAATGCACGGGAGGGAAACAAGTCAAGTGTTAAATTAGCAAATTGACACTGAATTCTTCAATTCGTTGCAAGCAAAAAAACATGGTCGATCACTGATAACGAGAAACCGCAGAATGTAACTATTTATACTATTTTAACATGTTTGATTGCATCCAGCTAGAAATTTAAACGGCGATCGACGATAATTTAATGATTATTGAATGTCTGATGTCTTTTGAATCGTGCTCTAGAAAGGCTTAAGCCGAAGAACACAACGAGCAAAATACATATGCGGAGGTGCGTTGGTAAGATACAGAGCAGATTTGTTTAGCTTTATTGTTAGCGAATTTTATGATTTTGGAAAAACGCATTAACTTTCTCCTCTTGTATATTTTGATGACAGCGGACTTTACAGTCGAAGTAAAACCAATTTAGTGTCTTTCAGTTGCTTAATTGGGTCGCAAACTTTGAATCAAACAACTGCGCTAATTATTCGTTATCAGTATGGTTCAATTGAAAACTGAAATAACATTATTTGAATTGAAAACATCCTGGTATAATAATAGCTGCATTTATGCAGAAAGGTATGCAGATACAGCGGCGCAAAAAGTTCAATAATTTACATAAAAATGCTTTAGAAACTAACCCAAAGTAGCATAGTTACTAAATGTTTTAAAATAGGCTAAAGCAGTAAAAGGTGAACATGTACGAGGTTTTTTGTTTAATCTATTGCATTTCGCGTTTAAGGCGCTTTGTACAAAAGTGTTCAAGAATTACGACTTGAACCCTACTAAAAAAAGAGAATGGCCCGATGTGGAGAGTCAAAAACCTTCTTGCTATCCGAAAAAAAAAACATTTTCTGTGAAGATTCCAGACCTCAAGCAGTAGGATTTCTTTATGGGACACAAGTGAAAACACTTATTTATTCAACTGTAAAACAGAGCTGCAGGAACAAACTCATCGAAAGAATTGATCGGCAGAAGATCAAAGACAATATGAGACAGGGAATGAGGGTTCCGAAGGAGGATTGAACTACGCATTGTACAAGACTGTGGTTGCATTGACCAGCTTAAAAAAACATGTGCCTAAGACGACCTGGTAAATTCAAGCGCTTTATCATTCACGAATCGTCGAGAATTCAAGAAACTGTGTCAAAAATGCTGTTAAAAAACTGTAAAAGAATTCATGTACGAAATATATCGAATACCTGGGCAAACAAAGATAAAATATTCAAAGAATAATGAAAATTTCGGACAAATCAAGCCACGGATTGCATTGTGATGGAAAGAAACAGTGGTAGTTTTTACTTATCCTCAAGCGGATAGGCCAAAACAGACACTTTCAAGAGATTAGTTAGTTACAAATCGCAGTCATAAAAACATGTTTTTTTATATTTTTTCTCTTATGAACTCCATCAAGCTTTGGCCTAATGGTGTAAATGTTTTGGCTGTTTTATTGAAATTGTCTGAAACTGGCTGAATTAAGCATTGATCAGCAAGGAGCAGAGGGTGAAAAGTTGGGAAAAACACAAAGAAATTTGCCTTTATTGATAATAATTTCATAGCACTAGTTAAAATGTAATACCCAGAGACCCAAATGTAAAAAAATCATGCATGACGAGCAAAGTAAGAGATGAATTGTGAATCTAACACCAAGATTGGAGGCTAGTAAATCCCCCAACTTTCACGTGTGGCAAGCATTGTTCGCTTGAAACTGGCAGACATTTTTTTTGACGGATTTCCTTCTTCGCCTTACGGAGACGAGTTTTGCAGTGATCACCCAAACCTTCCATCTGAAACGTACAAATGCAAGAAACTGGCAGAGCAACTATCATTTTTCGATCAATTATGCATGGAAACTTTAAGGTTGAACCACCCTGTATTGTAGGAGCAAACATATTTGATGGGTGTCTTTAGGCAATTATCAGCCAGTTCCTGAGCTGTAAATAACGCAAACCAAAAATAAAAACGTGAATTTTAAATATCTGAGAGTTGAATTTAAAGCTGGTTTAACGCCCACGGCCCATACTAACGTTAATAATAGAAATGAAATAATGATTAAATTAAGAAAAAGACTCCAAGGCGACGATGAAAATGGGTGTTGAACTGGAGTATTTTCGCAGCGGTAGATATCAGTATCTGCACACAAACAGGCAATAATGGAAGCGAGCACTCGATAAAAACGTGATAGAAGAACTGTAAACATTGTCGTGGTGAAATCTGCAACATTTCCTTCGTTGAAATCGCTAGACGAGTGAAATGAGACAGATTTCAAACACATAAAACTGTTGGAAAAGCTGCAATTGATCGAAATATGCGAATTACTTACGTAGAAATTTGGACGCCACCGAATCAACTAGCGAAACTGATTCGAAAAGAGGGGGACACCAAAACTTGGCTTGAGAACACACAAGTCATTATTCAATGCGCACTTTTCATTAAACCACGATATGGTTGTAACGAATATAAAGTTGATGTACTTATCACACTTAACTGAATGAGAATACTAAATATCACAATATTTTTAAATTTGGCGTTAAAATACTTGGATTTGCGGGCACCTCAGATTTGTTTATTGATCCGCAATTACGTGGCAGCACTTCTATCTCTATTCTCCGCCACTCCACTGCTTCGCGACTCGATTGTTACTCGGATTCCCTCGGCTCCATACGACGATTGGAAAGTGTGCGATAGAAACAAGTTTTGATCGTCAATAATATGCAACGTTGCCGACCTGCCTCCCATTAAAAAAAACTACTTCCCTTGACTGCTGTTTTATTTCCAGTTATTTTTTCCAAAATAATATTTTTACTAACTTGTTGATGCAACGCAATACTTTGTACAAACCTAACAAAAACAAAATAAATTAGCCGGAACTAACCAAAAAAAAAAAATCCTACAAAGTGTGCCCTAAAAAAACCAAGTATAAATTAAATAAGAATTTGGCAAATGTGCGGTATTTTTGGAATTGCATCGCCCAGACATCGCTGTGACAGAGAGCCTGAACAGCATGGCGTTCTTTGTTATCTCATGGGAGTGTAAATCTCTCATCTCTCAAGGTAAAAAGTGTACAATTAATGACGAAGTGCGCACCCTGATGCGTAAGCGACTTCTCATTGCTGTCAAAGAAATAGACCAGATGCATTGGGCATGTAGAGAGGGACTTTTTCAGAACAGCAACTTCTAAGAAAGTGGTTGCCAGATCGATCACCAAGGAGCGACCGAATAAAAAACTCCTTTTATTCTCTGAGATTGGCCGACGTTTCGACCCTTTATTATTTTCCACGAGAATGTTTAATCATTTACAGTTATTCCCCTTAGGGCTTAGTTTGAACTCGCTTATCAGATAAATGAGATAGCCAAACGACAGGTTGCTCGGCACTGAATGCAAAAGCAAAAATGCTGCTCGAGTTAAAAGAATTAAAGCCGTCGACTCGGTAAAACACGGCAACACGGGCTATAGAATGGCACAGAAAAACAACCAAGCCTGGCAGACAACTAAATACCGAGACTTACTTCATTATTTCGCTATTTCGAGGAACAACAAGTAAATAAATAGATTATGTATGCAGAAATGTAAACAAATGCACGATCGCCGATTGCGGCTTTCTAATTCGGACACCAGCGGTTTGATGACAAGACAAAACAATCGCTAATTAGCTTAATTATTTTTTGGTACAAAACATTTGCTACCAAGTTTGCAAACATACCGGAAAATGTTCCAGGAATAAACAGTGAAAATTCCGAAAAATTTTACACATCAGACCCTAATGCCAAAGGCAAAAAACATCTGCAAATTCCCAAAAAGTCAATTAAAGTTGTGCCCAGTTGACAGGAAAATGTGCAGTTTGATGACCCAGAATAGTGAAATTCTAGTTCTTTCCCAAACACAGCCAAGGCAGTAAACGGAGGGAAACTAATGTAGAATTCGATCGAAAACTATGGGAAAATCCTCATCAGCTAGCCTTAAAAAAATTGAAACAAACACCTTGAACAAAACTCGTGAATTCCTCCTGATAGACCATCTAGCGCAATTACTTAGCGTGCGTCTTAGCGAGGGTTCAATTCTATTGCGCATCAAACGCGGGGGTCATCAAACCTCTTCACTAATGGCTACTTCTGCGTAAATTTTGCAGCAATTAGCGAAGGTTTTTCTTTTATGCCTGGCACAGGTGCAAAATTATGCAACACGCCTAAAGAATGGCCGACTATTTGGCGTTTATTTGCAACTTTTCGCAGTTCACGTGCTCGATCATTCTTCAGGTCAAGTTGGTGCTGTTGGTCGTTTCAACCTCCAGCTTGCCAGCAGCTTGGCAGCGGCCTGCCGAGAGCGCGATTTCACGCCTCAATGGTAAATTTAAATGGAAAATGGAAGTGCATTCACGTTAATGCTGATTAGAAACATAAAAAATGTCATAAAATTTCAGTTTTAATGGTAGCGACATTAACAGCACGTAATAGCGAATCCGGATCGGACAGGTAGTGCGACATTTAGTTCCGCACTAAAAATGGTTTGCGGGAAATCAGTTTTGTCACATCCGCGCGTTTCCAATCGCGGCAATCACAGTCGGCCTATCAAAACTGCTATTCAAGTGCTGTTAGCCGCTGTAGTCCGAGGGCAAACGTTATTTCCTACGGCCTTTTTTTAACAAAGGAACCATATCGAACAGTGTGGGGAAATTGAACTTCTATTTCTCTCTATGTTCTAACTATAATATGTCACAAGCCTTTTGGCAGTGACGTTTTGATTGAAGATTTTGATTTGATTTTGATTTTTTGAGAGAAATAGAAGAAAAAATGAGAAACTCGTTCAAGATCTTAGCGATGATACTGGTCCTCACAATACTGCAGAAGAAAATGTATCGGAAAATTGAAATGAGAACCTGCAAAAACTTACAGCAACTGGCAACAGTCGAAAATCAAATCAATAATTTTGATGCCAGGCATACGTTAATCACGTCAAATTTTCGTCTCGCTCGGTGGACAAGCAATAGAAAAAGATCGAGAATTATTGCGTCACTGCCAAAATGCTTGGAACAGACTATAGTTCGTTATTGTCAATATAAAACTGGTCATAAAGCTGCCAGCCATAAAGTTTAACGGGGGGGCATCGCCATAGGTAACTTTTAACGAACTGTATCCTGATTAAGAACATAGTCTCAATGTACTAAACTAATTCTGGAAGTGGCACTCGTTTGCTTTATTAGATATTGAAATATGGGCAAAAACCACGCGAGAAACTTGTTTGTTGACTTTGCAACTGGCGCCCAACTTGATTGATAGGCGAGAAGTGAGCAAAATCAGACTGAGTGGGACGCTGTTTTGGGAACAAATACGAATAAAACAGAAGCGATAAAAACGAAATCAAGCTTCTAATGGTGAAGTTTCAGGTCTATTTCAGCAGGCCAGCGTTGCGCCACCACCGATAATTCACTCACGAATGGTTTCGCAGCCAGAAAATGCCGTCGCCCTACCCTTCTGCCACCCGATATTCCCTTCCACCCCCTTGACCTTAAGCCCCCAGGTGACCCAGTTTGGCGGGAACTAAATGGGGCGGCGCAAAGGCTGCAGTTCGAATCGCTGTTGCATTGTAGGCCTTCGGATTTATTTTATGTTTATTACATTTTATTCAACTGGCTTTTTCAAGATTTTCAATTTACATGCGAAAATCCGAGTCTCCGTTTAGCAGCAGGAAGCAAAAGCCGGCCACAAACATTTAACAAATTTGTAAAATAGCTAAAAGGTTTTTTTTTTGTTTATAAAATGGACAAAGATAACACAACGATTGCAAACATATTTCAAAATTATCAAATTTGTTATTTATTGTCCCTGAAATAGCAACACTTATCTGAAGCCTCAGTTTCACAAATATTCGACTGTACGATTTCCAATAATCCAAAAATTCATTTACAGTAATTTCTATTTTATTTTCTGCGAAAACTGTTGGAGTGGATTAAAAATCAGTTGTGCCTGTTCTGAAACGAATGAAATTGGTACAGTCGGTCGGTCGCAAGCTTTTTGGCAGTGACGCAATAATTGTCGATCTTTTTCTATCACACAGCGATTGAGCGAGACAGAAATTTGATGTTCTTAACGTATGTCTTTCACCGAGTTGTTTGGATTTGCCGAACTACGGATGAATCTTAAAATTATTGATGTTATTTCTTGGCAAACGTTGGCAGTTTTTGCGAATTTTTCCAAGTTATCATTTCAAGTTACTGATACATTTTCTATTTGTGTTTGTGTTATTTTCGGGCACCGAAATTGCCTAATAAAATTGTGAGGGCGAACAATGATCAATTTTGCTGATATTTTCACCACCATCGCTTAAATCTTGTGTGATATCCTCATTTTTTTTCGAATTTCTTCATAATTTGACTGCAGTTAACGCTAAGTACTGAATGTGAAAGAAAATTTTCAAACCAATTTAGGACATAACTATATTTCTAGACGGCTCGACTAATGCCGTCAGTGCCAAAAGAATTGCGACATTTTAAAGTGCGAACTTTGAAAAAAAGTCCAAAAGGGGATTCACATAATTCCTACAAATAACGAGACCCAAATTAAAATTCGATAACCTTCAAAACGTTATCTGCTAAAGCAAATACACCGTTCCAAACTGATACATCAAACATCCAAAATGTGTTTCAATTCAATGAAATTTGCGGAAGCACCGTTTCCTATTCACAAAAAAACCGATGGCGCAAACAATCTTCCCCATTTTTAGCCTACTTGGCGTTCAAATAATTGTCACGCTGCGTGCCAATGTAATTGATTAAATATAAGGAAAACGCAATTTCTACCATGGATGCTTGGCAGGGTGGTTAATACAGTGTTGCTTGAACCCTATTCAAAAAAGCATCAACTGATAAATGTTGTGTAGTTGCTGAGCAGATGCAGCCTTGGATTACGTAACAAAAATAGGTATAGGCCTTTGCGCAGTTGTTTTCACTGCTCTATTGTGAAAAGCATATAACATCACGCCCGCAAATATAGAGAAGGCAAATCCACGCGACTTTGGTAGACCTGCACTTGAAAATTGATATTTTGCCTTTGAAATGAGGACAAAGCGCTATTGCCGTCCATAAGCGTTTGCGGCGAATTTATCAGACTAATCTGAAAACCGTCCCAACGCAGTTTGTAACCATTAGAAAAAAGTTATTTGGTTAAAATTAAAGGGTTTGAATACCTACCCAATTTTTAAAAAAATAAATGCAACAAAAATTCAACTGAATCGTGTATAAAATAACTGGTTAAGCCCGTGTCCCATGTATCCGCTCACCGCCGTTCGACCTGAGAGATCTCCAACCAATAGAAACACTTTAGTATCATCGCACCATGGTATAAACAGATGCATGGGACACAGGCTTTAGTCTGGAAAGAAAAAATAAAAGTACGATAATGCAGTTTTCGAGAAAAAAAAAAACACTTCAAAAAGTAGCACATTTATAAATATTTTTTGTTAATACCTAATCCAAACTTGTTGCAAAAGATGGAAACTTCAGTCAGAAAAAGCAACAATTTTTTTTGGACTGAACTGTGTACATTGCTGCTTTAGACTGGAGCATCCAGGAATAAAATGAAGAAAATCTGACAACGTTCCAATTGATTTCGAGCCACGCAGCACGTCATCCAATTGGGCTTAGCAACAGAGGAGTCGCTTGGCTGGTCGACCAAGGCAGTTGAAAAGCTTTGTTGCCGATACCAAATATCCTCGATTTAGGGACAATTTCGCGAAAAATTGCGAACTGAACCAACCGGGTAGGGGATGCAAAATCTAAATTAATCTCGCGAAATAGTATTATCAGAACTTGCATGCGACAAAGAAAATATGGAAGAATTGAAAGCGCGCCTGTTAACTGCGCTATAAACAACGCGGTCGGTCGGCATTTGTTTTGAAAAAAAATTATAATAACCGTAAAGCGGGAGTATAAATGCAGAAGTGCACCATTCGCAAACAAGTTGGCAAGCATGAAAGATTATACCTGTAAACAATGTAGTTGATCAAGGCCACATACTTGCCAAGAATGTGCAAAGAAATAACAGCTGCGCCAAGTACCACCATCCTAGTTATCCTAAGCTCTTTACTACATGATTAATGCCAAAGAATTGGCCGAAGTTCCGTTCAGTTATTATCTATTTGGCTAAAGCAGTCGAGGTCTCAGTACCGAAGTATCTGGGAGCATTTGATCGGTACAGATGATGGCGCAAAATCGATTCAAAACACACTGTTTACTGTGTTCTATAACAGTATCTGTTCAAAAACACTTTTTATCTCATTACCATATGATGTAATTTTGTCAAAGATTTACATAATATTTATCCATTATGCAGTGTTATTATTGATATTTACTAATAAAAAAGATTTGTTCAGGGCTCGTCACTTCCAAATTCTACAAACAACATCAAATCGAAGGTTACTAGAAAAAATGTAGCGGGATCAGTATGTACTGAACTGCATGAGAAGATCTTTGATTTGTTTGAAACGATGAAGAACATTGCTGATCATTCGAAGAGAAACACATACATTAACAGGCAATGTGGAGTGCTGGTATGAGGAAAAGATACAAACGATACAAAAAGATACATAAGTTTAGAAGATTTTAATTTTTTTTTAAACGGACCTTGCAGCGGGATGATACACGGGGGGTTTTCCTTACAGCCAGATGCGATTGCATTTGGGTGAAAAAACCAAAGAAAGTTTGGAGTAAAATGTTGTGGCCCCTGAATAAAAACACAAAAAGATTTCGTACCAATGAAGAAACCGACTAATTTTAGAAGATCGAGAAAATTGTGAAGCGTTTTCTCTCAGTCAAAATATGCGAAACTGAGAGTTTTGCTTAAATACTTGTGAATCTAGAAGAGCGTGTTGATTCCCGAACAAGAACGAGCCTCCTAAAACTACAAAAGATTTCTTTGAAACGCTGCACAACGTTACAAATAGAAAAATTAAATTGACGGTATCTACTCTTGTCGACGTTTTGCCTACTTATACAAGCTTCTTTTCGGCGGACCTGAGGAACTAATCATTCCAATTCCTAAGCAACACAAAACTAGTCTAAGAGATAAAAAAGTGAGAATCAAAATGAATATGCCTTTCCTATAAAACCGCTGTTCAAATCTTTGAACTAAAAGTACCTACTTTTTGTGAAGACAATAGGCTTTCAGCGAATGCTTTCCAATTGGAATTCATCCCATTGCTGTAGACATAGTGAGTTGAAATAACCGCACTCGGCCCCAAAACCACAATCAATCGACAAACTGAACTAAAATAAGCTAGCAAACCCGAGCTACTTGAGTTTTTGAAAACTCCCTTTGTTGCAATAGGAACCAGGTACACCTGGGGCCGTAACTCAAGTTTAGGGGGGCGCAAATCTTCCATTTACCTATATATTACCAGGGGTGGAAACAATTTGCAAAAGCGATGTTTAAGTAGTGTATACTTAGGGCTTTCTATGCAATATGGTTAAACATTTTCCACGCCAGTTTACCTAATAGATAAGCTGTTGATCAATTCAACAAGGAGGTTTACTGTTCAGCAGTTTAATTCTGGCCCTGCGATCATGCATACCTTCGGCTTACTACTCATAAACGTTCAAAGTGAACTTACCTTACTAGAGAAACCTCTGCAAAATAGAAACCTTGCAAAAAAATCACTTCCATTACACAAATTTAAGTTAAGCGTACGTCGACTCCGCACAACGACGCCATTTTATGAAATACATCTTTCTATTTTAAGCACAAATACCTAACCAAGAAATGCGAAGTGCTAACACGTGTTGCCACTAGTTGGTCCCATAGAAATGGGACATGCGGACAAGAAAGATAACAGACCGTTTGGCTGAATTTTTTGAAAAATTGCTTAATTTAATTTGAAATACTAGTCTGGCATTGACACATTTTATGGCGTTTCAAAATAAAAATATAAAATTTTACACAAAATGTAATTTGGAATAAAATTCATTGGCAACACAGAAACAATGATCCTAACCTCAATTATTCCAGTAGTTGACACAACGTGGACACAACGAAAACAAATTGTAGTGTCACCCCTTAAAAACTTGTTAATTTCCTGAAAATCACAGACTTAAAAAAATGCCCAAAGTGCGAAGAAGTAAAAAGGCGCCTCCTGAAGGCTGGGAACTGATCGAACCCACTCTGGACGAATTAGAGCAAAAAATGCGAGAAGGTAAACAAAGTGCGACACCATTAGAATATTCGTTTTAAGCCCCAATATCAATGTTTTCAGCTGAAACCGAGTCCCATGAAGGAAAACGCAAAAACGAATCTCTATGGCCCATCTTCAAGATCCACCATCAAAAGTCCCGTTACATATATGACTTGTTCTATAGGCGAAAAGCCATATCCAGAGAACTTTATGAATACTGCCTCAACGAGAATATCGCTGATAAAAACCTGATAGCCAAATGGAAGAAACAGGGCTATGAAAACCTTTGTTGCTTGAGATGCATTCAGACCAGAGACACGAACTTTGGAACGAATTGTATATGTCGGGTGCCCAAAGGGAAACTTGAAGAGGCAAGTTGATATATATAAACCGCACGAATTGAATAAATAATCAATTATATTTAATTTCAGGGAAGAATAGTGGAGTGCGTTCATTGCGGGTGCCGCGGGTGCTCAGGTTAACACAAAAAATACACAAATTCATTGTCACGTGATTTTTTAAAACAAATGATCAATAATGAATCAAATATACGGTACTGTTTCATATTACATCACATGGGAATCAAAGGGCCCTCAACAACGTCATTTGACTCTCATGTATGAACTAATAAATTCAAATCAACGCAAAGCCTCAACATCCACATACACAATTTGCTTTGGAAAATCATACTGGAACAGTAACTGCTCGAAATTTTTTAAGCAGGAGAATTCCTAAAGTCTCAATTTGGAAATGGTCAATGACATACTTTTATAAAGCAAGAATAATTAAAAACACTAGTAATTTGTACTAAGATGAGAAGTTTTTGAGACTGGACGCCCAGTACATTCAACAACATCATCACAAATGGTTTCTTTGGTTTATTGAGTCAGTTAAATCCAATAGAGTTCATGTGGGAAACAGGTGAATAGTGAGAATTCATAAAGTATGTGGTAAAAATACAATTCAGCTTTCGTCTGTTTTGGAGTATTTTTCTGAAATGTTCGCGCTATTTTAATATTTGATTACAGTTTTTAAATGAAGACATTCGTACATCCCTAATAGTTTTGTCTCCTAAAGGACGTTATTAAATAGGAACTAAAATATCCATTAAACTACCCATGTAGCTGTAGTTATGAGCTATTTGACTTTACCTAGTGGCTTCGAAACATGTTAAAATGTACATACTAACAAATATATAATCTATTAAGGCCTACAACATTTTCACCCTGATTACTCTAAATCATAATTCATTTCAACTTGACTATGAAGCATCTACTAATCGCTTAATTAAACAACGATCGATTCCATCAATTCCTTCTATGTTGTTTGAACTGACTACATGCTCATCATATAATAAATTAAAAATAAAGGAACCGGGATTGTACCCACTGAAGAAAATCCAATCAAATACGTATTGTAATATAGTGTGTATATAATCAGGGGTGTGGTTTAGTTTAACCCTTCAATTAAGCCACACCCCTGATAACATACACACTATATTACATATATACATCTTTGATGGAATAAATAAAAAGCTATCAATAAATCACATGATCTGCAAGTTCGTAAAAGTAAACCTAGACTAAATCACAATTCCTATTCGAAGTTAATGTTTTGAAATCATTGAATTTTATATAGCAGCAGGTACTATCTTTAAGCAAATCTATGCAAAGCAGATTCAACGCACATTCCATTAAATGGGCAAATTCGAGCTCCATGGTGGTTTGTAAACCTTACTTGAACAGCAAAGGTGGTAGAACAATGATAAAGATTTTATTCAAGCGGAAACGGAATTATAATCTAAGAGCGTTGCCATTAGCCTCATCTTTCTTGGGGAATTCTAGTGCCTCTCAGCACTTTACTATTCTGTAATTAAATACGCCAGTCAGTAATCACTTACTAAAAACAACCCTAATGGATGCATTAATTACTAAGTGAGCAATAATAATTAGGGTGGTACCTGATATTGCTGATCATTATCAAGCGTTCCAACCACAGCAACTATTTGATATTGTTTCGCCTTCATGGCGGCCTCACTTTTTCGTAACAAGCGAAGGGCTCCAGATGCACTACTGGTATCGCCCAGTTGTGCCATCTGTTGCGGTGAGTGGCTCGGATCGAGAACTAAAAGGACTGAATTGCCATCCCTGTGCACTTCAATGCCTATGATTGTCCGGCTGTGTCCTGTTTACGTTGATTGAAAATCAGGCATTATACACTGGACTAATGCTCGCGATTTTGTTTTTTTTAAATATATAGTGTTTCGACACCTTTGCTTAAGAATGATATAGGTGTCTCAAATGGACTAACATGAAATAATTATTAATCTCACATGCCTTGATGTTGTAAATATAAAGGCGGCGTGAATTCTCCTCCAACGCAACTCTCGAAATAGTTCAAGACCCATTTGAAGAGCTCCGGATGCGATCCGCCCGGACCTGTAGATCTGTGAAAGTCCACTAACTGGCACCGAATTCGCAGAAAGGACAGTAAAGTCACCACTTCAGTAGCGCCAATCCATTTCCTTGTATTGACCAGTCTACAACCGAGCTGTTCAGATCCCTACAAAAGTGTTTTCAATTAAAGCTCTTATGAATTCTTTAAGCGCAGAAAGCACTCACTTGAATATCAAATCCTTGAGACCAGGCTTGCTCAATAAGTCCCTGTATGCGTGATATGCTCGGCACTGAGCTTCTCGGCGGTTTGTCCTTTTGCCAGAGTTTGTACAGTCTCTCGTTGTACCCCGTATGATTTAACAGGCTTGATATGATCATTTGAGTGTTTCGGTATCCGCACCCCCAGCCCCGATCACCATATGAAGACGCGTAGTGATCCACGCAGGTACACAGTAACGTGCGTGTTACATTGGTCGCATTACCGCTCATGGCCTTTACTCTTGGAACCTGCCAGTTCAATGCGATGAATATGAGAGTCTAGCTTGAACAGCCACATTGACTTACAATACTTCGCGTCACTGAGTTACCATCATCCACACCACAGCTTTCCGCGGCTCTAAGATCCAGCTGACGCTCGTAATAATCGGCCACGCTCATTTCCCCAGCATAGACTGCTCGTTGCATGTTAGTAACGGACTGTTCTCGGAAATTTCCCTGTAATACCAGCAGCTGTGAGTGAGAACAGAACAAGTAAGCTTAATCGAGACCTGATTATCCATTCCATATTGAGCACGAAGCATTTCAAACTCCCGCTTCTCCCGCTCGCGTAGGGCCGCTCTATCCACTGGCTGAGGCGAGCCGGCAGGGAAATGCGACTCTACATGTCGCAGTGCAGCCTCGCTCTGAAAGCGTTTAGGTTTTTAGTGAAATCTCAGAGTGAGTGGGTAATAAAACTTACATCACTGTCCCTGTCCAAAGACACCCCACACACTGGACAGGAATATGCAGCCGGACTGGCGGGAGACAGAACATCTTTGTGCTCTATATTGACATGAAGCTCCAAGTCGCGGGCTGAGTTAAACGATTTTACGCACAAGGGGCATGAGTAGGTTTCGGTTTTGCCTGTTCCAATTGATGGCGAGGTTAAATCAAAGTGGCTCCTGAATTGTGATGCACAAAGAAGAGAGAAATTTTTAGTTTTTTGTTATCCGACAGGCAACAAGAGATTTGAGCCAGCGCTCCAAAACCTAATGGGGCTCTACAGGTTTTACCTGTTAACATGCTCTTCTAGCTCATTTGGACTGTTACTCGTATAGCTGCACATTGGACATTGCAGAGCTGCAGCTCTACTAGTAAGTTTGAGAGCCAGATTTGATCGTAACGGCGATCCCTGGCCGTGGCTCGAATTTTGAGATGCAACTTCGCCTCCACCGTTTACCTAATCAAGAATCGATTTACGTTCTAAAAATCACAGCAGCAATAATTGGATATCTCTGCGTACTTTTGGACTGAGATTGATATTGGAATAGTTGCTTTTGTTGTCCTTATCACTATCGAAGTTCCTGCCTGAGAACGTAGCTGGATTGTTCCAATGAAGGCTGCTTTCTCCATTGAAGCCATTGCATTCGCTGCTGTTATTAAGAGGTAAGCGAGTTTAAAAAGTGGGCTGGTTGTAACAAATAATACGATATAAATCTGGTACAAAATTTCTTGAAACAGTTGTATTCGATATTATTGCCTGTAAGTGATAAATGAAAATGGTACCTTGGGCTGGGCTCATCAATAAAGCTCATGTTCTGCTCAGATTCTGGAGTCAGAAAATCCAAATGAGCCTGATTTACATGAATAATGAGCTCAGCAGGATTGACAGTGGAAAGTTCACAGAAAGGACACACACCATAGCCCTCCACATGAGCGGTGTGAGTGTGCAAGCGAAATTCATCCTCGCTCAGACCATCCAGGCCGCAAATTTCGCAGCAGTAGTTAAAATCGGGAATGTTGCTAGCCATTTTCTGAAATTTGGAGGTTAACTCACTTTGCACAGCCTAAATTACGGGGCCCACTGTGCCGTAGATTAGCCTGTTTCCACTCAACATAGAACACACCAAAACAAAAACGTTGCCTTGATTTATCGCTGCCCAAACATTGTAGAAAGTATTTTATTTACTTTTTTCTAATTTCATTTCATCAAACATTTTGACAACTTCACTGACCTATTTTGCTTTCACTTTGCTTTGCGCGACAAATGCCGCAACCAGCAAGACAGCAGTGGATGTTCATCTGCATAGTTTTGAAGTTTTTCAGCCAGCTGATTGTGCCCCCAAATCAATCCAATTTAGAAAAATATCCAAAGGTTATTTTGCACATACTGTAGACTTTTTCATTGCGTTTCACTTTTCAGCAAACATTCGAATAACAGGATGACCTTCCTCACCTCCACTGATAAACAGGCTGTATGTATAACATTTGACTGTTAAGTAACCGCTCCCTGTACGCTACTTATTACTAATTAGTCTCTGTTGATTGCAAAAAATGGGTGACGGTGATAAGGAAAAGGAAGTGAAACGTGTTCCCAACTATGTGAAGTTCATTTTTGGAGGCAGCGCTGGGTAATTACCAAAACAAAATCGAGTCGTCCTTCTATATGACCTCTATGTTCATTGTTTTGTAGTATGCTAGCCACTTGCTTCGTACAGCCACTTGATTTGCTGAAGAACCGCATGCAACTGAGTGGACAAGGGGGCAAAGCCAAAGAACACAAAACCAGCTTTCATCTACTCAAGTCCATTGTAAGAAATGAGGGCCTGTTTACGTTGTACACGGGCCTTTCGGCCGGTCTTATGAGACAAGCCACTTACACAACAACACGGCTGGGAATCTACACTTGGTTGTTTGAGCTCTGTTCCAAGGATGGGGTCCCCCCGGGGTTTGCAGCTAAGGCTGGCTTGGGCATGGCTGCCGGTGTATGCGGAGCCTTTGTCGGTATGTAGGCATAAAAGCTCTTTATCTTCCTATAATCAAACGGGTCTTAGTTCAGTTGTTTTCCAGTCGGCCTCACTAAGATTGGCTCATTTTTATCGAATTATCAAATCTCAAATAATCCATCAATTTTAACAATTAACATTTTTTCCAATTCAAACAACGTTTCTCCATATTTTAGTAAGTAGACAAAAAAGTTTTTTTCAGGAACCCCCGCTGAAGTGGCTTTGATTCGAATGACCGCCGACGGCAGGCTGCCATTGAATGAAAGAAGAAACTACAAAAGTGTTTTTGACGCACTTTTTAGGATATACCGAGAAGAAGGTACCGAATCGCACAAATTAACGGTGGAATGCTGAAATCATCTGTTTGATTAGGCCTGCTAACTCTTTGGAGAGGGGCTGTGCCCACCATGGGAAGAGCGATGGTGGTGAATGCCGCCCAACTGGCCAGCTACTCTCAAGCTAAACAGTACTTAGTGAAAACTGGTTATTTCCATGAAGGCATTTTCTTGCACTTCCTGGCATCCATGATCTCGGGACTGGTCACCACTGCCGCCAGTATGCCAGTGGATATTGCAAAAACTAGGTAAGAACTCGCTAGTCAGCATGTGGTCGGATTTACTGAAAAAAATAATTGTAGAATTCAGAATATGAAAACAATTGACGGCAAGCCGGAGTTCAAAGGCCCGCTGGATGTGTTAGGCAAGATTCTCAGAAACGAGGGCGTGTTTGCCCTATGGAAAGGATTCTTTCCCTACTACTTCCGTTTGGGACCACACACTGTCCTCACCTTCATATTCTTGGAGCAGATGAATGGAGCTTATAATAAATATATCTTGAAACAGGAGAATCAGGCAACGTTGTAGCCAATATGGAGAATGCAATTGAACCACGGATGTTTGGAACGCTTTATGGTTAAAGCCTTTTGAACAAAGTGTATTGAGGAAATTCAAGAAAGTTCTTAACTGGAATAGAATCCTAGTAATTGATCCCAATTTGAAATATATGTATTTTAGATAAAACTAGATCATTTTTTCCTTTTAAAAGCCGGCGCGCAAATCCGGCTTTCATTTTTTTCCAGATCAATTTATTAGTATTAATTGAAAGTATTTGTTGTTAGGAGACAACTGAAATTACCGGAATGCTAAGCGGATAACGTCGATTTATTGCATTAAGTGGGATTTAACTATTTACTATACAATATCAGTAAATAGGTTCTCTTAAACATCGATCATTCTAGGATTTAATCAGTTCTAAACAAATACTGCATGATATGAACAATTGTACAATACAAATTCCTGATCAGTCGCATATCCGCCATGATATACAGGATGTTACTCAGAGAACAAGTCACGCAAAACCTGTGTGATTTGCAGATAAAAATACTGAGGAATGTTAGGAAGTTAAAATTGAAAAAAATCATCATTAGATTTCTCACTCTTCTTAGTACACGCGTCCTTAAAATTAGAAACATTTAACGAACTAAAGTAGTCGTCATGCAAAAACCGAACTATATCCTCAATTTTGCACACATTGTTTTTTTTGTCAATGCTGACGATGTTTTTGCAGAAACTAATTTGCTTGGTCACATCCTTACCATTGGACAAAAGGCGGAAGTATGTTCCCTTCTCGTCATTGTTGCGGTTATCTTGGTACACTTCGAAAACCAATCGAGACGCGTATCGGAGCAATAGAGGATCATTGATTAGACCCAAAGCAGTTGAGAGGTGCAGCAAAGTGAAATCATGGCCCGAGTAGAGGACTAAATTTGGGCCATTGGAGCCGACCTAAATAGACGAGTTTTGAGGTGGAGTTTGGAAGAAAAACATGCTATTACCATATGCAGCATCTGCTGAACGATATGCCTAACGTGGCCATAAGACTTTAACAAAGACAGTCGTTGCCAATGGATATTTCTCCATTTTTGGTAATTTATCCAATCAGTGTAGGCGATTATTCCAGCAACGTTTTGTTTTCTGAAATGCTACGTGAATTAAAATTTCTTTGCTATTTGCCATTAATACCTGACACAGTTTCCGGGCTTTTCGCACGGCAAGCCGCTTCTATGGCAAACAAACGTTAATAAAGCATCGCGAATTACATAGGGATCTTTGATAAGAGCCTTTTGCTCAGCATCGGCTGATATTAAAAGTCTTCCGGTGGTTTGCGCCAGCGTTTCAATGGCTGGATGCGACTTGAGCTGATGCAGCTCACTGCTTTGTACAAATCTATAAAAAACCGCTCCTAAAAAAAATTTGCTGAAACAATCAAAATCTTGGAGGACCTACTTTTTCAAACTCTCCGTCACCGGGCATTCGCAATCATTAAAACAGAAGCTCATCGATTGACTCTCGCCGATGGTAACTTTTGTCAAAGTTTCATTGGGAATCAGGCCAAATAAAAACGCCAATCCAGACTGGAAAGTTCTTCTATATATGGTGCTATAAACTAAAACTTCTTCCGGGTTTAGAGATAGCAGTCTTGGCCAGACTTTGTGATAGCTCTTCTGCAACATTTGGCCCAGATTTAGATGCTGGCTTATCCCTTGCATAGTAAGTTGCCCCAACTGGCACTGTCGGGCACTTTGGGGCATCAAAGGAAAGGCATGAAATGGCCCTGGGCCCGTCCATTGCACTTTTCCATTTATGGTCAGGTTGTAAAGATATGACTGAAAATATTCCACATTAGAGAGCTAATGCGTCTGTATGCCATTGAAGTATTGACTACATGCGCATTTTTACAGAAAAACAACGAACACTGATTAAACTAGAGAACGCATTGGCCTTGCTTTCATGAATTGATCGGATAGCAAACGCCTATTATTAAATCAACCTTTATCATTATGTTGAGGAAAACATTCAAACAGTTGAGACGAATATGATCTAAAAATAAAACAAAGCGAGAATGTACATGAACTATTTCATGTGCCAATAATCAAAATATCAACGTTGTTTACCTCATTTTTATACCGGGTGTTAGCATTTTGATAAACAAATTTTGTTTTCTTGTGCTTTAACAGGGAGCACAGGTAGGATAGTTTAAAATAAAAATTGATACGCCACTGGATTTTCTTAACACAAAAATTGTTTTCAAGTTTACCAAGAGTTTGGATTTTTTTGCGGAAAAAATTTAATCGGCTCTAACTTCAAAAATAGCCTAAATCGTGCACTTACAACATTATCAATCGATTTTTTGAAGTTTAAAAATTTTTTTATTGCTTATTTTTTTCGTTTCTCACCTTGTACGATTGGATAAGTTGTGTTTCTTCGGTGCCACAATCAATTGTCGATATCTTCTGGACATGTTGAAGGGGGCCTCGATCGCCATGTCGAATTAAAATTAATATTCCTTTCAGTATCCACTTTCTACTGTCGCGTATTCCTTGAAATAAATATTAGAAATACAGTGTGTCTACTTAAAATTTGGTGTGAAATGTGCTTTTAGTTTATTTCGCCAGCAAGAACATTTTGGCAGGAAAGTGCGGTTCTATAAACTAACGCACATGACAGATAGTTTGAAAGCTGGCTTGTTTGTTGGGACTCGTTGCCATTGTAATTCTCGCAATTGAAAGACGTTACTACATACTTCTTGTTGTTAGGGGGCTTGATTGGATAACTTCTACGGTTGCTAGGGGATTGGGAATTTCGATTGGTTCGTTTAAACTGAGAGTAACTGTCAGTAGAATCCAGTCGACCAAGGTCACATTCGAACCGACATAGCGATGAAAAACTGAGTACAAATATATTTTCACCTTCATCGCCTTCATTGATATCCTCGGGAAAGTTGCACAGTCGAAAAATGCGCTTAGATTTGCGTCCTGCAGACCCTGAAGCCTCAAAGGTTTCCGTGATAGGCGATGGAGTTGTCTGGATGACTTTCGGGCTCCAATCTAGAAACTTGTAAATGCCGGCGATAACCAGCAGGATCCACACACTTAGAAGGATATAGCAATTGAAAGCTCTGCTGTGCTTCAGCAGCCGCACCGTCATAGATAAGGCTGCTAGTTTACAAGTTGCAGTGCTCAAAATTCCAACCTCACATTCTGTTATCGGTAAACAAACTGTTGTTATTGACGCAATTCGGGCTCAGATCAATGTTTAATTTTGGACGAGCGTAAAAATAGAATGTTGGAAGTTGTCGAGTTGCCTCTGGCTTACAACCCGAGCACTTGTTTTCACCATTTTTTTCCCAAAGTGCCAATGAACTGTTGATTGTAGCTCTTCAATGCTTCTGATTGGGTGACATCAGATTAACTATAGAGTGGACTTGGAATATTAAAATCCCTGTTGTTTACAACTGGGAGAATTAATTAGCGATTAATTCCGGAGAGCGCACGGGGCTGATTGTGAAGTTTCAGACTTGCGCAAGATTGGACGTAAACAACTATCGTGGCCCGTCGGTTCGCATTTCAGTAACGGAAACAATACTGTTGTGAAATTGTGTTCTGCTAAGTAATTTGGATGTTGGATGTATGGAAATGTTTAGCGGAAAATTCCCAAGTTTAACCAGGTATGGACCGTCTGATGCGACGTTAGCACAGCTAGGCGCCATTGCCTTTAAATACTAATGCGTAATTGTCATTATAGCAGGCTTATCAATATTTGCAACCGTTGTTAATACGTTTTTGCTTCACAGGGCTGGATAATTAGCGGAAAATCCAAGTCAATCGCAGGAAAATTGACCAATCAGACCAACCAGACGCCGGCAAAACAAAACCATGTGATTTTGGCACATCCCATTATCTGGAGGGGACAATTGTGACACTTGACAGAGACCCATTTATTGATGTATATAGAGTGTTCATACCAATTTGCCCCTTATGTGCTATCAACAAGAGGTTCAAAGTGGGATTAAAGGAGTTGAAGTTGCATGTGCATTTGTTTACGAGTGAGCTCTCACGTATGCAAAGTCGGCTCGAGTAACAAATGAACTCAAAAGACAGTGTTTACATTCCGAATAATCTACAGTTTGCAGTTGGAAAAGCACTGTTTGATTTAGTGTTCGCAAGGGACTATGTAGAACAGTTTATCTCAACATTGGGAAATCACTGGGACTTGTGGTAATTTTAGTGAAAATTATAACCTGGAAACAAACTTCTGGATGACATGAATCAGAAAGACACGGTTATCCATCTAGTTGCTGGAGGGTAAGTCGCATGCTTGATTACACCAATTAATTGCACATTGGTTAATAATCCCCAACTGTTATTTACACACCGTGTTCTTGATCTTGACCCTCCAAGCCCCAAGTGAGCGTGCACTAGTTGCACACTTGGTATTGACCTTTATGCAGTATGCAAACAAATGCCAGCGAAATGAGATAATACCTACTAAGTATAAAGCGGGGTTTAAATATATCCACATTAAGTCCTGCTGTTGCAACCTCAACAAGCTGCAACATGCTATTTTCGTGAACTATTGCACAATCAATAACCAGCTGAAAGCCGGCGGTTTGTAGGTTGATTAACCCGCTAATAAATTAATCATTCAATCAAGTAGTCAGAGGCTTGATGGGGGCTGTCACATGACAAATCTGGGCAATTTTTTAGTTTACCAGGCCCTATAGTTCGAAGTTAACAACACACTTAACTTATACATATATTCTTTAGCATCGGCTTTACCTAGCGGTGGTTCTTGTAGGAGTGCGTTTTTCGACCACCAATTCTTACTTATTGGAATTCACTACTTTTAGGCGAAGACTTTTAGGGCGCAACATCATCCGCCAATAAAATAGGTCACAAGGATAAATGTTAAAAGTTGGTCCAGATCGATATATGTATTTACAAACAGTCGAATTAATCCGAGGCCAACTCGATTAATCGATTTATTGTCGGAACAACATCGACCAAATTTAACTCAGTCCAACGTGTTTGTTGTGCCGAGGTCTTCGGGCACGACACTGGTTTGAATACAAAAAAGTGAACATTCGTATGTATTTTTTCTCCCAAATCAGTGTCGTTCCCGAAGAGCTCAGCACAACTAAACAATTGGGCTGATTTGGATTTATATGTTGTGACGAGCCCTTCGGGCACCACACGGAGTTTAATGTGGAAAACAAACATTTTACTAGTTTAGGAGTTTTGCGTCTACTACTACTACTACTACTGAAATGAATGCCAAAAAGTTAACACTGATCTTTATTGAAGAATTAAAAAAGTGTACTTAAGCCCTTTTTAAGAAAAAAATCACGGTGTTGCCAGAAACCAAACTGATCCTGGTCCTTTTGGCTCATTTGACACCATTTTCCTGTATTTTCGCTTATACAAGACCTAGTGTGCTTATTTCAGCAATTTTGACTTTGAATGAATTTTAGAGCTGCCGGCACAGTGGGTGCAATTGTTACCTGTCCACTTGAGGTGGTAAAAACAAGGCAACAATCCTCCCGTGGAAATATGATGTCTTCTTCGCCTGGCAGTGAGGCTCCTCCACAGTCTAGGAACTTAAAAATGTCACCTTCTGTTAATGGTGAGTTGGGTTTTGTTGTGTAATCAGAAATGGCGCAAATAGTAGATTTTTTTACTATTTGACCGAATAAGTGTAGCAATACCGATATTTTTCTGGAAATGGAATTTGTTTGTTGTTTGCGATTTATGCTAACAAATCCCAACATCCGCCTAATTTGTATTTTAACTTTATTTGCTTGCCGACAAGTAGTAAGTAAATTACACGGAATTATTGATTAGTAAAACGTGGCCAATTATGTAAATCTGCAGGATTCAAAAATTCTGCAAAATTGTCAGTTTTTGGAACAAGTTTGCTCTTTGCTTTCCACCATACAATACAGAGTTTTTCTTTATAAATCTTGCGCAATATGCAATTGAGTCTCTGCCAAAAAGAGCACATTAGTAAAATACATCGTATGCGATGACTGAAATTTTATCTTCTAAGTTTGGCGGGTGAGAAATCATAAATTCCAAAACAAATCTAGCACATTTTACGTAAAAAGTTTGGAATGTTTCTCCAAATCGAGGAAATATAATTGAAAAAAGAAAAATCAGGCTCGTTTACATAATCTTCCCTAAAAACCGTATACATTTGCTTAAATAAAAAAATAGGTTTGCTTCTTGCTACTGAAAATTGGAAGTAGATTAGATTAAAATGCTTATTGTTTTACATTAGGTAAGCGTAGTTTATGGACATCTACACGCTATGGGCGGCCTCAAGTTGTGGCTCTTTCAGGTTTCACCGCACCGCCGCCCTTAAGAATTGGAAACGACATGGGCATTATCCAGTGTATCCGACACATTATTAGGCAGGAAGGGACAATAGCTTTATTCAAAGGTACACGCGATTAACCCACATTCCAAATCCGTCGTCCACATTCAATTGGCGCCTGTTTCAGGTTTGGGTCCTAATTTGATCGGTGTGGCTCCTTCGAGGGCCGTTTACTTCTCAACTTATTCGCAGGCCAAACGATTTTGGAACAACCTGTTGCCTCCTGATTCGCCAGTAGTGCACGTTTGTTCAGCTTCCTGTGCTGGCTTTATGGCGAGCACTCTGACGAATCCCATTTGGTTTGTTAAAACCAGGCTCCAGCTGGATGTTAATAAGGAAAATCCCATGACTGCTATCCAGTGTGTTCGACATATTTATGCCAAATCGGTACGTACTTACGTTGGCTTTTAGCAACTGAGGTTTTTTCCTCTAACACTTTGTTTTTGCCCCGCGAATTTTAACACTAAATCAAAGTGGCAGCAAATGTTTTCTTGTTTTAGGGCATGTTAGGGTTCTACAAAGGTATATCAGCCTCGTACATGGGCATTTCCGAGACAATCATTCATTTTGTGATATACGAGGCCATCAAGGCGCAACTAATCGCTTACCATCAGCACGACAGTGATGAGCGCAGCTCAAAAGACTTTTTGGAGTTTATGGTGGCTGGAGCCATTTCCAAAACTGTAGCCTCATGTATTGCTTATCCGCATGAAGTGGCCAGAACGCGACTCCGCGAGGAAGGAAACCGCTACACTGGATTCTGGCAAACCTTGCAACTAGTGTTTAAGGAAGAAGGCATTAAGGGCTGTTACAGAGGTCTGAAGACGCAACTAGTTAGACAAATTCCCAATACTGCCATTATGATGTCGACTTATGAGGCTGTGGTCTATATTTTAACCACCCGATTCAATACGGAGTTTTACCAGAAAGAGGGACATTGAACAGTTTCAATGGCTGTTCAGGAAATATCGTTTCTTGCATCAGACACTCGTAGTTTTTCGGTGATTTTCGGTTCGGAATAGTTAACTAGGTTTTGATGGTTGAGCCCGAAAAATCATTATCTCAAATAGACATTAATTCGTGCGACTTGTTTATTATTTGATACTTAAAAACCGGCTAATGTAGATACTTGATACATGCTCAATATTTGTCTCTGTAATTTGATTATTCTTCTATAATTCTGTCATCTTCGGGTTTTTATTAAAGTAGTCTTTAAAATATGGAACAATCATAGATATTCCAGATTAAGACAAAAATATCCGAAAACCCCCCAGTTCACCCAAAGCGTTGCTGCCTTTAATGTAATTCGTTCTTTTTTTCTTACGGTGTTTTGATTGATTTTTTAGTGAGTTTCAGGACTGTTTGTAAAAAACATTGCTTTACAAAGAAATTTTTTTTCTTTTTAATCTTATATTATACTATGTTTTTTTTCTGAAAACTGCTGCCGAATGGATCTAGATTTTAACGAAATATTAAGGTTTATAAATATTGTACATTTGTTGTATAGATGGTCGGTTATAAGAAAAATTTGTTAATTCAGTTTATAAACATGTACATAATATTGAGTAGGTACTGGAAATATAGTTCTGGTTCAATAAATTCCTGCAAGTTTTATTATTACATCCATACACATACCACAGATTGCACTCTATGGTAATACAAGGTGTTTGATAAAAAATTAATACTAAAAAAAATGTTATGTTTTTGCTTCAACAGCGCCGTGAGCTCATACACTTATCTGGATAATTTTATATAATAAAATGATACATCATCGATTTTTTTTTGCAAAGAAACAAATTTTTAGTCTTTCTGTTCAGTTTGCCTTCAGTCCTGTAGGGACACGCAAAAAAAATATAAAATCGATTTATTGTTCTGCAATTTGTTTCCAAATGTACCAAAAACACCCTGCTTGCTAAGAAATTTTGTTTTTAACAAACGATTGATTTTGCTATTGGTTTTAAGCATTTAATTAACTTTATTCATTGAAAGTCTGCCCACTTTAATAACATTCGCCACCGCTTTTCCAAATGACGATTTTTGATCGGAAATCAACTTTTCCTGTTCATCGGTGTTAACTTGCAACACGACCGCCTTCTGCTGTTGAAGATCTTGTTGATAATCCGCATCGATTATTATCTCTAGTGCTAAAATAGAAAAACAGCTAATCAATGCTTATCTTGCAGTCACACGTAAACAGCATGCTCCGATTGGTAAGCTGTTGACTCTAATTTGCTCCTAAACAAAAATCAATCTAAAAAGAAAAAGGGGAATCATATTTTCAAATTTTTTTAACTGAATATTGGAATATTTTATTTGTTGCATAATTCTCAACCTATATGGAGAGTGATTCAATGTGCCTGTTCTAAAAATTAGATATTTTTTGTTTGTCCGTTCGAACTGTTGCAGTTTTTGCGATATTTACATTGGATCGTATTTTGGCGAAAATTGTATAACAAGCATGAATTCATTATTTTGCAAATACCTAACTCTAAAACAGTGGGATTTAAAAAAAAGACGCAGATTGGACGGATAAGTCAAAAAAAAAGTTGTTAAAAAATGAGCGAAAAACACGTAAAAAATCAAATTGCCCTGATTCTCCAACACATTTTGTGCGTTCTGTAACTGCTTTTGTTGTTGGCAGTTGAAAATTGAACCACCCTGTATAGGTAAGCACAGTAAGCATTAAAAAATCAGTCCCCTTACCCTTTCGCAAGTCCACAGCCTCCATATCTTGGTTGCTGATAATTTTCAACCGTTTCCTGAACTTGGTGGCGATTTTTTTCCTTTTGTAATCAGCCTCGATTTCCTGCTTCGTCCTTGGCACCCTTATCCTTATGCAGCAGCATATTAGAACAACTGAAACATTTTTAGTGGCGTTTGCATTGAAATGCACCCTTTTCGGATATTCACTCAAAATACTCACTCAAAACTCCAAAAGCACACAAGCAGAAGAACATTAAGTGCCAGATTCTGAACTGAATCCCTTGGAGTGGAGGGCGTTCAATCCAGGGCTCGTTTTCACTGTTGGGGTTGGCTGCAAAGGTGGCTGATGCCATTTTTTTGGGTTTGAATGCTGTTTAGAGCGCAAAGCTACGCAAGGGTTGCTATCTGGAATGTTCAGGGCCTTATGAAAGTTGGCTGTTACTGGGGCCGCACCCCTAGCCTTTGGCAATTAAGTTACACACCCACATATCATTTATTTCGCTTCATCAAGAACATTCATTCAATGCCACCTATTCGGTTAATGGGATTTTTCCCGATTTTCCAAGCTTTGCATCGCCGCTGCTTTAATTAGCTGTAGGAGACTTTCGGGGGAAGGAAGTTTGCCTGGTGAAGAGCGTTAACTTGGAGAATTTCGCGAATTTGGTGCGAAGGGTGGTAAATTTGAAATTAGCGCGTTTTGTCCCGCGCCCGATCGAAGATGAGCGACGATGGCCGAAGTGTCAGAGACGAACCACTCGTACTGCGGTTAGGAAAGGAAGGTTCTTGTAACCTTTTATTATTTTCGTGTAGAAGCGGTAAAAGAAAGGTCGGTAGATGATCTGCTCATGATAATAATGAACTTGCAGTTGACAAGTGTTTTAGTGGTGTTTGATTATTTGTGATTGGTGTTATAAAAAAAAACGTTCAAACTGGCGACCGACAGCGGCAGTGGCAAGTCAAACATGGCTTCTTCAGCCAGAATTATCCAAAGTAGTTCGGCCTGGTTCCAGAAAAAAATTAATTTAAGGCCCCAACATCGGGGCGTCCACCTGGTGACTGAAGAAATCCTTCGAGAGGTGCCCGAACTGTTTCAGTTCGCCATCGGAATCTGTCATGTCCAAAGTAAGTTGCCAGAACAACTGTTTTTTTTGGTTAATTTCATAGTATTGGCAATTGTTTCGTTCCATCCAGCTAATAGCGTCTGATGCCCCCCCAAATCTGGCCAGTTTTAATTAATGGAGAGCCAGTTACTAATCAAACATGTTTGTAGACTTGGAGGTCAGAACCTGACCTATTAGGAGTAATTACAGTAATCAAAAGGAATTTTTGAGGGGTTGCAAAGGCAATCAAGGGACTGTTGAGTGAACCCCATTTTACCGAAATTACATTTTTTGAAACTTACTTTAAGGGCTTCAACACGATCTGCGTGGCTGTCGCCCCCCCTAAAATAATGGTCTGCCAATTTTGTCAATTAATATCAGCCCTTGACTCTAGTAGCAATCCCATAAACAATCAGCCAAAATAATATTGTCCAGATTCTAAACTCATTTCCTATTGCTTTCAGTACTCCATACGAGTGCTAGTTTAGCTCTAAATGAAAGTTGGGATCCAGATGTGCGGGACGATATGGAAATGATGTTAAATAAAATTGTTCCTGAAGGTTTACCCTATAGACATTCCTGCGAAGGACCAGATGACATGGTAAGCGCAGATTCTAATGCACTTTCAATTCATGAAATAGGTATAAAAAATGCACATTCGACAAGGACTAAATTTGGTAGTTTTCTCAATTGTGTCGTGGTTAGCAAACAGGGGGTTTTGTGATTTACATATCAAAGATGCCATTAACGAGTAAAAAGCACTGGAAATTATGAACCAATTTGTCTTGTCCACTCATGTAGAGAAACAGAACTTCTTGCAAAGTACAAAAGAAAATTACGAACAGCATTAAATAATTTCATGTTAAAAAAGCAGAACATTCTCATGAGAGAAAAACGTGAAAGGTCTGAAACATAAATTCCTAAATGTAGGTATATAATTGTATTTGTTTTAACTCATTAATTGGGGTTTTGGATTTGTAATCAACTGGATTTTATTGTTGCAAAAACCGGTTGCTCGAATCATTTTTACCCAAATACCTACCTGAACAGAGTGATTGAAAAATGTCGTAATGAGTGTCGGTTCTTTAGGAGCGATTTTTTTCCGATGAAATCAGTCGATTTTACCACTTCGAAATTAAGAAACAAGAAAATTTATAATCCCCAAGAACTCGATACCGGATTAAAAGGCTCAGTTTCATCTAAATGAAATTGTCGATGAAATCAGCAGAAAATTCAAGAATTGTTAAAAAGAACGCTTTTCCAAAACCTGCTTTTGCATGAGCAAAATCGTCAATGGTCGAAGTAAAGTTCAAAGATTTTGCTTTCAGAAGAATTGATCATATCATTTCTAGAACAATAATTATAATCAGCGATTTGAAAGTATAAATGTAGGGGTAAAAGTGCGCTCACACTTAAAAAAAATCAAATTCCTTTCCAAATTTCTAGTGCATTTTTGGACTTATATTGATAAGAAAAGTAACGATTGATGAACAAAAAAATAACTTTGGAAGTTCTGACGAGCACTTTGGATCATCCAGCACAACAGACAGGTTTCCTACTCAAACTTATACAAAAAAAATGTGTTTAAGACAACATACAAAAAAATGTTTTTTGTGTTCACCAGCCCGCCCATGTTAAAGCATGTTTTCTTGGCTCGTCGGTCACTATACCAATAACTGAAGGTAAGCTAAACCTGGGGACTTGGCAAGGTATCTGGCTAGGAGAACATCGGGACCGTGCGGGATCGCGCAAACTTCTAATCACCCTCAACGGATGTCTGCGTGAAGCCAACTGTACCCCACTCAGTCCTGTCAGCCCTATGGCTAGTACCAGCAGTTAGGGGAAGCACTCGGGGCATTCTCTGTCCAAGCACTGAGAATGGCCCCGAGTACACGGTCTCAAAGGACTAAAACCAAATATATACCTAACGACAATATGTACATAGGTGTACATTATGATATCTGTTTTTGGTTAGGGTTCCCATTTTTCTAATATTATTTGCTATTGTTTTGTTACTCAAAGTAACGGCATTGTTTTCCTACTTTTTAGCTATAGTGTTTTTTTGTGGGTTGTTTTCAGCTAGGATTTTACATTTAGTGTTTTATTAATATTATGCTGCTGAACTACCTACATACTTTGTTAAGTGTTTATTAGAACATTCCACTTTTTACTCGCCGTTTTAGCTTTTACATTTTTTGTTTGGTCCGAATATATTTTGAAATATGCTTGCTTGGATTTTTATTTTTGCATTTTTCCCACCAGCTATCTTTTCGCTTTAAACCTATTTCATCAGCCGCGTTTACCTTGTTCCCAATTAATTTTGTTTAATGTCTTTGGTTAAACTTACTTGTAAGTCAGCTTATATTGGCTATTGAGATTAGGAGATTTATGGAAATTAGGCTTTGCCTGGCAGGAACCTAATTGTTTTGTGTAAGCCAACACAAAAAAATCACGGTATGATTAATTATTTAGATGATATGCATTTCAATTGATTATTAGCAACTTGTTCTACCAGAGGTAAATTGATAAACCAGCACGTGTGATGGTTGAGTAAGTGTGACTTGCTGTACAACGCTGTTGAGAGGTTGATAGTATTTGGGATTTGATTTAATTTTTAATTGTCCATAAGTTTATATGGAGGTATTTCTCGCTTGCCGGTGAAATTAGGTGGAAGACACTACAATCTTGTTTTGTGTGGAAACTAGCCACAAGTTGTAATTTGTTAAATATTTAGTAATTGCATACATAACGTAAGACATGCCGTCAAATTTGCAATACCCTATATATGTATATCTGTGATTGTAAATGATTTGATCGATGATATTAACTTAAGCATAACGAACGGAAGATTGTTGACACCATATGAATTCCTAAAGGCAGAATACTAGAAATAATTTTAACAATCTTTGTTGTAAATAGCGTCGCTACGGGTTGTATATAGTGTGTGTTATGTAATGATGCGTCTTCCTTCACCTTGTAAATGCAATATACTGACACTTTTCTGCAAAAAGTCGTAAATTAACTACGTAATATGATTACCATTTTAAGGCTTAAAGTGAGATTGTACCAAGTTCAATTTTTAAATCACATTAAATAAACCGACTTTACAGTTCTGGCATTATCAGGTGGTTTGTTTATCGTTTTAAGAAGCAATTTTAGCAACTTTCTGGTTCTAGTTCTTGAGGCACATGAGTGAAGTGAATTTCGCAATTTTTAAAATTTTGCACCTTGTTATTGACACGAATTTTAGGCGTTTTTCGTTGTTTAGAGGAGCAAATACAGACATTGCAAATGTCGACCAGCAAACTATTTACACATTTTATGCATCAATTGAATCAACGAGTTGATTTAACATTTTTTCTGAAATATTCTTCTAGTTGCTCTTATTCATTAATCAATTATTATCAATAATTCTAACATGCCATGCTTTTAGTTACGAAAGTGTGAAGCAATTTATTAGTGTGTTTAGATTAATAAATAAAATTTTCTAGATAACTTGATAGATTTACACATCTATTTAGGTATCAAGTGAAAATGTTAGGAAATGTGAAATCTTAGTCATGAAACACTTTGGCATTCTTATGTGAGACTTATTAATCAACATGAAATCAATCGGAAAGGTTTTTATTTCGTTTCTACTCAGCCTTCAGATAATTTTTTCCAACTTCTGATCATGTAATTGTAACGTTGCAGTTATCACAGAGTGATTTCACTGTAAATCTAATGTAATATTTCCTAAAATACAGGGTACATGAATTCGTTTATAAAGCGGCAAAGACAACGTATATTCATGACCTATAGCATTTTACACTTCCCTAAATGTGTGTAATTTATAACGTAGATTATGGAATTTGTAAATAAACGTTACTTTTTCTTACTTGCATTTTTTACATCATCACTGAAATGCGTTTATTAGTACTGATTATAATAAATTCTCTAAATTTAAGTATGTAGTTTGTAAATAGAACCGCCACTTAACATTAACAAAATGCATTCGATGGACAGTGTTTGCAATGGCAAGATCAGAGGTCAAGTTCCTAGTGCGTTAGATCAGCTAACTTTCACTTTATTCAAAAACACAGTAAGAGTCTTGGCAAATTTTCAATTATCCGACATGAACGGCACTTAGAGCTGCGCTTATAGGGTTTTTGTCATTGTATTATTTACAAACCTTTTTAGTTACTGAGATGTAAAAACCCACTGTTAACCCATTCCGTTGTTCCTACCTTCAGATTAAGAGCAAGAAATGGCTATCTGAATGATTGGGAAACACCCAATTTTTTATTGAGTTTCATTTTACTCATTAAGAAATAACGTTGATATATTTGGAGGAAAGAATGCGCTCCTTGCAACCAACTTGAAAAAGTGTAATTGTGTCTTTTAGGGATTGTTATAAAATCGCACAAAGAATTGTGAATAGGGGTCATTCATAGATGAAAAGCTGAATAATTGTTACATACATAGTTATTTGTCTCTATGTTGTACCTAAACACCATTCGTTCAATGGCAAAAATATGGCTTTGATCGGCAAACCCTTATGGTTTCGTTCAATCTCATCCGTATACAGTGTTTCATGTTAATAAGCATAATCAGAAATATTTTGTAAGTATTATTAAGTACACGAGCGCATGTAAGTCCCATGATGAACAAAAAAGTTCCTTGATACCAATGTTTTTACTTAAACGCTTAGGAAATTTAAATTTCAGATCCAATTGGTAACACGTAATATTCATTGGTGTTATGGCATCTCTATTAGTTATCGCCTCTAAATGTATGTGGCAAGAGCAATAATCCCGGTACAAGGAAACGAAACGTAGCAAGGAACTTTGAGTCATTTAAAGAAAATTTTTTACCCATCCGTCCTTGATGTATTACTATCTAAAGTCGTCTAAAATGTAACTGATATGATTAGCCTCAAAGGAAGCAAGCGATAAATATTTAGCGCCCATAGATTAGCTGTATTTTTGCCTTTCCATCAAGTATATATTATATTATATTTCGATTGTAAGCAATCGGTACATGTCCAAAGAAATCGGTTTTCTCAGCCTGTACCTCACACGAAAAACAACTAAATTGGTCCATTTTTCACTGGGATGGGCAAGATCCTGCACTGGAAAACCCGAATTCGTTGACTAATTATTGAGTATAGGTCACTGCCACTATTGCAAACAAATCTGCAAATAGTATTTGTTTTAGATTAGTTTTTTCGCTTTGCTCACAGATTGCGTGGGAATGTAAATTCTTATCCATCTTTTCGGCTTAATCACCAATTATGGTTGGAAAATCAAAGAAACTTAAGATGGAAACAATTGGCTTAAATATTAATAATGCGAGAAGTCCGAATTTCTCTTTAAATTGTGATAATAATTAGGATAAACACAATTTATTAAAACCGGTTTCCAGATGCTCATCTGTTGCAAACCGAGCCTCAATGAAAAACTACTTAATATAAGATAATAAGTAAGAGTTAAGCTACTAATATTTATAATGGCATATCAACGTACATTTAGAGTGGTTTTTTGAATAAGACATCGATTTTGCACAAAGATTCGCTTACTTTATATTTCGTATTAACCGAAAATGTTTTCGACAAAAATAATCTGTGGGTAAATGATAAAAAACTGATCCATTGTACGTACTGAGTACCAAGCGAGGGTGAGATTTTAAAATGCCGTCAGCTGTTCCTACGGCTGATTTTGCGTTCTATATTGTACCTAGCGCATAATTTGCATAAATGAAATAAAGAAAAATATTATCATCGCTGCATTTTCTTCTCAGGTTCCATTTGCATGATTTTATAACAATAATGTCCATTTTTTAAGCATTAGAAGTTTCACTTTTTTCAACAAATTTTCCTTTCGCTACTCTCCACTCCATTGGTATGTTTGGCAAGAGATAATGCAGGAATTCTAAATAAAAAATCTGTTTGATTTATCAATAGATGTTTATATTTAAAAATATTTGCATTTTTGAGCTTCGCTCTCACATAACTAGTTAGTTTTAAAACTGGCACTTTATAGATAAAACACTTAAAACAGTAGAACGAAACGTGAGTTACTTAAATGACTCGAATCTAACTGGGTGTAACATCTACAATCTCATTGCTGGAAATATTGTGCGGGCCAGGCCCTTTGTCCTTAATTTTGTCCTGGACTTTTTGGAAACTGGATCGGATTTCATCCAAAGTGGAACCCAAGCCCGATTTAATCCGATTAAACTCCTGAGACAGTAGGGACAGTTTTCCAAGTAGGAAGTTGAGGTTTTCATCCACTTCTTGCATGCGCCCCGTGATCTGAGTGACCTGAATAGACCAAAAGAATGAAGGCTTAAACCGTGCAAATTGCACACTTACTTTTCCTCTCATGCTATCCATGACGTTCAAAGAACCATTTACGTAGGAATCAGTCTGATTTTGCAGTTTGTTCAGCGTGTCTGTGCTGGCGCTCATCTGCTGATGCATAATTCCAATCTGTCTCCAGACCCTGCCGATTTCATCCTGAATCTTCGAAGTTAAGTTGTGCAGCGCACCATAGTCTTCATCCAGAATGGAAAGTTCAAAGGCTTCAAATCTGGACGAAAATGATCCAGTAAACCTCTATTTGGGTCCTTTTTCCACTCTGTACCTCTCATTAATTCCTTGTGTGATTTCCGTTGCTCCTGCCTTCATCTGCTTGTCCACTTCGGCAATGATTTGGTGAACTCCGTACTCCATGCGACGTTTCGTATCTAAAACACTGTCCGCGGTTTGTATCATCACTTGCTCCATTTTTCCCAGATTTCGAATTTCGGTCCTAAAACACTTTTTTATAGCGCACATTCAGATTGATTTTCTTCCCAAGCTTGCCTAATGTTTTCGTAATTGCTCGAAAAACTCTCGGTTAGATGGGACGTTATTTCAGTCAGTTCGTTAAATGAGCCTTTAACACTTTGGTGAGTCACACCAGCTTCAGCCCGCATGTCTTTCAAAATTGCTTCCATGCTTTGTAGCGGCTGCAGTTGGTTTTGGGGTATTTTTGCTTTGATTTCTTCCAATTTTGCAAGCGTGAGGTTTTGGAACGGGTCAATCTCCGATTTTTTGGGCAACAGGGTTAGTTGATTTTGGACCACCCGGAGTTCGGTTACAAGACCGGTAATTTCGGTTTTTTGAGTATCGAGAACTAAAATGAGACAAAAGGCTTGTTAATACTAAGTGCAATTGAATACACCAAATGATGGATTTTTGGAGTCAAATTTTAATCAACTATGAGTTAGCGCAAAAATAGTTTACCTTTTAAAAAGCTTTCTTTCCATTCGTCCTGTTCTTTGTGATTGTCGGGAACAATTTTCGGAATCCTGTTATTGTACTCAGCCAGTTTGTTCTCGTACTTCGCCAGTAAGCTCTCGCTGTTATCCAACTGCCTTTTGACTTTGTCCAGATTCTCCGTGGACTTGTTATTGATATCTTTAATACTGCTCAAGTTCTCCAAGCGGATTTTGCTCAGTTCTTGTTCCACGCTTCTTATGGTAGCAGACACTGTTTCCATCTTGTCGACCACTTCCTTTTCCATCGAGGAAAAGTCCTTCTTCGTCATCATTGGCTCAGTGATTTCAGCCGGTGGTGCGCTCATAAACATCTGCAAAGTTGAAGGGTTTGAGTTCGTTTTGGATTCAACCGTCGACATCTGTACCTTTTGGCTTAAGTCTTGGTTCAATTGGTCCAGCAGGGTTGGGAGTTTCCGTTGAATATCCACCACAATGTCGTAGATTTGTTGCTGTTGCTGCTGACGGTCCCGATCTTCTTTGTCTTTTTGCAGAAGAATCGTCTCGACTGCAGCCAGGCGCTCATCTATTCTACTCACCTGGATAATTTGGGTGAAAGCCGGGATTTTATGTGGATGTGAATTGAAAACCTACCGCTCCTTTAAGCGGATCCAATAGCTTGATTCGTTTATCAATGTTGATCAGTCCTTTTTTCAATTGCTCGCCCAATTGCTTTTCTCTAAACTCGTGTCTTTCCAGCTTGTCGTCGGTGTTTCTCGCTACGTTTACCATCTGGAGAATCGCCAATCTAATGTCTTCATTTCTGTAAAAATTAGTTGATTCATTTAAATTAAAATTAAAGAGTCTGGGGATAATTTAGATAAAATGCAGACACTCCGGGTGCAAGTTTACTCCTGATTAGATCCCATATATAGAGCGGTTCTGCAGTTAATGGACCATCTGGTGATTACTTGTAACTAACCATTACAGCGGGGTTACTGACAGATATACGACCATCATAAAATACGGGTTTCCATCAATGCCTCTTTTTATGTTCATCAGGTCAATGGTATGCAGCAGATGTGGTTCAGGGAATTATATGGGATGGAGTTTTGTCTAGCAAACACGGTAACAGAATCACTTAACTTCCAAGGAATTGTTCTCATGGGTTTTTATTGCTTGCTGAAATCGGAATTAAGTCACGCATTTGCTCAGGTTCAGTTTTGCGGCATTTCTAAGTAAGTCGTATTTTCGTATTTTGACTCCAGTGCATTTATTTGTCCAAGAGCTTGAGCCGCGGCTAAAACCAGCATCTGAGAAAATGTTATTGTGCACTGATTCATTCCAGGGGGGTAAACGAACTTGCGTTTATTTTTACTTTTGTGTCAGGAAAGTAATTGATTAAATATTATGAGACGTATTTTTAGTCTCGACAGCAAGGCACTTAGTTAGTGAACTCGATTATCTGTTTAAATATTTTTTAGCTGAATTAAAATGGACAAGAAATCAATTTTTAAAAAACAATAAGGGAATTAACTTGATGAGTGGGCGGCAATCAGTCCACTCAACAAAATTCAGTTTTTGAGGCTGCCTGCATTCATTTCTTCAAAGGATTTGAAACTTTTGCTTTCATACTCTTCAGGCTTGAGAATGATTTTCAAGAATATTTTATTTTAGTCTAAATTCGCTTCTTATGCTTGATGGATTCGTTCTCCTAAATCGTAATCAATTGCTCTCAATAAACTTGCATAAGCAGAGCTCTATTTTCTGAATAAAAAAAATAAAACACACTAAACAACAGAAATGTTCATGAAACATTGATACCATTTCTACAATAAAAACATTGATGAACAATGTCGCTAAAACAAAACATGAACAAATAGTTAATGGCAATGAGAAGAATTTTTTTTCGTGTCATTGGCGCACATACAAATATGATTTGATGTGATACGGGACGATTGTTTTCGAATTAGTGTATTTTGCAAATATGTCTTTCAAGTCGAAGCACTGTTGATGTTTTTAACATTTTAAAAAACCGCTTAGTTCTCGACTGACAGGGTGTTAAAATATTCAATAATTGAATAAATTGAATTTAAAACAAGCAACCACACGTAAATGTTTCGTTCAGTTTTACTCAAAATTGACCACCAAATGTGCTTTTGATGAAAACCCATATGATGGCCAACTTCCAGGGTGGTCCGCACCATATGCGTACCATGGGGTGGAATACGAACACTTTTTGAATCTGCGACAGGGAACTTTTTATTCGATTTTAAGTTTGTCGATTGAACTGAGACAGTTTTAAAGCAAAGCAACCAGCCCGTAGCAAATCAAATGTGCGGTTTATCGGCTCAACCAGAGTATCCACAATACAAATTACTTTTAGAGCTGATGTAAACTATGGCACGAACCATTTTATTGTTTAATTATCGCAACATGTCAGTAAATATTGATTGTGGATAAAAGTCCAAACTTCCCTTAGAAATATTGCTTGTACACTTACGTGACCGTGGCAGTTGTTTTCACCACCAAACAGATCAGGCAAAGGAAAATGGTTCCCTGGAAGGACATAATTTTTGACCGACTCAAATCCAGGCTGGAATAAATATTATATTAACTACACTAAACTCGATAAGTTAATGAATGTTTTGTTAAATAGTGACAATACCAATAATTAAGATAGATATTGGCTAAGTGACCTGACCCCTCGAGTACGAGGTCTGTGAGCAATATTCAGCTTTGTTGCAAAATGTTAAATTGTTCATACTCATATGAAGATTTGAGTTTATTTTCCAGAATTTAATTTAACTGTGCACCATTTACTTAATGCGCGCGCAAAATATATGAACGAGTAGTTTTTTGAATTCTTTTAATAACAAGCGTTAATTTATTAGAACTTACAAGTCCCAAGAATGCACTACAATCACACTACAATGGTTCCAATTCCAGCCTTAAAGAACCATATTTCCCGAATGAAATACACTGGCCAACTGGGCCATGTCGCACATTGCGGGCTTCAGTTTCTCCTTCTTTTTGGCTTCATTTTTTTCAAAATCACAGCATTTGCTCTACGCACCAGATGTAGGCATCTATTAGGAATATTCCAGCCATCCAGGCCAAGAATCCGGTGTTAATGGCTTTTCATAGAGGGCTCATAAAGTGAGTTAAAACAGCGTACATACAGTGTTTCTGGCAATAACATCAATATTTTGGAGTTAACGTAAGGTGAAACGGTGTTTTTATTTGTTGGCACCTTGTATATTTATTTGTACTTTTTAAGTACGTCATGACCAGGATAGGGCGGCAAATTAAAGGCAATTTATAATTGCTTGTAAAACTTGGGCAAAATGCAGTGATATTTACAAATATTTTTCAAATACATTAATCATAATGCAAACTGAATTTTTTTCGAGAGTTTTTCCATTTCAATCTCAGTGTTCGTGTGCATTTATGCCTTTCATATATTTTTTTGGATTTCATTCATGTGTGTACTATATATTCTTATTTTTATTTTATTTAATTTAACAGATTTTAATGATTTATACATACACATATACATTTGTATACAAGGTGTATCTAAATGAAACCGTTCATTCCTGGGGCAATAACGCAAAAAAGGCATATAATGATGAAAATATTCGTGAAAAGTTAATGTAAGTGCGTGGGAAACCGGCGGCTTAAACGCTTTATTTTCCATTTATGTCTTCGATTGGGCGTTTCAGATTAAATTCACAAATTTTATGGACTTTTAATTAAAATTTGTACTTTTGGGAATATCCGATTAAATTCATCGATGTCGAGAAAACCTAATTTAAAGATTAAATTTCACGTGGATCCTTTTCGAATCCAGTTCATCATACACGGCAAGAAAATGACTTAATTGACCAAAAAATAGTATTATTTGCAGTTGGAAAATTATAATTTCCTTGAAATTACCTAGAAAAAAATGTCCGTTTGATTTTGGGCTTCAACGTTTAAGAGCTATTTTACACATTTTTTTTAACGCGCTCCAGGAACTTGGCCATTTATTTCGGAAGCACTGTATATTTCGCGCTACAGCAAGCTGTACTAATTTGGGCGATAAATCCACAGATGGCGCGCTAGTAACGCTCCTTAATGCGTGTCAAATGCCAAGAAACCGAACGTCGTCAGAATCTAACAAATATGGACTGTGTCAAAACAAATAGCAATTTGTATTTTATATGATGTATATTTGCTTCGTTTGAACATCAACAGGCAAATTGGCTATTTTCTGGTTACCTGCATGGTATGTAAACACTGTCTCAACGATACTAATTCCGATGTAAAGAGGGTAACCTGAACTTGTTATAGAAGATGGAATTGAGGCAGACGGCTGCATCAAGATAAACCCTGGTTAAACTAGGCCGTAATTAACAAAACAGACTGTGCTTAGACTTGCAAAGAGTTGCTCAAATGGAATCCGCAATTACTATTTCCAGTTCGGAGAGCAGCGTTCAGAATTCCACATCTATCGAGTCGCTTGATCCTGACGCTGCTCTGGATCGTTTGCCTATCAATGGCGATCCCAAGCAGTCCTACAATAGTTCATGTACGCCCACAACCTTTGAGAAGGTTGATAAATGGCTGAAAAGTCTAGACGTTTTTAACAGGAACGAGGAAAGCTGCAGCAGCTCTTGCTTCCAAAGCTTGGATTTCCATTCCAGCGAAAACCATTTCCTTCATGAGATCATATCATTAGATCTAAATGCCCCGAATATTAGGAATGATACAGTGCTCCAAGGTAAGCTAAACAACAAAACTGCTCGACTAAAGCGAACCGTTGAAACTGTTCAAGAATCAAAATCTAATTAGCAATTTTTTCTGGCCATTTCGAATTGAAGTGCATTTGTTGTCACCGCATACATGTTTTCTACTCTCATCTTGCTCATGTGACGCCTTTTGGTTTCAGATCAGTCGCATGCCTACTCAAATGAATCGTCCGACAATTCTATTACCTCCAGCCGCAAAACAGCTGGGAAACCTCTACCTAGAGCTAGAAGAAAAATGCGTGGCCAGGCCACACCAGTTAAAGCGCGAAAAAACTCACAGCAGAAGCAAATGCGGGAGTGGGACGATTCAGATTCCGCTCCAGAAAACGTTAAGAAACAGGAACTATGCAGTTACTTGCAACTGATGAAGCCCACAGATAAGAAGACTGTGATGATTTTGCAAAATCGACGGTCAGTAAGAGTAAAAAATTTGAGTCTAATGCAACAAAATCGCGATCTAGAGAAGAAGCTCAAAGAGCGTTCAGAAGATAGAGATGAAATCCGTAGTGTATCAAAGTGTTCGCACAGTAAATCTACCAGAGAAGTGGGCAATGACAAGAAAAGCACAAAGGTGGGGACAAGAAAAGATCAACCAGCGACTTTTCGATTTCCTAATCCCACTGGTAGTGTAACAAGGGCGGTTAGATACTTTGATGAAACCGAACAAGAAGATTGGTTTAAAGAATGGAAGGAACAACCAAGTAAACACGCAACAGGCGAACTGAGTGATCAAAAGGAAAACCAAAAATGCGTTACAGGCAAATCAAGTAATTATTTTGAAGGAAAATTTTATATTCTAGAATCGCGAAAGAGCAACTTAGTCAATATAGGAAGTTTCGATGCACCGTTAGATTCCTTTTTAGACAACCGGAATCACAGGAATTTGCAGCGGTTTAATACAAATAACGGCGAAAATAATGTGAACACGAAGCATCCTACTCAAATCATAGACTCAGTTTATCCTAGTTTCTCAATCCCAACACCGCCATCTAGATTGGTGGAAACCATTCGTGATTTTGATGTAACAGTTGAAGAGAACAAAGATATTTTCACCTTGATTCCAAGTACAGAATTAATATCACAGTCGACTTCTTGCAGTAATCTTGTAAACAATAACAGGGAATCATCAGCACTGCCAAAAGCGGTAAATAAACTCAACAGCACACGTCCAGGCAAAGAGAACTTTGGGTCTGCAAGAAGTGAAATTTTTCGTAGGAATTGTAAAAAATCAGCAATTAAAAGCATCACTAAAAGTGAGACGGCCATATCCACCGCTAAAGGCAGGAAAAGAGACCGGCGGTCTGATTGCTTAACACCAGAGATGAAGAGTCGGTGGAAAAACTTACGGAAATTTATTCCGGTAAAACCAACAAATCATGATAATTCAAAAATTGAACTAATACCTAGAAAACAGTTAGCTAAATTCAAAAATCAAGCCGAACATTTTTCTGGCAAGTCAACAAACCTCTCCAGACGTGAAGGGAGTTCCCGGACATCTTTGGTAATTCGCAGTGACAAGAAGAGAAACGAAAAATCCACAAATAGTATGTCGGATTTTTCAACTGAATATAGCTTTAACGTACAATCATATAGCAAAGAAAAGAGTTCTATTCAATGTAGGTTGAGCAATTCTCCCAAATCGATGCTCCGAACAATGGTGGACAATGGTTCTGCCTCCGATAAATTTCGATCAGAACGATGGAAGAACGATGCTCTGTGTGTGATGCAGTATCAGGATTGCGAGCCACCATCGACAATCATGGCTGTTTATACATATAAGACACAAGATCAACTAGAAACTCTATCCTGTACGGGATCTTATAATAATGCCGGGAGGAAAAACCCTTTTATTTCCCAAATTTTCGTTAACGATATATTAAAACAGGGAAGCTCAACGGAAGATAAAAGAACCACTCGCGGTAGTTTGCTCAACGGGCAAACAGTGTCTGATAGAGCAACTACGGAAGAATCGCGAAACTCCTCCAAATCAGTTAGTTCTTCCGAAAAATGCTCAAAGCCTGTACAGCCGCAAATTCCCCGACTAGAATATCTTGATCCAGCCACATTTATCTCGTTTGATAAGGACAGATCTCCAAACTCGTTCTATCGATGTTTAAATTCCACAATGCCAAAGAGGACTGCTGCTTTGGAAATTGAACCGTCATCTACCAGTTGGGCTTCCAACAGTCCGAATTCCCGACAGAAGAGGGACCAGCATCTGATTCAAGTTTCCAACAATAATGGTCGTGTAATCAACGTGTTTTACCGTGATTATAATTTAATACTTTGTCAAGAAACTCTCATTTCTTTTTGGACACAGACAGCATTGGGCAATGTTTTAGGTAAGATGCTTGGAATGGAAATGTCCGTCGGTTAAACTGATTACTCGAATCTTAAGCTACAATCAGTACATTGTTAAGAAATATGTTGAAATAGTCTCATTATTTTAGGCGCTCAAAATATGTGGATCAAAAAAGGAAGCATCCGAAGATTATCAACGAATAAACATGGCATATTCAAGGAAGCCCTGGAAATGGTCGTTTCAACGGAGTCCAGTGTAGCATACATCGAGTTGTGGACTAAAGAACATCAGAGCGCCTTTCGAGAAGTACCAGTTGCTGATGTGTTTGCAATTGTCTATTACTGGAAGAATGGGCAAACTGGCCTGGATAAGAAAGTATTACAGCTAGAGAATATTAAAGGGTAAGGAATTTTATCATCCAATTGAATTAGTTCTCAATGTAATTTTTTTCTTCAAAGATTTGCTGATGACGTCCATTATTCCATATTAACATCGTCACCAAAGATAATCGTAAGCTGGCACATAGCTAGCAATGAAGTGGATAGCCAGAAGACGTTTGTTCACTGCTATCAATTGACTGCAGATTTTCAGGCAGTTTGCAACATCAGCAAGTTCGAAGCAGTGGAGCATTATGTATCTTCATTGCACAATATTCAAGGTAATTTTTTTGTTGCAATAGGCTTCAGTTAAGCCTGAAGGATTTTAGGTTGCGATACCTTAATTATGGGATGCGGGGATAACAAAATAACACTCTGGAACCTGGAACATGGCTATGTGGCCACTACTATTGAGATGACTGACATAAAATCCACGCTATGCACTCTATGGGCCAAGTGCGATCGGGTAAGTTTGATATTGAATCAGTTAGCGTGTTAATTGTTTAATTACAGCCGACAAGAAGGCACTAACATTGCAAGAACTGTTTTAGGGGTTTCTGTTCACTTTGCAAGAATGTGTGGACAAGGAATTGCGAATAGTGGCGATCCACGGCCTGAATCACTCATGGAAGAAGCTGGCCAGTTATGTGCCTCCAAAGAATTACGACAGGTATACTACGTTACAGCAATTAACTGGCTGAACTAGTCTTGAAACAGAGTGAATATTTGTAGATTGAGAGGCGTATATATTGAGAACGGCATTGTTCTTGCCTGCTATCAGGAAGGGATTATCTGCTGGAATGCACAAACGGCTGATAGGATGTTCGAAGTGACCCAGACCGAGCCGGAATTCATTTCAGGAAAATACATAATCAGTATCGTAAACGATCAACTGAAGATAAAACATGCCATTACGTATATATTAAGCTCTGAAGAGTTATAAGAAGAAACCCACCTAAAACATGCTCTGCACAGTGTAAATATGTACATATATTGCGAACATTGTCCAATTCAATTAATTCCAAATTCATCAGTGAAATTCCTATGAAATTTGATACGATGGACTTTTAGTTGATTCTATTTGGTAATTATCGCTTAATAGTGGAGAAAGTTGCAAGAAAATTTTTTACAACAATTTGCACGACAATTTCTACTTTGTCACTAATGCAATAAAGGAAGCGATTAATTGTACTGATAGGACCTGTAAATTATTGTTGCCCATTAATGGATGAAAATTGAAGAATTGTTTGGCATAGTAAATGTTTATGATAAATTACAGAAATTTTATTGTTTGTGTGTGAATTGTTTACACTGGCAATGTTTGTTGCAAACTAGTTTTGTTGCGCCTGGACCTAAAATGGCTTAATATAGTTGATGCAAAAATATTGTACATAGATGTAAATAGTGTATCGTTGATTGTTAACAGAAAATTTGTACTGTGAAATATTTGTGAAAGTAAATTCGTTTTTCATGGTTTTGTTTTGCAAGTAATCCAACTTTTATTTTTTGTTATATTTAAAAGAAATAAAGTTTTTTTTTGGTACTTATTTTCAAATAGATTTGTTTCAACATTTATAACTTGCGTACCAAATAATAATTTGCTTAGGAAGTTAAAAAAACGTTTTTTTTAATTAGCTTTTATTTTAATATCTTCATATTTTTAAATAGTCGGTGTGATGCGCCTCAATTGATTGATGAAACAAAAAAATCATAGTTACAAGTGTTGCAACAATGCCTGACTTCAATCAGAGCACAAAACATAACCTTATCATGTTTTGATATGGCGCGCGTTGAAGCACCATGCGTTTCGTCCCGGGCCTACCTATTGGACTCGCCAGTAAGGCTTAGGTAAGCCCTGCCTTAGACGCCGGTTACGGAACATAGGTTGGAAGTTCTATTTGAATCGAAACGCCACAGATATTATGCGGTGAGATATAGCCGGCGTTTCGGTTGGAGCTGCTAGTTGAGAAGTGGCGGATAGAGTTCGCCACAGATAGATAAGCGCATCGTCGATACCCGTCTTTATCTATGGATAAGCGTCCGGGTAAACAATAACCTTGAAATAAAGTGAAGTTTTTCTAATTATTTATTATAATTAGGAAACAAATTATCATATCAGCCTTTACACGTTACACTCGCCAATTAAACTTGATCAAAGGTCTTACTTTAGCTAAGGCTGGCGAGATTGGCATTGTGATTTCCACTGTGATTTATCCCGTTCATAGCTTCAAATAGAGCCAGTGCTCTACAAAGCAAAAACATGGGAATTTCAACTGTGGTTCATCTAATCATTGCAGGGCACTTTTGGTTTGGCTGCTACTACAATTGGTTCCATGTGAACGTGCCACTTGAAGTGTCTGATTTAGGAGACGCAAAATTTCGCACAAAACAGTTGAAGTTTTTAACGTACTGGGATGCTGTAAGTAGCACTTAATATATTACTTAAGTTTGCTGAGTCTACTAGTAGTCGGAATTGGATAGAACTTTCCTTCAGAAACCTGGAAATTTATTCATTAGTTTACCCGCTTTCAAACATTTGAATGCCTTATAATCTTGTATTTTTTAGTTACTGCAATCCATCTTTTTTACAATATGTGTTTTGAACGACTTTATTGGCTCAAATGAACGTTTCCCAAAGAAGAGGCCTTTAATTCGGAAGATTAAAGATTTTGTAAGTATATTCATGCCTGGAATTTCAAATTGCAACCGTTCATATTTAAATACATCTCCTCTAACTCCAGCAAATTTTGCATGGGATTTAAACATGACTAGACTCCAAGTAGTTTTACGCACATCAATTAACTGATTACAAAGTCAAGGATGCCTTATCTATGATTGTGTAATGCGTTGTAAGGTTCAGCTGCTTGGCGCATTTAATTATGCAATATTTTCTATTACTGGCTGGCACTGAAAGTTAATGAGGTCAATATTGTGCATAACCTGGCCAATGTCCATCATCCAACACTGATAATCAATCATTCACTACTTTTTAAAAATATTTGGACAATTTTCAGGTTCTTCCAGCTTTGGCCTTTCCGGTGTCGATGTTCGTCAGTGTAACATTTTGGGGTCTCTATGCAGTTGATAGGGAATTAATTTTGCCAAAAGCCCTCGACCCGTACTTTCCAGGATGGCTCAATCATTTGGTGCACACCAACGTGATAATATTTTCGTTTTTTGAACTCATTTGGTCTTACAGAAAATACCCCAGCAGGAAGGTGGGACTGTCTGTATTATGTGCCTTTATGCTCACCTACTTGGTGTGGATGCATTACATTCATTTCTGCACCAATAAATGGGTGTACCGAGTTCTAACAGTATTGGATTTGCCTGGACGAATTGCCTTCTTTATTGGGAACCTGAGTTTTGCAGTGGCGATGTATATTTTAGGCGAGAAAATCAATAACATTCGGTGGGGGCATATTACCAAAGCCAAGGCCCACAAAAAATAACACGATTTACGATCAATCGCGCTCAAAATTGCTACTCAAAGTTTTTTAATGTTTACTTTTTTATAACGTTTTGTCGGGTAAATGCACGATTTGATTTAATAGAAATCATTTTATTATTTATTGGCTAGTTCGCAAAGACACAGTATTTCCAAAAGTACTAAACCGAGTTTTAAGCTGAAATAATTTAAGTAATTAGTCTTTATTTAATCAACATATCTTTGCAATCAATTCGTTCCATATTTAAAAAAAAAAGACCGGCTGTAGCTCATAAGGTGACCTCAACTTAGCACGCTTTTTATGTGACTGTTATTTATAGTAAAACGGTGGAATCCATGACACGAAAAGCAATTAACCGGTTCTTAGGTTTTAGTCACAGCAGTAATTGATGTAAAATTTTATAGGCGGTAGTAAAGTGATTAATTGCATTCAGAACAAAACGCGTAAGGATTTTTCTCTGGTTACAAAATAGCGCATGCAATGAGTGGGCGTGCAATACGGCAGCGAATTTCAAAGTTGCATATTTTGCTGAGCAAAATCGCTCGGAAGCTTTTGTTAATTCAACGTTGAAACACTACATATTACTGATATGTATAGTGGTGCCTTTAATATTCTAAATGGCAATATACTTATAGTGGAAATTAGGATTTTAATGGAGAATTCGTTGATTATTTGGTAACTTTAAGTGCTCAATTATAAAAATGTCCACAATCTGTGTGTTACAAAATTGAAAATTGTGGCTGTTGTATATTGATAAAATTGTGATTTCTTGCTACTTACGAGCCCCTTAATGTCGTAGAATTTTAATAAAAATTAAATGTTATTTAGTAACGTGAAAGTATTATTTCAGTATTATTTTTAGAACTTTACTTCGAAAATGCTGATTTTGGAGCAATATCCTCAATCAATTGTTAATTATAGTTTGTAATATATGCTTCTGATGTAAAACATGTTTAGCCTTTAATTTGTTAAAAAAAGTAATTAATTCTGCCGACTTGATAACCCCATTTCTGGCAGGAATTTATATTTTCTTAATTTAATTTGTTTTTATTCGATTGACGGAACATTTATAAAAATTAAAAGTAAAACATTTGTTGTAAATTAATAAATTAAAGCCAAGAATCCATTTGAGTCTATCTCACTCGTCCAATAGACAAGACGAAGACTCTGCTGACAGTAGTCGTAGAACGCCACAAGGTTATGTTTGGAAAATCATTTAAGTTGATTTTATTAACTAAATACATATTTAATTTTCGCAAAACTATTTGATTCTAATTCATGATGGAAGAAAATGTTCATCGTCTGGCGGGTAGCGCTGTCGACGAACCGGGCGGTTTAATAATCAAAAAGAAAAAAGACGCTGAACCAACTTTTAAGGTACCCAGGGCTTCGCTGCTAGGCTTAGACCGTTTAGCGGCGCAAAAGCGCCGGGAACAAGAGGACGCCGCTCGGAAAATGTCCTTTTCGATTGAAGAGGAGAACGCTGAATTTGCCAACGAAAGTCCAAAGCATGTACAGGAAAAGCCAAAAGATGAACGCAAGTTCAGGGTGCCAGCAGAAGAAACACCCACGTACACAGGGGGGGTTACTAAAGAAGCGCGGGAACGGTTGCTGGAAAGGGAAAAGGACCGATATAAGGCAAAGGGGGTTTATGCAACTTCAATAGACAAAAGCAAACATAATAGAGATTATGAACGTCGTAGCGGCAAGCATGATCGCGATAGAGACCGAAGGGAAAGGTATAAACATCGGGATAGGGACAGGCATAGAGACACACATCGAAGCAGCAGGCATGGGGACAGTTCACATAGAGAAGAAACCACGCCGAGGTTTAGGGATGAACCCAAAACTCCAAATTTGAAGGTGAAAGATGCAGTATCAAAAGCATCGTGGGATGAAGAGGAGGATCTTCCACCAATGAAAAGGTCCACTTGGGATTTTCCAACTCCAAACTCATATAAAAAGGTACACAATTATGCCCAAGTCGAATTTTCCTAGCTTAGAATTGTTTGGCGATTTTTTAGGAAGACAGAGAGTGGTCTGAAAGAAGTGCAAAATCAAGATATGACGCAGAGTCATCTAGAAGAAACGAGAAAAGCTGGAGAGACTGGAAAAGTGGTAAAAAACCTGTGGACGATAGTGAAAGGGCAACTCCAGCCCACAAATATAATGCTTGGATGAAGGACAGAAGGAAAACAGGCGCCACACCAGGTAATAGTCACTTTTGTTGCGAAGACGCATCTTAATACAGTATAATTTTAAAGGTTTAGAGAAGGAAAGCGAAAGCAAAGTGAAATGGGACGCTACAGGGGAGCGAAGTAATTGGGAAGAAGAGCAGAGGAGGCTGGACAGAGAGTGGTACAATATGGGCGAGGGTTACGATGATGAAAACAACCCATTTTCAAGTGTGAGCGATGAGTACACTAAGAAAAAAGAGGAGCAATTGGAACAGAGGAAAAAGAAAAGATTAAGCGCTCAACAAAGGCAAATCAATAAGGACAATGAGTTGTGGGAGAGAAATCGAATGCTAACATCTGGTGAGTACTGGAATAATCAACTCTCGTTCAACTAAACGTTTATTTATTGGCTTCCAGGAGTGGTCCATTCGGTGGATTACAACGAAGATTTCGATGAAGAATCGATAGACCGGGTTCATTTGTTGGTCCACAACATTGTACCGCCTTTCCTTGATGGTCGAATTGTCTTTACTAAGCAGCCGGAACCGGTAATCCCCGTAAGGTAAATGGATCTCCAAATAATCCGAAACAGTTTCCTAATTGTCGATTTTAGAGATCCTACGTCCGACATGGCTCAAGTGGCAAGGAAGGGCTCTCATTTGGTAAGAGTGTTTAGGGAGCAGAAAGAGCGCAGAAAGGCCCAGAAGAAGCATTGGGAATTAGGAGGCACGAAAATCGGGAATATTATGGGTATCAAGAAGAAGGAAGACGAAGAAGATAAAAAGTATAACAAAGACGATGACACTACCGATTATAAAACTGATCATAAATTTGCGGAGCACATGAAAGGTTTGACAACGAAAGTTTGATTCATCTGGTCAACTTATTGAAACCGATTTGATTTTTAGGAAACAATGAGGCCTCCAGCGAATTTGCCAAGAAAAAATCTTTTTACGAGCAGCGGCGCTATTTACCGGCGTTTGCAGTTAGGCAGGAACTGTTGAATGTTATTAGGGAAAACAATGTCGTTATTATTGTCGGTAAGCACACGCTGCTAGACGGCGTAATTTCAGACTCAAAACGCGATGTTTTCAGGCGAGACTGGAAGCGGAAAAACCACCCAACTAACTCAATACTTACACGAGGATGGTTACAGCAAGTACGGAATGATTGGTTGCACGCAGCCTAGAAGAGTGGCCGCCATGTCGGTAGCTAAAAGAGTAAGCGATGAAATGGGGACAACTTTGGGGGACGAAATAGGATACGCCATTAGATTCGAGGATTGCACTTCAGAGAATACTGTGATAAAATATATGACTGACGGTAAGTTCAGGAGCACTCTGAACAACGCCAACTGTGGATAATTAAAACAATTTTTTAGGTATTCTTTTGCGGGAGAGTCTGAGAGAGCCGGATTTGGACCATTACAGTGCGGTCATAATGGACGAAGCCCACGAAAGGTCTTTAAGCACCGATGTGCTGTTTGGATTGCTCAGGGAAATAGTGGCGCGAAGACACGACTTGAAATTAATTGTTACTTCCGCTACAATGGACAGCAGCAAGTTTTCCATGTTTTTCGGCAATGTACCTACTTTTACTATTCCTGGTAAGAGGAAGCGGCTTAAAACAGTCAATTTGTTATGAGGATTTTTTTATGCTTCCAGGTAGGACTTTTCCGGTAGAGACATTATTCAGCAAGAATCCTGTAGAGGATTATGTAGATGCTGCAGTAAAACAAACGTTGCAGATTCACTTGCAGCCTCCATCCGGGGATATTCTAATTTTTATGCCTGGACAAGAAGACATAGAAGTGACGTGCGAGGTAATGAAAAAAAAAAAAACGTTGGTGAAAGGAAAGATAGAAACGATTGATTTTCTATAGGTTCTAGCAGAACGGTTAGGAGAAATCGACAATGCGCCTGAACTATCGATTTTGCCCATCTACTCCCAACTGCCTTCGGATCTTCAGGCGAAAATTTTCCAGCGATCTCCTGAAGGCATTCGAAAATGCGTAGTGGCCACCAATATAGCTGAAACATCGCTAACTGTCGACGGTATTATCTTCGTTATAGATAGCGGCTACTGCAAGCTAAAGGTGTATAACCCTAGAATCGGTATGGATGCTCTACAGGTGGGTAGAAAACTGTTGGAACCTATTCACTTAGTGATTTGATTTGTTTGTTTTTTGCAGATTTATCCGATCTCACAAGCCAATGCGAATCAACGTTCCGGGCGCGCTGGTCGTACAGGGCCCGGTCAAGCTTTCCGGCTTTACACTGAACGGCAATACAAAGACGAGCTGCTGGTCACCACAGTGCCAGAAATACAGCGTACCAATCTGGCTAATACGGTATTGTTGCTCAAATCCCTTGGAGTTCAGGATTTATTGCAATTCCATTTTATGGATCCTCCACCTCAGGATAATATACTGAACTCGTTGTATCAGTTGTGGATCTTAGGCGCTTTGGACCATACGGGTAGAGTATTGAAATTACTCAAAAAGGCTGTTTTATTGAGGAATTCCCAATCTAGGTGTTCTGACCAAGCTTGGAAGGCAGATGGCGGAATTTCCTTTGGACCCTCCTCAGTGTCAAATGCTGATTGTCTCGACCCAAATGGGGTGCACCGCTGAGATCCTTATTATCGTCTCCATGCTGTCGGTTCCTTCGATTTTTTACCGCCCCAAAGGCCGAGAAGAAGAAGCCGATGGAGTGAGGGAGAAATTTCAGGTTAATATTTTCGACAATGGACAAGCCCTGCTCTAAAATAGAATTTTACTTAGGTTCCCGAAAGCGATCACTTGACCTTTTTAAACGTCTACAACCAATGGAAACAGAATGGATATTCGGCGCACTGGTGCAATGAACACTTCATTCACATCAAAGCCATGCGAAAAGTGAGGGAGGTGAGACAGCAGTTGAAGGACATCGTGGTGCAGCAGAAATTCGAGATAAAATCGTGTGGAACCGACTGGGATATAGTTAGAAAGTGCATTTGTTCCGCATATTTCCATCAAGCTGCTAGACTAAAAGGTACTTTCAAAATACAATTGTAATTAAAACTGATTCACTTAATTCATTTTAGGTATTGGTGAGTATGTGAACTGCCGTACCGGGATGCCGTGCCACCTTCATCCAACGTCGGCCCTTTTCGGTTTGGGCAGCACTCCAGACTACGTAGTTTATCACGAATTGGTAATGACGGCCAGAGAGTACATGCAGTGCGTGACTTCCGTCGACGGCCACTGGTTGGCTGAATTGGGACCAATGTTCTTCTCATTAAAAGGTAAATCGTGTAATTCCAATTACCCCAAAGTTATTAACCGATTGTTTCACATACAGAGACAGGAAAATCAGGCAGAGCCAAGAAGAAACAAGCCGCTGAACATCTGTTGGAAATGGAAAATCAGATGCAAGTGGCTCAAGAGGAAATGAAGGCACGAAAGGAAGCGGCCGACAAGAAAGAGGCTGCAATGAATAAAGGCCAGGAAATCATATCGGCTGGAACCACTCCCCGAAGAACACCCGCTCGATTTGGGCTTTAGGCTGCTGGAAACCGCTCAATTTAATTGAGATTGGCGGTTGTTTCATATAGTACGCAGCATTATTTTACATACTAGTTTTATGGTAACTCCAAACTCGTCAGAGTTTGTTCGACCGACTGTACATTTTCTCAATCAATAAAGATTGATCCCAATCAAAGACGTTTTCGTGTGTTTTTTTTGTATAAAGATGGGATTATTAAAAAAATACCTTGAAACTTTCTAGTTCTTCTAGGAAAATTAGCAATTCTACAAACCATTTCCAGTTTAAAGCGAACTTATTGCGCAGCTTTGCTGTGCGCGTCGTATAGCGTTGTTTCAATGGTCTCAGTTTTCAGCCACTCCTGCTCTATCATGTCCATAAATGGACTACTTTGGTAATTCGGATGGGACTGCATTTCCCTAAAATTTTCAACTTAACGCTAGCGAAATAACACGCCTATAAGAGTTTCTACCTATAAACTCCAAAAACTTGTTCAGTAGTAAGGTCTTTGAACTGTGTGAAAACATTCATATCCTCAAAGTAACTAGTGTGAGTTAGTCGTGGGACAAGTAAATATTCCCCGCATCCCGGTACCCATTTTCTAAAAAGTCAATAGTTAGCATTTAAGCTTGTTAAAAGCGCGAAGTTGACTCACTCACAAGTGGCAATTATGCTCGAGCTGCCCTTAGCATATAAATTCATGGCAAAACAGAAAAATGGCACAAAATGGTCTGCGTGCAATGAAAACTCCTTTTTCATTGTCACTTTTATTAAGTACATGTTTCTGGAATCTGACTTATTCACCTGAAAATAGTTCCTAAATTGTACATGCTCTATTAAAATTGTACGTTTTACTAACGCCGCGCTTCTTTGCCGAAGATATTTCCCATGGGAGGAAAAATTCTCTGGGGTACTCCTTAATCAGCTCAGCTTCCAGAAAAATGTTTGTTAATATACCCCATGCTTTCTGAGTTCCTCTAGAAATCTGGCTTGGTTTATTGAATATCTAAAACACGGTTAGTGCACATTGAAAATAAATTATGCACCAAGTTGCGGCACAGCTCCGCTTACATTCCAGTACTTTTCGTAGGTAATGAGGAACAAATCCACTCTTCCATAAGTAGCAATCTCCCGTTGCAAGACTATGGATTTGACCAGGTATCTTAGAAAAATGTTTCTGGTCATTGTTCCAACCACTGTTGCAACCGGACCTGAAAAACTATTTTTTAAGTTATTGTAATAAATGAAGATTCCAAAAAGTTGCAGCTTCGCCATTTTCGACAGGAATATATTAATCTCTGGATATTAATGAGCGGAATTTACCATCTGTCCAGCTTTTTTTAGGCAGTCCTTTTAATATATCTGTAACTCTCTGCCCTTGGTCGCCATTGTCAATGAAATTATATCTCCATAGGGAGAAAAAGTCCTTTTTAAACAGTTCATGTTTAAACTTACTCTGTGATGATTGAAACGTTTTCTAAAAATTACATTAACATTACTCTTGAGTTCGATTGGATTAGGAGAAACTTCGTTTTACCTCTAGATACTCATGAAATTCTGGGTTTAGTTCATACAGTCTGACTGAGCGAATGCCCAGCTTAATAAGGGATTGGGATATCAAACCCAATCCCGGGTTTGACTCAGCTACGATGTGGTTTTTGCTCTGGATACTTTGGAACACATACTTAGCTATATCGTCAGCTACTTGCGGATTAACCAAATATACATATTCGGGGTTTTTGTATGTTTTGGACTGGACAATTTTAGCTGGAAGGACATTCTGATAGGCGCCTATACTGGGGTGTTGACGAAAAAATTTGCTTATTTCTTGCAAGTGCTTTTCTCGGCCTTTATAGTCTAGTTTTGGGGCTTTTGGGGGTTTGTCCGCTTTCCCTTCTGTTAAGGGAGTTTTACAGTTTTCGAGTGCGGGTGCACTGTCGCACAGAAAGCACGCATTAAACCTAGCTGGCAGTGTCTTTCTAAAGCATAATTTCCATGCCATTTAATTAAATGTTTTAGTTAAAGATTTACTTAATTTGAATAACATTTTAAGGTTACCTGTCAGCTTGGCTTTGAAATGGCTTTGAAGGTCTTCTTGTGGTGTTCGGTGAGTTGCATAGAAAAAATTGAGGACAGAGATAAGATTAATTGAGAAACTCTCACAGAAGCAGCGTTTTGCCAAAAAAAAACTGCAATATTCCTTCTGAATTTTCGAAGCCTTCGTTGTAAACTTTTGTTGGATGGTTTGAAGAAACTAAATTTTTTTGTAGGAAAAATGACAAAAGTTTTCAAATACATCCAAAGTGACTAGACGTTGAAGGCATAGAGAGCAGCACGCGAATTAATCAAAAGAGGGTGTTGTGTGAAGCTGTCAGAGCAGATAAAGTTCGTGTTATTTTCTGGAAAAAACCTGAATCGAATGGGGAACTAAAGTGTTCCAATTATTATTTATGTACTATTGGAATGTCCAGTAACAATGTTAGTCGGGATTGTTCATCCAGCCGCTAAGGAGCTATAAAGATGTCATGCCGTTGTCCAGTCTGGGCTGCACTTTGCCAACATAAAAAAATTGGATGCGAAAACCAAACATTAGGACAAGGTATGCAGTTTATTTTGGCAGTGTTTATTTATTGTTATATACACATGCTTTTCGCGCTTTGCTTCGTCTTTATTTCTGGACTTTTCTCCAACTATATCCAGTCTTGCTTGATGCTGCCAGATTAGGTTAAGAACTCATAAAGATGAGATGTTTTCGGGTCATTAGTGAGCCAAACTAATTGGTTGTTGTGATTGAACACACAACGATATGGTTAATATATCTGGCCTTGAAACGATGTAAAGCTCCCAAATACTTGTGAACAAGTGGTAGCTGATTTATTTGGAAATTCATTGTCTTACAGTGAACAACAGTTAAGTTGGTTAATGTTGGGTACACTCTCCGATATACATCGTTGAAAGCGTTAAACGGTTGTACGAGTGCACAGGGTGGCGTTTTTTTTGGGGCCATGTCCCATATAAACACCCTGAACGTTTTGTGGTGCGCCACTGAAGTCTAACAACATATTCCTTTAAGCCCTTGCCTTGATTTCCGTATCTGCCACGATTTTCGAGTTATTGGCGAAACAATTGATGCATGCCGTAAAGTATCAGAACTATGCCTAAAGTTTGTCGCTTCCACAAAAAATAAAATCGGACTTATTAATGTATCTTAACTGTCTCCATGTACATGGCAAGTGCGGATTGAATATCTCAAAAACTGCCAGATTTATAACGCAAAATTCTGAGTGCGCCAAGGGGTCTCAAACAAACTACCACCCTGTATATTTGTGACTCGTTTGCATTATCTGAAAACTTGTGAATCATTCGTTATAGTAAATCAGGGGTGGTAAATCATCATCTAAACCATAGGATCTCTGTGGAAAATGCGGTAAAAATCCACAACTTTGACCCCCTATAATAAAAGCCGTTAATATGACTCAAATGAATCATGGTTTTTCATTTTTTGAAACCTCTGGTTACTAGACGAATATAGCCCTAAGGCAAGTAATCTTTAACTCCAGAACTGGCATGAGAAGTTTCCTGCTGGCGAAAAATCCTGTTGGAGTCAAACAATGAGTTCCAGACCGAACTCTGGCTCCCGAACTTCAACAGGACATAGAAGAGTGGAATCTGGAGCTCACCACCGTCATAGCTCGTCCAGTTCTGGACACAATCGATCAGATTCTGGGCAAAACTTAGGCTCTGATCAGCCGTCTGAGAGGCGGCATGGGCATCATCGGTCAAAGAGCGGTGTTCATGCATCCGAGAGGGATGGTTATACTGAGTCTGACTGTAAGTACTTTCGCCGCGTTTTCAATCAGCTTCTCAGTGGGGTTCTATGTCCACAGTGCATAACAGGGTTGAATTTCGTTCGAGTCAAGTTGTGAATGTAGATCAGCATCCGCCCTATTCTCGCCCTACCTCGCTGTATCCGCTGAAGAACAGTCACGACAGCGGATTGGTCGGGCCGGATGCTCTGCAGCCTGAGCGAGAGCCAATCAAGTTCGAGATCAATCTGGTTGGCGCTCCGCCCGAAGTTGAGCAGCTGGTTAACAATATCAAGCAGGTGGCTGAGCAGTTCCTTTACCACTGGAAAACGTTCCCCATTAGTAAGTCCAATCGAACTGGATATTCACTGAAACGAAACTAAATCAATGCTTCTGTTCCAGTTCTCCCAAGTCCGGTGTCACAATGTGATAGTTTTCCAACTTCCCAAGTTTCTTCAGATGGTTCTCTGGGGCGGTCCAAAAACAAATACCATCTTAGGGATTTGTTTATCGCGCCATCGTTTGATGAGCTGGACGCAGTGGCTGTTGATGCAAAGGGGGAACCCAGGAAATTGTCAGGCAAGCAACTGGAGTATATAAGAGAACGGGGGTGAGTGTTGCAGTATTTATTCAATCAACTCACTAAATCCCAGCAGAATTACACACCTGATATTTTTGGGAAAACCTTGTAAGAGCAGGTCATGTTTTATTTCGCAAAACCTTTATTTTCGCCTTCATCACATAAAGGTATCCTTCAATCAGTAATCTTTATTCTTTTGGCGAAGTTTCAATCAATAGTGCATTTATTTTGAACATACCACCAAGTATTTTACTTGATTTCCTGAAAATACTGCTATTATCTGATTGTAAATTAATTTGAAATGACCCAAATAGTTTTATCAACTCAAAACATTGTTTTGTAAAGCTTGCACAAGGATAAGTTTGGAAAACCAAAAAGGTTGAACCAGGAACAACTAGAAAGTATTAGATTATATGGGTATGTTGAGACTTGTGCAATGTCTTTTACAGTTTTTATTCCAACGAGTTAGTTGGTGGCTTTTAAAATCAGGTTTTAGTCGTTACTGTTTATTCTAATCTATGCAGTGTTTGGGTGAATAATAAATAGATGAATTCACCCCAACATTTCCGCTTTGCTGTTGAGTCAAACGTGGTGTTTTGCATTGAATTTGGATCTATTTTTAAAGCCACAACGACTAATCAACCCGTTATCAGATAATGGATTTTTTGTTGTGTTTCGTTTTCAATTTTTTCAATTTGGCTAAAATGGTGTATTTTTTGCGCAAAATTACCGTTGTCCATTTTTTCAGCAGTCATTTTTGGTTCGGATTGTACAACTTTGGTGTTAGATTTTCCAAATAGAGATATTTTTACACATTTTATACACTGTGATATTTAATTTAAGCTAAAGTTTGTTTACGCAAAAACAAACCGTGACTAATCAAGTATCACAGTTCAAATGGGCTTTAGAGTTAATGTTTTTTGGTTTTGCTTTGAATGCCGAATTTGCTGACAATGTAGCATTTTGTATGAAGAATGTGCAAGTTTTCTCGTTTTTCTTCGCGCTTATCTTAAACGTTAACTATTGTCGTATTTTAGGGAATTCGAGGTCGATTCTTTGAACTTTCCTGGGCAGCAGCATCGCTGGAAACTATCGCAACTGCTGCAAAAAGGCACCGAGAACAGCAGCAATTCGCTCTTAAACGATTTGGCTTTGGCTTTGCGCTTTATATTCGTCACTGCTAAAGGACGCTTGTTTTCCCAGTTTTTTAGTGTTAAGGAAGCCGCCAAGGCTTTGCTGGCTGGTTTGCTAAGGATTTTGGATATTTTCGTCGGAATTCCTAGTTTGCAGGCCCACAATTTAGATGCCAAAATACGAGAGGAGCGAAGCAAGTATTTGGTGGCTGAATTAGTGTGCAGGGTGAGCGACCACCCCATATGATTGGTGAAGTGATTAGGGGCCAAGGTTAATCCCATGGTGTTTTAGGTAGAAAATGAAGATGCCTTAGAAATGTTGTGTTCCTACATAAAAAAGCAATTGCGTCGGGCGGCAACGGAAAAATTCGAAGTAGCTAGAGAATGTAGCCAGCCGCCAGTTTCACTTCCGTACCGATTTCTAACTCCTTCTGGATACGAACTCGATTTGCGTTTGTGGGACCGCACTTCAATGCGCAAGGCTTTGCCTGTTTTAGTAGCAATACTGGAAAGAGAGACGAGAGGCTGGTTTTTGCATTTTCGAGAGCGATTGATTGCGGAATTGAGAGCTCAAAAAATGCCCGATGAGGATATCGAAAGAGAGGTCAATGATGCTGTGATGAAGGAATATTTACAGCGAGTTTACAACAGTATTCTGTCCCATCCAGATATTAACGGGTTAGGAGAAGGCATTGCTCAACTGCTGGTCCAGCAGGCGCAGAGCGTAGTTTTAATGCATAAAGCGGTAAGTTGATGGTTACAATTCATCGGCTGTCTGTTATTGTTCTGTTGTTTAGGTGGAAAATGTACAACATCGACTGCACAAGACTCAGGAAGAAGTTAAAAGTAGGCTGAGAAACATCCATCCAATACTATCTAGAATAGAGCCCTGGCTTAGGGCGAAACTAAGAAATTCCGAACAGAGGTTTAGTCAGGAGAATCAGTGGAGCGCGCACGAAGAGGCTTTGGCGCTGTGTAGCTCGCAACGTTTACACCAAACTGTTTACTTTTTAAATAGGGACTTGGCTTTTATGAAAGAGGTGAACATGGTTTTAGTTTTTGAAGAACTGTTCGTGATAGTCGGGCTTTTGCAGAGGGAACCGGCTTTGCTAAGAGAGCTTAAAAAGGTCAAGACGCCCACTAGGAGTTTTTTATGGCCCACTCAAATTTGGCTGCCTACTAACTGGATAGTGCGCAGAAACTTTCAGGGGCAGTCTGATGTTGTTCCCACAGTGCTCAGCAAACACGCTACTAGTATAACCACTCCAAGATCCGATCCTAGTCAACCGGTAACTAATTAAGATTAGAATCGCAGCTTAGTTAAACTGAAATTGTTGCAGGTTTTTTTGGTGGAAAAGGAAACAGTCCGCACAACCACAACGCGATGGCCGCTCTGGCGAATTTTCAACTACTTCCATCGTACTTGGTGCTGGACATGGAATGCGATGTTTTTCTTCGGCATTGTTATACCGTGGTGCAGTCCGTTGGGGTTGCGGGCCCTGTTTCTCATCGAACCGTTCATGCCCGACTTGGAATTGTCCCAAGTAAACGGCACTCTATTCCCGAGAAAATCTAGTCTAACGGCCACTTTATCCTCGCGGCTTTTAAGCCTCTGGAGGCACATTTCTAAGTCGCGGACGCATTTCGAAACCGAACCAGATACCGGGTTTATTGGCAAAGGTTTCACTAGGCACTTGAACAGGATTTGGAACTACTTCTTCAAAGGTCTGTTTGGCACCATTGGATTGGTGTTTGTGTTCCCCTTAGTGTGCTTCCTTGTGATTAACATCAGCGTCTTCATAGCCTTCACCGCGGTTATTTGGATGCCTTTGCTAACGTTGGTGGTTCAGATTACTAACGGCATTGTATACGATTTAGATAGCCCGGAGCCGCAGATAAATCGCTTTTCCATCTTGTTCGAGGCGTTGCTCTGGAGGCTAGCTGTACAAGGATGCATTCAGCCGATTGCAGCCATCTTCATAGCTGTGTTTGTGTGTCCCGTTATTGCCGTTGCGATTCTAACGGTTGGAATTGCCCGATATTGGTTCAGGCTTCTGTGGGATGCTTCGCTGTTCCATTTGATAATCAAAAAGCGAGGCAGAATACCTGCGTGTGACAGTTTTGCTGTTAAGAGAATAGCAGGGCCAGGCTTGGCGGCAGATTACTACTTCCAAATTAGCCCAGAGCAAGCGCTTGCGGCTTTTGAAGCCAAGATGGAGTGGGATGAACTGGCAGCTTACCAAACAGTGGTTGAAAGCACTGTAGTCCAACCGCAGAAGGATTTCAGCCATTTCATTGATGCATGTTTCGGCAGCTTTTCCGCGCAGCTGTCCAAAAACGGCCCGTATAAAAACTTGGAAAAGGAGGCCCAAGATCTGCTATCGGTGTTGCATGAGAAGCTGGAGCGCCGAAGACGCGATTTGCAAACCGGTCTGAGTGTGACGGTTAAAAGCAAGATCAAGCTGACCACTTTGGAGCTGAAAATCGCAATACAACAAGGAGCGATGATGCTGGAAAAGTTCTACCCAAGTCGCATTTTGCCGAAACTTGAATGCACTGAAGATGAGTTTTGGGATAGCAGGACGTTGAGCACGGGCGATTGGGCAGGGCTGGCTGCGCTTCTGTACTCTGAGCTGTTTAGCTTGGATTTTCTGACGCCGCTGGATCATACCGATACGACATTTCGGCTTGATGCCCATCCTCAGGCCGATCTTACCAGATATACGGAGATGGTTCAGTGTGCGCAGCTTGGTAAGCTGCAAGTGTTTTAATGCAGATTGCTTTGTGAACTTGTTAAATCCATTGCAGGTGCTGGCGGTCCGGATCTGTTGGGCAACGTGTACACGCCGAGAGGAAACATTCAGGTCCACTCGCCTTACTTGGAAGTATCGGCTTTCAATCCCAGAGCCAAACAGTCAGCGACAGGGAAAAAGACCGAAAAGAACACGTAAGTTGCGATGCGCTGTGAAATAATGGCAACGAATTGAATATGTTCGGTTAGTGAGAGCTCGCCTCCATACAACTCGCTCAAAGGCATCAGATCGACGCTGTGGATGCCTTGGAAACGATACTACAGACCATATTTGCCCGATAAATTGGTGATTCCGTTGCCGGTGCCTCATCCCGCTCAAATAGCTGTGACTATCTATAACAGAGACTCGGACGATCCGATTATACTCGAAACCGAAGTTTGCCAGAGCCTGCTGAGGTGCATTGAAGAACATCATGCGTCGCCCGATGATAGTGGTGAGTCGAAATTAAAAGCCCGTGAAAACCAGATTTAAGCGAACGGTTCTGTTGCAGGTATTGGCCGTTTTCGAAATGGTGACGACTCGTGCGGCACCATGAGCTCCAGTTCTGGTACTCTGGACAGTCCACCAACTAGAGTCGATAACTCGAATCCATCAGACGAAGGAGTCTATCAGTGGACGTTGAGCAATTGGGGCCAGCGCAAGCGAAATAATTCGGGCAGCGTTCGAGTGGACCTGGCCAGTCCTGAAGATGTTACTCTGGACAGTGACAGTACCCGTGTAGTTTTTAGTGCCTACGGCACTACAGTATGAAGGTATTCAGTTATGCTCTCTGTAGTGAGATCACCTAACCCATCCATGATTTTTACGAAACGTATTAAGGTGTTTAGACTTTAGTCGATTGTGTTTGTCCATTCATTGCATTGCCTGCTATTGTTCGATTGCCAGATTGTTTCTCTAATCAATTCAATGTTTGAAGGTTCCCGGTTCATCTAATTTCAAAATATTCAGGGCTAGTTTTCGTCTTTGCTGTTAAAAAAAAAATCTCGCCGAAAAACAGCAGTTTTAACGAGGTATTGAGATTTTCTATAGTATTATTATTGCATTTACCTGTCTAGAAGCGTCCGCGAAACTAATAAAGGTATGCTTGAATAGCGGGTTTAGACTGGTTTGCACTTTATCAAGGCTATTTTTTTGTATTAAAAGTTTGTTAGATACAGATATTTGGGTGTTGAATCAGCTAAGGCACATCATGTGAGTGTCGCTAATGCTGATATTGTCTATGTTTATTTATTATTGTACTGTCTAAAGAAAACGGGCGAAAGTTGCGAAGTACATTTCGTACAAAGTTCCCTTTAGAAGTACATTTTAATCAAAAGACTCTATCCACCAGTCCCAAACCCGCTATCCAAACGCACTTATTGCATACCAGCGATGTTTTATCGCCTTTTAAATCAAAATTTCCATCTGGAGTCCTAAGGAAACATAGCAAGCGTTCCACCTGAACTCGAATAGAATGTGAACTAAGTAACAAAGTAATCAATTAACTGGGACACTGTGTTTGTAAGTCATGCTGCAACTAGATATGAATTGTTCACTCAAGCAAAGTTTGTTTACTGATCGCAAAATATGTATAAATATTGACGGTTTGTGGAAACTTTGCTCGACAAAATGCAATTAAACATCTTGACATTCTTTTCGTTAGATATCGAAACACCTGTTTAGGAATTTTATTATTTTGCGAACACAGTGGAAGTTTTTCAATGTTCCTATCTGAACACTCAGCACGTTCATTGATAATCTAGTTGGGACGGCTAATTTGATTTGGCTAAACAATTATCAATTTATGATTTGTCTTATTGTGATATTTTTTTAAATCATTTTGTCTATACAAAAAAATTATTTTATCCGTCGATCTGATCGCACCGAATATTTATTTGCGTTGTTATACTTTACTACAGCTTTAATTTTTTTCTAGTGATTGTTTTATTTTATATTTTATTAGATATACATTATACACGAGTACCTATATTAAGTAAATTGGTTCAAGACAATTTTAGATTTACACACAGTGTTTGTGCTAGGCTTTCTGTTGATGTTTGGTGTTAATAATATAATGCTAGACGAAATTACATTAATAAGACAATGATATTCAATCGCTCGCTCAGATTTTCATACTTGCGTCGAAAACTAAACTTAGACATGCCTGTAGTACAATCTAGCACAAAGTCTCATGTTAAAAAAACGCTTACTGTGAACATCGTTCAGAATAATATTACTAGAAGCCATTAAGTTAAGGAGTAAATTAATTCGATTAGCTTTAGTGTATATACGCTTATTTTGCCGTTAATATAGCATTGTACAGAATGGTTTATATAACTTGTATATTATTTTCTTGACATTTATTGAAATGTTTTATGATTTTTCCAATTACAAAATGTGTTTCTAAAGAAGTTCTCCGCTTCGACTTTGGCAATTTACTAAAGCGACTCATCTAAATATATGGTGCAGATATTCAAGGAGTTTTTTTAACCGCTGTTGATTATTATTATGAAGTGTTGGTTTGTCAATTATTATTTATTTCGTATTATCTACTACATTTAGTAACACATAACGTTATTTTACAAATTTTAAAAACTATTTACATGAAGTCCACGGTAGTACAAGTCGAACTACCCATATGAAAGAAATGACAAAGGCACATTAACATTGCGTAGAGTTTACACAAATATGATGTCGAGCTACAACAACATTCGTTTGACGGAATGTTGGATTGTTGATTGGAACACTATTGTTGTTTTCCGCTACTTTTCACACTCAGTCATGTGGTGTTAATTCTAAGCTAACATTAACAGTATTTTTACAATTATTTATCTAGTCTTAGAACCAAGTTTCATCCAAAAATATTCGATCGAAGTGATTTTGATCGGAACAATCGGTGTGACTGCCAAGAACCCGAAAATCCCACATTTTATCCCAACAAGAATTTTGAGATGGAATGTAATTTCAGTCACGTTATCCTTTTATTAAATGTTGCTTGTTATGTTATTTACGCAGGCATAGATAAAAATGTCAAAACTAAAATAATAGAATAGAGAAAAACAAATTGTATACGCAGCGGCACAGAAACGCCCAAACAAAAATGAAATATATTCGGTTAAAATTCGTATAAAAAAGCACATGAATTCTTTCGGAGTACACGGGAAGATTGTTTCTAAAATTTACTCGGATAATTTACCGCTGTGTTATAAATTGATCATTTCCATTTTAAACTGATTGAACTTTTCCTTTTTTATCTAACTTCAATGGTATCTTCACTTAATAAATCCAATTTGTTTTTCATTCAATACATACAAACAAAATTAGAGTATTTTCGGTCCGGCCTTTCTCCTCTGTCCACTCTGTAGTAATCCTATAAACCGATAAAAAAATTTACTGTTTTCCCACAAAAATATTCGAGCACTTACCCATTTAAAGCTAATTTTAGTGTTATTCAGAATTAGGGCGCCGCAAAATTTAACATTGATCACTTTTTCAATTCACGGTTTGTTTCGGGTTATAAGCAAATAAAAACTGTGGACTAATTCTGAAAGACACCATTTGTTATGCTAAATTTTTCTTTTGATTTTAGTACAAACTACAACTTTTTGCGTTTTTTTACTGCTTTTAAATTAAATCACATTTTTTACTTAAAACCTAAGAAATATCCTTTAAGTAACCTAAAGTCGAATTAATCTAAACTAAAATGATATATACTGTTGAGGTATTGCTAGAATATCAAATAAAATATGTACAATACCCTGGCCCTAAAATGGCACCCTTTCCGTGTTTGTTTAGTGAAATGTTGAATCTTTACTGATGGAAAATTGGAGGTTTTGCCTGATTATAACCGACTTTCTACTTAGTAGTAGTAACTAGTAAATAATCTATACAATATAAATATTCTAGGCATACGCAAACTGTCTTGTTGAAGTCTGGAATTATTATACATGCGTTCACCATTGTTAGGGCAATGTAAAACTACAATCCGTGTCTACCGCTATCACAATATAGTTGGGGGCCACAAATGATTTACCTACATTCAAAAGCGAGACTCTTGGCCCCTAATTTTCGCCACTTCCTCATACTAGGGCTTAAGCCTCTTGAATCCAGCCCCATCTTGACCTGAAACCCCACAATTTAGTAAATTGTCGGCTAATCCTACTTCAAATTTTTACATATCAGCGTTTACCTAATTTAAGTTCCTCGTACAGTGTTGGGTTGACTTCTTGAGCCGTTGCCGGAACATGGAGTTGCTCATTTTTCCAGCCCTGGCCGCCCGAAGTACTCGATATGGAAATGCTGCCGTTGGCCGAACTGTTTAGTGACGACGTTGTGCTTTCCTGTCCATTTGTGATCTAGGAAATCATTTTTTTATTATTGCGCTGTTTTTTCCTGACCTGGATTTCTTCGTACCTGCACATTGTCCGTGTTGACTTCCCTCAGATAGCTGGGGTTTTCAAATGCTATTCCATTCGTCCCCTTGATTCCAAGCATTTTCTTTGTCCGCACAAACCATATTGTGGCTGCGATGATGGCTCCTACCACTAACAAGGCCAAAATAATGGCTACCGCTTCACCCACGTTGTTTCCTTCTTGACTTTGACTAGCTGCTGGAGTTATAATCAGCGATTTTTCTCCCATCACGAACTTGATGGGCTCAGCTAGAGTGGAAGTGCCTTTGCTGTTCCCCGCTTTAACCACTGCTTCATAGGCGGTGCCATCTAAGAATTTAATTTTTGAGTGACCATGTACCGAGATCAGCTTTTATCTTACCCTTTAGATCGTGAATTTGCAATTTGGTGTCTGCTGTATCATTTTTCTGACTAGATTTGTTCGGGGAGTCGACCGGCCGCCAAAACACCCTGTACATTTCCACCGTATGAGGATTCTTCACTGGAGGATCCCACGTAATGAACACAGAGTGCGCGTCGATAAATTTCACTTGAACATTTTGAGGTGGTCCCGGTAGCTTATCCCTTTAAAGTTTACATTGAGAAAATGCTCCTGCTTTTGCCAGCTGACGCTCCATACCTGAGTTCATGGAAACACCCCATGATATGTTTGGTATAGGAGAGAACGCAGACTTTGGTGCTGAGGATTGGCTCTCCTCTGCACCAATCCAGGCATCGTCTGGGCACATTTGCGTGAGCGCAGCAATTTCGATGGTCTGAACCATCGGCTGCGCATTTCATGAGTTTATCAAATTCCTAAAAACAAATATGTGTTCAAAATCTTCCGCATAAGGTATGGGTTGATATAACGATCTTACTGGTATGCATGCCGGCTTATCAATCACCGCATCAATATCCAGATGGAACGAGCACGCATCCATACACGTTGAAGACACGTTCTGCTCCATGCAGCATTGAGTCACATTGTTGATGGTGGCAATGTTTCTGATCCGCACTGAGACTGGTTGAGTCGCACTCCCGAACGCGTTCTCTGCATGACAGTAATACTCACCCACATCCAAATCTGGAACCAGTTGCGATTGTTAAGGACCTACTTAGTGATTCTGCAGGCGCTTACCTGTAATTTGCTTCAGCGTCAGGTGCATGATGTATTTGTCTTCCGCGTCTTTTGCCTTCAGTATCTCAATGTCGTACTTGCCGCCCTGCACAACCGGCGTTCGATCTTCATGGTTTCGCCAGAAGATCATCTTTGGCTCGGGAGTGGCTTCCACTCTACATTCTAATGTTACTGAGTCGCCTATTGTTGCCATTGTGATTCCACTGGCGTTGATTTGCGGTAAATCTCCAACAAAGATATGTAGATGTTTAGTAAAAAAAAACAATTCGAGAATTTTCACTTTAAACCTTAGAGGAACCAAAACTTACGACTAATGGTGATTTTTCTAGAAGCCTGCATAGGGGTGCCATATCCATTGTCCGCGTAGCAGGAAATTTCGTTCATGTCCCTGGTCACATTGTTGATCACTGTAACCATATGCCGAGTGGTATCTTGCCTGACGAGCCTTCCTGATATGTAAAGGGAGATGGTGGGCATCGGATTGCCCATTGCGATGCATAGAATCGTCATGCTGCTGCCCTCAATCACCAGATTAATTGGATGCACTGTAGGTGGCTGAAAGTGCGATGGTCAAAGCCTGGAAGTTTGCAGGGCAATTCCTAAGTCTACCTCTACAAACGCTGGATATGCTGGATCCGTCCATGCGATCAGTGTCTCTGAAGGCATGCTAACTCCCTTCTCCGTTACCGCTTCCACATAGACAATGTATTGGGTGTTGGGACTGAGGTCTTTGATCATGTGGGATGTGACTGAGGTGTTTTTCACTTGGTAGCCCTCATCTGAGGTTGACTTGTGGAATAATCTGCATGAATCGAACGCTGGATTACAGCGCTCCACCGCATAGGGAACGGTGGTTGGTTACCTGTAGGAGATCTGCTCGGATGGATGGCTGAATTCCGGAGGTTGCCATGTGATGGTAACCCAAGTGGCACTGTGACTGGCCACAGCCAAGGAGTGAGGAGGAGAGGTGACTCCGTTGACCCACTTGCTCTCATTGCCGTTCGCCAGTTTGATAAAAACTATGGACGAGGGCAAAGAGGTGCCGTACGCATTTCTCGCCACCACAAACACTTGATACATGGCGTTCTCCTCGAGGTCAGTGAGGGCGTAATAGAAGCCAGTGGTGTTGATTTGCTGCAATTTTCCCCCAAACGTTCTACGAGATCTTTGAGGACAAATCGACCAACCTTGTCCAGCTTAATTAGAGTCTCGTGCATGGTGTTGTTGTCGACTTTTTGGTAGTGGATCACGTAGTCGGTCACGTTTGGTCCTTCTTCGGGAGGCGACCATTCAAGGATGATACTAGATGCATCTGCAGCTATCGCGTGCACACCGGAAACAGCAGCAGGTAATGTACCAGTGCCTGAAACAGTAACAATGTGTTTGGGTATGCATTTATCGGTCATGATCAGCATTGGCCATACGAGGGTCCATTCCCCCATTAGGTCAAATAGTGAAAAGTTGATTTTAAGTAGGTGATAAAACATTTAATCCAACGCTATACGTTGTCGTAGTATTATTTAGCTGCAAACCAAGATTGTTGCTCCTACATCCTGTCCTGGGTGGTTAATGTCTTACCTTCTTCAAAGCATTGCACAATGTTGCCTATGTAAGTTACGCAATTGAGCGCAGTGTGACGTAAAGAATCCACCAGTACTCCTGAGCAGAGCGATAGGCATGTTGAAGGGACGCCCCTTCTGCTGCAGCAGCTTCCGTGGTTTCTTCCTCCAGCGGCGCAACGAAGAATCGTGTGGAATTCTATATATAAAAAACGTTCATCAGGTAAGGTTCATAAAATAAGGTTTTCCTTGCCTGTTCCACAAACCGCTAGTCGTTTAATGTCGTTCATGTTGGCGTTGTAGGAGCACAGCGGCAGACACACGCTGTTGAGGTTCGCTTCTACACAGCAAGCTGTTACATTGTAGGCCGCCGCTTCTTCAATTTCGTCTTCTTCAATCTGAAATTTTTTTATTTTCCTGACTGCGTGTAATTGTTATTATTCTTCAGCCAAAATGTGAAATAAAAATGTTCATATAACGTTTCGGCGAGACAACAAATTCAACACAAACCCATAATTGGGAAACATTAGATTCCTTTTAGGTTGGCAAAACAGCCAGGTTGTCTCGCCGAAACGTTATATGAACATTTTGACTGAAACCCAAGAAAGAAAAAATATAATAACAAGTTCTTTACGCTGTCGGTTGAAACTTTGCAATGATTGCTATTCTGGAACGTTTCCCAATCTTATTCTGTCAAAGTGGCATGCATCAATCGAGAAAAAACCCAATTCTGATCGTTCAGAACAGTCAAAATTCAAAATGAGCAGTAACGACCAAAAACAAATTGCGAGTGACTCGAACGTGGTCGGCAAAACCTCCTTATCAGTTGACTCGAAGGAGGAAAAGCGGCGCTCCTTGTCAGCCAGTATAAAAATCCAGGACTTCGATGCCGATGGGGTGACTTTAGCCGAGGACGGATTTGCGCAGTATTTCGACGATAACGGAGCGGAACATTCAGTGCGAAGATTCACTTGGAAGAACAAGAACAAAATCCAGATTCAAGTCCTAAATTACGGCGCCCGAGTGATATCGATTAAACTACCAGATAGAAAAGGGGAAGTCGAGGACGTCCTGTTGGGCTTCGACGACCTGGCCGGTTATCTCTTCTATGAAAAGTTCCACTTCGGAGCAGCCATCGGAAGAACGTCCAACATAGTCAAAAACAGCAGCTTCACCATAGGAGCAAAGAAGTACACAGTAGGCTCTAACAATGGAAAGCACAGCTTGAACGGGGGCTTTAAGGGCTTTGATCAGGCTGTTTGGGACACGCACATCTCCGGCAAGAAAGTGATCATGAGCCACATTAGTCCTCATTTGGAAGAAGGATATCCTGGCGACTTACTGATGCGGGCGGTGTTTGAACTTTCCGCCAAAAACGAGTTCAAAGTCAGCTTCGAAGCTCAAACTAGCAGGCCAACTTGCGTCGATCTATCGCATTTGCTGTACTTCAATCTAGCTGGACACCACACGGGTCCCGATGAAATTTATCGGCACATCTTAACAATGAACTGCAACTGTTTCACGCCGCAAGTGAACCAAATCCCCACGGGCGAAATCATGAACGTTCTTCACTCTCAATTCGACTTTCAAGTTCCGAAGCTTTTGGGAAAAGTCATGGGAATCGTGCCGAAAGACGGCTTTGACCAGAATCTGTGCGTAAACCGGGGCATGTACCAGCAAGAGTGCTTTGTTGGAAGAATGCTCCATCCACCAAGCGGGCGAATGATGGAAGTTTACAGCAACCAACCGGGGGTCCGCCTCAACACCGCCAATCATTTCGGCTATGGAATTATCCTATCCTTCGAAGACATTCAAAGCCAGTCCAAGCTGGAAAAATCCGAACCGGCAGAGGAAAAATCATCCAAGACCATGTTGTTGTTTGAAAAAGTGCACGAGAAAGTAGTGGACCTTTTAAAACTTGATCAACCAAGCAATTTTAGTGAAATCAAGGCCTTGATCTCTAAATTTGCTTCCCTCAGGGGCAAAGTCAGTGAAGACGGCTTTAAAGTCACGCCGATGCAAAACGCCTATCTGGTGAAAGCCAGAGAAATCGTCTGCGAAAACGAGGAAACTGATGCGGATTGTTTGGATCTGAAGGAGATTTTAAGTGCTGTGCTGAAGAGCGTCCAGATGGTCGAACCCCCGGTAGTTGTCGGCAGCAAATCGTCTGTTTTTTCTGAAGCCGACGACCGATCACAGAAGAAGTCTTCGGCAACTGCGTCGCCTGAAAAAAGCTTTGAGCGCGTCGCAAAGGAAAATGGCCAGCCTGATAAACAGTTGAAGTCTAAAAGCGAAAAACCAAAAGAGAACGCCAATATCATTCCGGTTTATTATAGAGATTCCAATCAGATTAGGGGAAAAGGCGGCGCCTTATATAAGGCCCATGGGGGCGTAGCCCTTCAGACGCAGAACTATCCAAATGCGGTGAATCTTAAGCAATTTCCCAACTGCATTTTGAACCCCGGGGAGGTTTACAAGCACGACATTGTCTATCGGTTTTGGGTCCGGGCTGGGAACCCTAGCAAGTGGATCAGAAGGAATCTGAACGAGAGCAACCAAAAGACTAATTAGATTTAATAAAAACCTGCACATCTAAGTGTTACGTACTTTGCTTCCGGTTCTGAAGGTCAGTCTTGGACTGGGATTGCCCACGCCATGCACATTAACAGCCTCAACATATACTTCGTAGTCTGTGACACTTTGCAAGCCTTCCAGCACCCAGATGCTTCTAGCGTGCGGTATAATCTAAACAGAATTTTAGGGGAGTGTTGAATGTTGAAAAGTTGCGATTCATACCTTGTATTCTGGTTCCTCATCGTCATCGTCTTCCTCTGAATTTACTGGCCGAATGTGGACGTTGTAGCTGAGTACGGTCTCCCCCAGCTTTTTAGGTGGCGACCAATGCAGAAGGGCGAATTCGCTTTCCACATTCGTAATGTGCACTTGAGTAGGAGCGCTGGGCAAAACGCCGTAGCCCTGAAGGAGGCAGTTGGTGTACTCTCCCATGTATCGCAAACATCTGGGGAACAGCGAGCACGCAAAATTGTGATATTTTCAGCGCTTTTATTCCTCGAACTGGACATACTTAAAGTAGTTGAAATCCAGGCTGGAAACGTTGCCAGTGCAAAGCTGCTGGCAGATATCAGGCAAACCTCGCTCTTTGCAGCAGGGGGTGTGATCGATGCCGTTGGTCAGGCAACCAAAGGTGTCTGGCGCCCATGGGGCGCATATCATAAGATCAGTTATTTCCACTCGTTCAGCTTCAATGGGGTCGCAAAGCTTGCTGAGGCACGTTTTATGGGCAATGCCTAGAACCAGCCATTTCCAGACAAGGTAACTTTGGCACGTTTTCTTCACGCATGGAAACGTACCTTTATTGGAGCAGCAGCTCTTGATGTCAGGCAATGGAGGCGCTTTTCCTTTAACACTCTGGATCACCTTGCCAGGAGCTAAAGTCAAAGTCTTCACCGTGTATGTGGGCAACGAGGAGCCAATAATATTGTGGGAAACCACTGTGACTGCGTACCAGGTGAATGGAAGCAAATTGCTGAATATTGTGGAGTTCAGATCTTTGGTAATCTGCAAGGACAAAAAATTGCAAAAAACCTCCAACGTTAGTTTGCTACCTACTTTATGAACAATCGTGTTGGCGCTTTCATTCATACCGCCCGCTCTCAAATCCTCTTCGGAGTTTTCATGGAAACTTCTAAGGGCTGTTAAGTTCACCAAATATTCCGTGATGGTTTCGCTGTTGGCATGAGGCGGCGACCATTCCACTTTGATGGACGTTTCACTCAACGGCTCCACTTCCACATTCTCAGGTTGGCCGGGTAATAAGTCTACGAAATCAAACCAGTTCTTTCCAGTGATTGTTTTTCAACCCAAACCATACCAATTCCCACTGGTGGGTTTTTCGGGTTTTTAGGCCGTCGTACAATAGAATTTCTTCCTGACGTTTCGCAAGCACGAGCGGCTTGCATCTTCAGAGGTGATTCTATTGTACGACGGCCTAAAAACCCGAAGAACCCACTAGTTTCAAGGAATTGGCTCGAAGTCCATCTCGTTTGACATACCAATTCCATCCATAATGCAGGCGAGCGTTTGCTCCGTGTAGGCGGAACATGAGAAATGGGTCTTGATGTTCTCTGTGATGGCTGTGTACTCGCCACGGCACACATCCTGGCAAATATCCGGGATTCTTTCATGGATGCAGCACGGAACATGATTCCTGCCATCGGCCATACAACGCACAATCGCTGGAAAGTCTTGCTCGCAGTTTTCTGGGTCCTGCCCGGTACTGCCTGGATTTTCGTTAGGTAGTTCAAAGAATAGTGAGGAAAACCAGACGGTTTCGCTTTCTAACTAACCTTCCAGTATACTTTGGATGTTACAGAATCCCATACAGCGGGAAGAAACGTTTTGAGCCACACAGCATTCGGTGTAGTTGTGCTTTTTAATTCCGTCACTTGTCGGTTTAGGGTCTTCGTATATTATCACATCGGTTGGGTTTGCTGTTATGGCTCTGGATAGAACTGAACAAAGGAAATTAACCCAACGGTTCAAAATTGGAAACTATTAGGAATCGGTCTGCTGTGGCCTGGAGGACAAAAACTTCTGAGCCAATTACCCCTAAAGATGCCAATACATTTGTCCCAAGCTCGGTACTTGGCTTTAAAGTTTTCCCAAATTGTGTTGTGTACATTTTCCTGACTGTATTTCAACTTAATTCAAAAGAAATTTCCCACTAGAGTGGCTTGCCAAATGCGAAGACAAACTGATGATGGTGGAGAAAAACACCGAAACGTTTTTGTGACATTTCAAATGGTAAACAATAAAATTGACTGAAACCCAGAAATTTCTTTTGAATTAAATCCAAATTGTATACAATTTTTCGCTTTGTTTAAAAAAAACAGAATTTCTCTCAGCTTTTTCAAACTCTAAGAGTAAATTAATAGCCAAACTAGCCCAACGTACCATTTAACCTGTGGAAGCTTCTCACTATAGGGTTGCTGTTCACTTCGCAAACATAAATGCCTGAATCGTTGGGTTTTGCCGTTTTAATCACCAGAACCCAAACGTCCCCGCCTGAAGGAAGGTCGCTTCCAAACTCGTCCTGATCAGTACCTAAGTGCCATCAAGTTAATAAAAAAATGCCCATTAAAATTCCGAATAACGCAAGGTATTCTACTGCAAAACCGCCTGCTAATGCTGCTGCTTTGTTAATTATTCTGTCCTTTTAATGGTTTTTAAGTTTCTTCTTCGAGCCCAAACCTTTGCGCTGAATATGCAGTTTGATATTAATCGTCTCTAACAAAAAGAATTACATTATCAAACAGTACTTGAGAAATTTGAGCCGAGTAACGCTAATAATATCGACATGCAATATAAATTCCCAAGATATTGGACTTCCAAGTCAGGAGCTTAAATGCCGCCTATATTGATAAAAGTTTTCAAATAAAGCGGAGCCTACGGATCGCTCCTCGACACTTATTATGCCGGTCGGTCCGCTCAAAATGTCATTTAATAAAGATCCAAATTCAATAATGTCGAGCTGATGAGTTTTATTGAAACCGCCTTTAAATATCAGCATTCAAGATAAATGCGCGGCTCTTAAGCAGGCGAATAATACTGGTAAAAATTGCACGTTATTGCCGCTTTAACTCGGTTGGAATCGGGCAACAGTTAAAACCATTTTTTTGTTGTTGTCACAGTCTCTTTATGCATAACTCGTAAAGCGGAATCATATATCAAAAAGTTCAAGGCGAATGAAAAGGACAAAAGGGTGTTTCGCACTCGCGACAAAAGAAAACTTCCTGAAGCCATTACAATAAAATCTCGGCCATTTCTTTTCGGGCAATAAAAGTTTTTGATATTTGCAGATCTAGTAAATGGACCTGATTGTCTAACGCGGCTTTAACGGCAAAAATATAATAAGGTTTGCCGGTGTCATTTTTTTCTTTGAGAGAAAACCCATGGTATTGAATCAACGAGCAAGTCGTTAGCTACAGAAGTTTATTCCTTTATTTGTATTCTTATGCGCAATTTCATCATATAAATGTAAGTTCACTTAAGAGAAATTATGGGGTTTTTTTAAGTATTTTTGGAAATGGTTGGGCCAAAACCTCAGGTGTCTCTCTGCATTGATGCAGTGAATAATTTGATTTTTGGCTAACTAAAGACAGTTTTTGAAACGTTCTATCGACTAATCATATTTTTTGAACCGTATTCTAGAAATAACCGCTCACAATTCGAGATACAAAAAAAATTTTTTTGCAAAAACAATTTTGCTTGTAACTTGGAAACGACGAATTTCCCATAATCGAAACTTAATGCTCGAAATGCTCTATCAAAAAGATACGATTGGTTATTCCGATAATTTTTACCGTTTCCGCGATATAATTAAAAACGTCCAAGAGCTCCCAAAAATGCGCCTATTTTTTTCTAGGTCGGGAATTTTCAGGAGGAAAAAGCAGGCCTCGAAACGCTCTATCGAAATGGTTCTCAGGATTTACGAGATATTTTTGGGCGTCTTCGGCTATTTCAGATTTGAATGCTATCTCAATTCAGTTTCTACCTGTTTATAGGTTAGAAAGAAAGAAAGAAAGTATACAATCCACAGAATATTTCAAGCCGTTTTCGAGATAAAACTTTTTAATCTTGAACTTATAGAAAAAAAAAATACATTTTTTGGTCAGTGAAGCCATTTTGAAACCCTTACAAATCTTGGTAAATACCAATAAGGCAAAAGGGAGCTTGACATACTCCTATTGATTATTCTCATATTTGGAACCGTTTCCGAGGCATAAGAGCTGTTTGTTCTTCAGATAAAAGCTTCCAAAAGTAAAAATACTACATTGGCAAATTTCTCCAGATTGACTGGTAATACGGGCACGATTATTTTCCTTTCAGCTCGCACAAAGCAACAAACGACTTTTCGATTCAGAAAATTGCAAAATAAAGTGCATTATTTGCTCATTGCGCCTGGTTCCGGCCCGCCTTCCTCCTTCAAACTGAATTATCGTGATGTTATTATGGGGCCGACTCCTCCGTTTGCTCTTGGTTTAACTATACGTGAAATGGCTCTTGCCTGTGGCATAATTCGGGCGATTTTTTCCGAAATAAATCCGCATCGGCAAAATCTATCGCTTGAACACAATGGGGACTTTGCAATGTTGCAAATACAATTCTTACCAGAGTCATGCAAGACACTAAATCTTTTGTCTGCAGTCACTCGATTCTCTCCAGCAGTTAGAACTCTAGTGCTGTGCCGTTCTCTATCTTCTTTCTTCCACATTACGGTGTTAGAGCCGATATCTCGAACGACGCAAGTTATTAGAGCGTCATCTCCATCGTAAACGTGTACTGGATTGGTTAGACTATCTCTCATTGACGGTAAACCTTGAACAAATTGAAATCACTGAGCAATAGAAGAAGAATCCAAGGTCTTATGACTTTTTTCTGTCTGATTGATGGGCGCTCATTCTTCCTATTCCCTTGATTCAAAGTGCTCCCCACTGCGTAGCAAGAAGAAAGCAAAATAACACCCATTTCACCCCAATTCTTCGAGTGGGAAAAGCGACAAGAAATCCCTTGAAACGCGGCCTTTATGAAAGTAGCACAAACTATAAGGATACGAGATATTTTATCGTATATTTCGCAGGTTCTCCCCCATTTTTTTCGCTCGCACGTATGTAGGACATGAGGCGAAATGTAACTTATAAAGGAAATGACATGTCGCGAAACAAGTGGCCCTCTTTGCGAAGTGACGACACGTCCTCAAGGGCCATTTGGGTTGGCCGTTATTATAAAAGAGTCATGCGAGCGATATTAGTGCTCTTACACGAAAGAGAGTGCTTGAAAAATGTGAAACTAGAACTCCAAATGGATCACGGATTTTGCTTGACCCCATATAAGACAGTGTGTCAAGAAAATTCGGGGTACGCTTTCATGCCCAAATGCAAACAAATTTCCAAAAATCTTTTTCAAAAGCTTCTCATTTACATTGTAGTGGTTTTCCGCTAAAATGATCCCAAAAAGCCAAAGACTTTTCGAGAAAAATCACAAAAAAATGCTGTAAGCTAATTACTAACCGGAACAAAAGCGGTTCGACCTATAAAACGAATGCAGGAAAAATAGGAGAAACTTGGTTGCGTTAATTTCTTATTTTTGCGTAAAACTTGTGGCGTCCAAAAAAGTTTCGTACAGCGCAGAACAAAAGGAGTTTGATCGAAAAAACTAGAAAGTGTGTTTTTTTCATAGACTGATAGCAATGATTTTTGCTTTTAAAAATAGAAACTTTATATTTTCGTAATTTTAAACATAGAATAATTGCTGATATATTTTTTCCAAACGCGCAAGCTGTTAAAAGCGAACATAAAGTCGTGTTAGAACTTCCATTGCTTAAGCCTAGTGGCAGAAAAATAGGAAATAAATGTTAGAACGCGACGTTCAGAACAACTTTTTGCAACTCGCTCATTTCAAAGTCATCCGATGCGAATTCTGATTGCAGATTCGGCTTTTTGGGTCAAAATCAGCATAAAATGAGCCCCGTTTCGATAGGCGCATTTCCCAAAAAAAGTACTAGTTTAAACCAAAAAATGCATTTTCTGCTAGAAATTAGCTATCGACATGGTACTCGTTTTCAGCTAAAATCGCCCAAAAAAGCCAAAAATTTCATCAGAATTGCAATTTATTGAATGGGTTTCGAGAAAAATTACAAATTGAAGCGAAAAAATGTTACAAGTTTCATACTACCAGAAACAAAAGCCGTTTGAATCAAAACACAAAAAGCACTGGTTTTGATGGATTGATCGCATAATTTTTCATTTGCTTTAAAAACGAAAAACGTTCCCTTGGGATAATTGCTGATATTTTCTTTTCAACTGCGACATTCACATGTGTGGTGGCAGAACTTCCATTGCTTCAGCCTCGTTGCAAAAAAAATGGGAATAAATGCTAGAAAACGAATTTGAGCGCAATTATTTTCAGCTCGCTTGTTTCAAAGCCATCCAAGGGACATTTTGACTGCAGATTCGGCTTTTTGGGGCACATTTAGTATAATGAAAATGAGCTCCATGTCGATGAGCCGTTTTCCGAAAAAACTTTTTTATAAAAACCATTCAGTATTCGTGTTCAGCGCCAAAAAAGTCAACGATGAGATCCCAATTGCAATCCTCTTCATTGTTTAAAAAAATTCATTCTGCAATAAAAACAATACAGTCATTTGCACGAGCAATTTTGTGTGATAAACAAACCGGACAAACCGATTTTTCTCGCGGGTCACCAACAAAACACTCTGAATGCATGTTCTTAATGCCCATGGTTTTTCCCATTTCATACATTAAATTATTCGTTTCTTTACAGGTTCATTATTTCTCATTTAGCGAACTTAGGTAAATTATTGCGAGGATAACAAATATGTGCATTTTCCATCAACGATGTAATTTATTTCCACTCCAGTTTCCTGTTGTTTGTTATTTGCCCGGCTCGAAGCGAAACATTTTATTATTTGTTTTATTTCTGTTTTCATCGCCCTCTTATTACATCTGGCCGCGTCGTAGTAATAGCCAGCTCGTCTGAAAGGAAATTTTCACAGTGATGCTTCGTAAATAAGTTAAAATAAAATAGCAGACGTTGATCTACGTCGACTGGATATATCGCATGCTTCCATTAGTGCATTCAACTGCTCCTACTTAACGTGGATTTCCATTAGAATGGACGAGAGAAATTAGTAATGAAGTCAAATGGGGGAAAGAGTAATCAACTTTTACAACAGTAAAATTTAAACAGTCTCTCATACAAATTCCAGAAAAACTTTCAGCCATCCAAATGATTTTGTCAGTTGCATGTGAGCATTGCTGCAGTTCAAAGGATCAATTTCCAGATTGCGATCCTTAATGGCATCTAAATATGGAACGGCGGATTCACGCAAATTACAAAATTCCCTGTAATGGCTAATGGCAATTCAGTTGTTATGGACGATTCCGAATGTAACTGAATACCGATCGTGAATTATTGGACTTTGAACAGCGAATTGTCCGGCACAGGCATGGAGATCAATCACATTTGCTTGTTTGCCAGTTTCGTAAAGTGGAACTGATTTTTCCAGATTGGACTAATAAAACTAGACTTTATGTATAATAATTTGCGAATAAAACCATCGTTAAAACTACAGAGAACTACAGGAATCATTCCATTCATGATTAGTCAAAGTGATTTGCAGAGTAAATTTGATCCGGCTTGAACCAAATCCAGATGAATGTTTGCTAGATCAGGATATCGATCAACAATTACTTATCTCTACCAGTAAATACTCGTGGTACATTTCGTAAGCTCTGGTTTTCCAAATTCGATTTATTTTCCTTCTCGATTCGAAAAGTCAACGTTTCGCGATTTTATTTGCCCTCCAGATTGATTGGCAAATATTTGACGTCGAAGGAAATCGGTTAAGAACATGGAAAAATAAGATAAAACAGAATTACAGCACTGGGGGTACAAAACTGATGGCCGGGCTTTTAGGGTTTTGCCATCCGTTATTGTTTTCTATCCGCGATTGATCGTTCACCACCCAACTTTCAAGTTTCAGTAACAGAAAACAGGAGACAATTGATTCTCGCTAATCGTTATAAATATAAAGAATTAATCAAAACCCTTCGAAGGAACGGCAACTACAGGAAAAGTGTTTTAAAACTTCCCCGAGCAATTTATCAAAATGCATCACCCGGAAGTTTATAATGAATTAAATACGAAAGCAACAGAGCACAACGAATTTTTTAATACTCCTTGGAAGTTATCACTTTAGTGCTCTTGCTGCTGCTGCTGGCACGCTTCCTAGAAACTTTATAACATTTTCCAGCAATTATACATTAAGCAATTAAAGCTGCTAAGTCAATATCGTGCTTTTTATCAGTTTCCTTTCGAGAAAGACTTTTGGCAACAATCATGGAAGTCTCTTGGAAAACTTACGAGTATATGACGATTGCATGGGGCGATAACTTTTAAATAAATTCCTCGATTGCAGAAAAAACTTTCTTATTGAGCCCGTAACCTAAGCATTCGTACGACGACGGAGGAATTGGCAGATCTCCAACCAATAAAAACACTTTCGTACCATCGTATCATCGTACAAACGGATGTATAAATATACGGACTATAAAACAAAATGTGTGTCGTACATTGACAAATTATGTTCGCCTAACCTTTGGAAATTAATTGAATGCTTTAAGTTATTCTACATAGTTTTGAAATGTAATTTTCATGCATGTGGATGAAACAATAATTGAAGCAAGTTACTGCCAGTAAATCGCCATATAATTATTCTCAGCCGGCGAAATCAACTGGTTCATTATGGTAATACAGTATAATATTGTTATTTGCCGCGCTGTTCATTAACGTTTATATAGCTTTGCACAAATACAATGAGGTTAATGGATTGCTTTAATGAAACTATATTCATTTGGAATCGAATGGAAAATGGAAACTGTTGCCTAGTGGGAAATATTCCTGACTTCAAGCCATTCCAATATGCCTATGCATGCAATATGCCAAAATTGGAGACTAATTCCTCCTAAAAACTGGGATATTCGCAAAAACCTAACGGTGGTGTTCGTTTTCCTTGAATTTAATATAAAATTAACAAATGCGTTTTTTAAGTTTTAAATAATTATTCGTTAAAACTAGATATTTTTCCGGCAAAACAGCAAACAACTTTCAGCGAAGAAAAAACCACAATATTAACGGTTGGTTTTAGCCAAAAAATTATACAAAAAACTACTTTAAAACATTTCTTCATTTTACATAAAGGGCCACAGTTCAGTGGGTGTGTTACGTAAATTGTATGGTTTTTGTTGCATTTTATATTAATTCATCAAACGCGTTTTATAACGTTCTTGCATTTATTATCAAAAACTCGTCGATAAAATTGTGGGTTTTTTATCGATCAAATTTGTGGGGTTTTTTAAAGAAAAATGCTTAAGTTTTTTAAGGGAAAGTGATTCAAAAGGTACCTAAAAACGCATTTATTCATTTTAAGATAAATACAAGAAAAACGATCATTTTTTCGTGAAAAAAAGTAAACGAATTTGCAGTTTTTGTCAACACACACTAAAAACGAATCGATGAACTGATCGAAAAAACCACAATATTAACGATTGCTTTTAACCAAAAAATTATTCAAAAAAACTACTTAAAAGTGCCACAAAAAGAGACAATTTTTGCAAAAAAATTCAAGTTCAAGCTGGTGTGTTACGTAAATTTTATGGTTTTTGTTGTATTTCATATAAATTCACCAAAAGCGTTTTTTTAAAGTTCTTGCATTTATTTGCAAAAACCCGTTGATAAAATTGTACTTCTTTTTTTGATCAAATTTGTTGTAAAATATCTAATTTTTTAAGAGAAAA